ATTGTGAGACTTCTTGTTACTGTGTTTGCCAGGCTTTGCCGTGCGGGTGAGATACTCTCGGTAGCTTGCCAGGCTCTCGAGAGGGGCGGAGGAATCTAACCTGGCGTGAAAGGCAAACGCCCTACCCGCTGTGCCCTAGCCTAGGATAATAGTACACTTGTAAAACAAATAAGCCAACAAAAGAAAAGAATGAACACCATAATCACCCAAAGTCCGTATTTACCTAAAGTTTGAGTAGATAAATTTGGTGCTAGAGGAAATATATAATAATTTATATGCATTTATATGCATAATTACAATAGCACACAGACTTTTCACAATTCAAAAAATCCTGTTATCAGCTTATTTATCTTCCCACCACCACCACTTCTAATAACCACTAATTTTTCTGTTGTGTCTACAGTTTTGTGTTTTCCAGAATGTCACACACTTGGATGCAAACATCAGATTGGTTTCTTTCACTCAGGAATATGCATTTAGGTTTTCTCCTTGTCTCTTAATGGTTTTAGTTTTTTTTAGCACTGAGTAGCATTTCATCATTTGGATGTAGAATAGTTTATCCATTACTTCTGATTGCTTTTGATATTTCAAAATTATGATTTAAGTAGCCATAAACATTCAAGTGCAGATTTTTATTTTGTTTTTATTTTATTTTGGGGGGGTCACAACCGGCGATGCTCAAGAGTTACTCCTGGTTCATGTACTCAGGAATTACTCCTGGCCGTGGGATGCCGTGGGATGCTGGAAATCAAACCCGGGTCGGCTGCCGGCTGCGTGCAAGGCAAGGCAAAAGCCCTACCCGCTGTGCTATCGCTCCAGCCCCAAGTGCATATTTTTAATGGCCATAAGTTTCTAGCTCCCAGAAGTAAATACCAAAGAAAAAAATTTCTGGGTTGGGTGATGGATAAGAGGATGTTCATATTGTAAGAAACTGCCTGTCTCAAGATTGAGAGGGAGAAAAAGAAAGAAGAAACTGCCAGTCTTTCAAAATGCCTGAGCCATTTGCTTTCTTATCAGCAGTGTATGAGTACCTGTTGCTCTCCACACGTGTCAACATTTGGTATCGTCAGTGTTTTGGATTTTGACAATTTAATAAGGACATGGTGGCATTTGGTTTTTGTTTGGCATTTGGTTCTTGTTAATATTTAATATGGAGCATCTATTCATATGCTTATTTGTCACCTGTGTTTCTTCCTTGGTAAGATTTCTGTTTACATCTTTGGCAAATTAAAATTTTTGGGGGGAGGGAGGAGGAGGTATCCCTATCAGGCTTCAGGAGGTGGACCTGCAGTTCAGTGTGAAGGCCCGAGGATATGATGCTACTTGGCCCCATGCCAAGAATTTCCTGAATCACTTGTGGGATCACTTGCTCAATCAAGGGACCATGTGGTGCTGGGGATTAAATCCAGGTCAGCAGTATATAAGGTGTATGCTTTAACCCCTGTACTATTACTCCTGTTGGTTTGTTTTCTTATTGTTATGGTGAATTTTCCCTTCTCCTCCACACCACCTTTTTTTTTCACTATTTTACTCCTTGATATTTTTTATTGAAGATCCAGTCATTTGTCTGCAGTTTCCACAATCTAATTTTTTAATATATTATATTGCTGTGTAATAAGGACTTCCACTTTCCTCTGTGCTTTTCTTAGAGGAATCGTTACATCTTGGGACTTGTTCAAACTTATATTTTGTTTTGAATTTGGCAATGCCACATCACAGGTAGTGAAGCAGTCTTCCACCAGATGGCGCAAATGTTCACTTTTCGAGATTTCAGTAGCTAGTGGTCACAGCATTGAGCCATTTATGAATCAATGGTTGCAAAACTGCCTATTCTAATTCTGTGATCCCATTCGTCATTCCTTCATGTTTCTTTAAAGAAATTTCCTTTGTCATTTAATTTTACAATGACAGTTTGTATAAGAAGGTGAGGAAAAAAATACTTGATTTTTCCTTTGCTTATCGCTTCTCAAAATTAAAAAAAAATGTTTCCCTATTACCAAAGAGATCAATGAAGTTTTGCTTAAATGATTATTATATGTGGGTGCACTTAATACTTCATTTCACTTAAGTTATACTCGTTGGCTGAGGGAAGTTTATTCATGTTGACGCCTGAACCCGTTTCACATAACTTTGTTAAACTCCCTGATAAGATATTCCAGGATTTTGTATTTCTGACTTTGAACTGAAATTTAGCTATGTCACTGGGTAACTATTCTTCAAAGTATTATCTAGTTTCTGGTGGGAATTCTGATGATCTTTTCATGGGGTTATGAGGTCAAAATTATATTCATATTAAAAATGTTATTTGCTCTATTATTTTTTCACACGTGTGTGGTTTCCCAAAGTCTGTATGGTATTATGTAATATAGTGATACTATAACGGAACACGGAAATCGTTATAAGAATTTTTACATCATTTATAAAACCAAACAAAAAGAGTTACAAAAAAAGGTAAAACAAAGACACATTTGTCAGCAAATATTTTTATGAATGCTACTTATTGTTTTGAAATCTGCTATCATCCAGATATAGCCCCGATCAGGGCTCCGGCAGCCGAAGACCTCCAGGACCAGCCACCACCATGCTGAGACCACTCTCCGCACACATGAAGGTACTGGCAGAGGGACAAATCCACGCGGGTTCCGGGGCCGAGATCTCCCAGCCTACTCGGATTGGAGTCGAGCATCCTCCACCCAGATCCTCCAAATTCCAGTAGGCGGGGGTCACACCCACCACCTGGCCCCCTGGCGCCGTGTAATCCCATCAGCGGCCAAGACTCAGAGACTATAAAATCTAGCTCCCGGAACCAGACATCTTATCAGGACACCTTTTATGACATCTTATCATCTCATTCCTACTTTGGACAAACTTGCAGGCTATCGAATGTAGCCTGCCCACAGGGCAGAGTCTGGCAAACTCCCCGTGGCGTACCAAATATGCCAAATACCAGTAACAATGATGGGTCTTATTCTCCTAAAGAGCCTTGAATATAATCTCAGGGTTAGGATGAAAGAGACGTTACTGGGGTCTGCTCAAGGCAATCGACGAATAACAGGATGATGAAATGAAATGAAAAATGAAATCGTCCACATAGAAACCCTTAGGGTTCTCAACAATTTTGAAAGGTTGAAATAGATTTGGGGGCAATTGTTTGAGAACTGCTGCTCCAGAAGCCCTTTAGGAAAATGGCAATTAGTGGGGAGTGGAAAATAATGTTTTATTTTATTTTATTTTTATTCTTTTGCTTTTTGGGTCACACCCAGCAATGCACAGGGCTTACTCCTGGCTCTGCGCTCAGGAATCACCTCTGGCGGTGCTCAGGGGACCATATGGGATGCTGGGAATCGAACCCGGGTTGGCCACATGCAAGGCAAACGCCTTACTTGCTGTGCTATTGCTCCAGCCCCTAATGCTTTATTTTAAAAGTATAAGCAAATATATATGTTTGTGCATACTGGCATTCATACATTTATGATATATAATATACATCTGTATGATATTCACATTTTTATGATGTATATTATCTCTATTATCTTTTGTTTAAATGGCATATATACATCTATCCAATTAGTTTTTTCCAGTATATTCTTAGTTATAGCAATTTATTATGGAGATCACTCCAGGTTGTATATGTAGAACTTCCTAACATTTATAACTTTAAAACAACAAAAGCCAAAAAAAGGTCTCACCATGCAGGGAGATAGTTCACCAGAGGCTTTGCATACAGAAGGCCCAGGTTCCATGCAGCACCATAGTCCCGAGCACGGGCAAGGAGGACTCTAGCAGAGTAGAGTAGATCCTGAGCTCTGCTGGGTATGCAACCCCCTCTTCATCAAGAATACAACAAAAAGCAAAAAGCTTATCTGTATTTGGGGTATCGCACTGCATCACCGTCATCGTTGTTCATCGATTTGCTCGAGCAGGTGCCAGTAACGGCTCCATTGTCCCTGTCACATGCTAGTGTAGCCCAATGGCATATCAGGGGCTCTTTCAGGGTCAGGGGAATGAGGACCATTGTTATTATTTTTGGCATATAGGGGGTTAGCTTGCCAGGCGTGTGGCAGCCTCTAATCACCTTTAACAGGGTGTTATTTGGGGTGTAATGAATATATATATTGAAAACTGCACCCATTCAATATACACAACTTGATAAACAGGTCCACCACTTCTAATGCTTCCTGATGCATCCTTTCTACCTTTTTTCTGTGAATGGCATGTTGTTGAAAGTGAAATCTAGCTTTTTTTGGAGGGGGGAGGGTAAGTGGAGGAGGCAGCAGTGAAGGCATGAGCCTGAAGCCCTAGGCCAGCCCTAGCCTCTCTTGACTGACTAACTCACTTTTCACAACTGCCTCTGCGCTGCATAGCCGGATGGGACTTCAATTTCTCCATGCCCTGCGGCACTGAGGCAGTTTAGGATAACTGACAGCCCTGCACCAAAGGGTCATGGACATTCCCTTCCACTTCTCCACCTCTAGGACTTCAGGACCAAGCCCTAGAAGTGGAATTGCTGGGTCGAATCGTGGATGCGTCTAACGCTCCCAGGTCCCAGGCTGTCCGTGATTTCCGCGAAACTGATGGAGCTGCTGCTCAAGGTCACCCTCTACGGGTCACTGACCCAACTCCGATTTGAACTCGGATGGGACGGGGACCAAGGCTCGATCGAGGTCACGGGGAGAGGAGTTCCAAGGAGGGGAGGCTGCGGAGGAATTCCGCCCCCTGGACAGCCCACCCATTGCATCCTGTATCCTTGTCTTGCCAACTTGCTGCACTCCCGCTTCTTATCAGACTCTCCAGTTCTCTGCCCGCTCACGCTTTAAAAAAAAAAAAAAAAAAAAAAAAATCTGTCACTCGCCCTTTAAAGCCATAATTAAATTCCCCTCCCACCCACTGCCCTAAGGCGGGCCGGGGCACCGCAACGCAGCGCTCTGCGCATGCCCGCCCGCCGCTCGGCCATTGGCGGAGGCTACAGCGGCGTAACGTCATCGCCGCGCGCCGCTTCCCGGAGTCCTAGCAAGGTCGCTCTGCGAGCGGGATCGTGCGTCGTCCCCGGAGGTGGGGCGCGCCGTGTCCTTGTTGCTGGGCTGCCCGCGGAGACATGTCCGGGTATACGCCCGACGAGAAGCTGCGGCTGCAGCAGCTGCGAGAGCTGCGAAGGCGATGGCTGAAGGACCAGGAACTGAGCGCGCGGGAGCCGGTGCTACCCCCGCAGAAGGTGGGGCCGGTGGAATCGTTTTGGAATAAATTTTTGCACGACCAGGCCCCCTGGAAGAACGTGGTGAGTGTCGGGCCCCCAACGCCCCCCACGCACACCCGGGACACTCCGGGCTGTCGTTGTGCTGTGCCCTCAAGTGCCAACGGTTCCCCCACCAAGGGAGAATCGGTTTCCACCTTGTCGCCAGAGTCCCGGGCGGGGAGGCGAGCCGTCAGTCTTTGCTTAGGTTTTGCGGGATGTTGCGGCGTTTAATTCGCTTTTGGCCATGAGGGTGTTCTCCCAGGCCGACAGGCAAAGATTCATCGGAGTTGACATTTCGTGATTTATTAAATGGTTACAACTCTGAAGTTGGAGGTTAAAGACCAGCTGGAACCGCGTACAACTACCGGGAGTCACAGCGAGCGAGCCTTAACTCTGCCCGAAACCCAAGGTCCTCTTGGCATACAACGTTTGCCAAGAGCTTCCTTTCTTCAAATACCAGCACTCTCGTTTCTTTTAAGAATGTCATTTCACAGCTTTGCAGAATATCACTCACACTAGGGTGATGTTGGTGCCAGGGATCCCGAACGATTTCTTGAGGCTGTTCAGTAAGTGACATCCTTGTGAGGGAGGAACACAGCAGGGGAGCAGAGGGGCTCACCGGTAATGCTCAAGGATCACACCTGGCACGGTTCAGGGGATCATATGGGTGCCGAGGATCAAACAGGGGTCCAGTTTCGTGCAAGACAAGAACCTAACCCCTCCCCTATCTCTCAGGCTCTTAGAGTTGTTCTTAATTATTAATGACTCCAGTTACCAAGAATGGTAATACTAATTATAGGACTTGTGCCCTTGCTTTGTACCTGGAACTTTACAGAGGGTTTCACATGTGCTAGTTCATTTGGTCACAGACCCAGGAATTGAATTCAGTCAGTCACTAAAATCTGTGTGTATCTAGACTGTTTATTCTCTGGTTTTCTTTTTGTTTTTACTGTTAACACAAGTTTGGTAGATAGAATCAGTGCATTTTTTTAAAGAAAGTGAGAGTACTTATGATGATCAAATCAAACTACTTCAACCCTCCCCACCTTTATATCATCGAGTAAACTTTAGATTACCTAAATTTCACAGCCACTAGTTGCAGGTTGACATCCCGCAAATCAGCCATTATTCAAGAAGTAAATAATTTTCAAATTCATCTTCTGTTACTTTGAGTTGATTTTGTCCTTTATAACATTTATTATCTTCCCCTGAAAGATGTGTTTAGATGAAACTGATTACTGTGTTTAGTTCTTTGGCCTCACTCCTATTAAAATAGTGAGTCTGAAACACCCCTCCCCCAATACGTAGCATATTCTTTTTTCAACTTTGTTATGTTCGGGACTGGCTGCCTTCCATATCGAATGATGCAAGTGATGTTGATTGTAGCTGTTAAAAATTGGTAAATCAAGGAGGTGGCTTTTCCTGAAAAGTTTTATAGATATGATTACTCTGGTTAAGTCAATTGAAATAATTATATTTTAATACCATGCTTTAGCTTTAATAAACCATAGTTTGAAGTTTTGTTTTTAAAATATATAGGAGCTGGAGAGACAGAACAATGGGTGAGGCACTTGCCTTACAGGCTGCGGATCCTGGTACTGCCCAGAGTGAGCCCTGAGCACAGAGCCAGGAGTTACCCTGAGCATTGTCAGATGTGGCCCCAAAAAAACAAAATGAAACTAAAATGTATTTACAACTGCTTTACAGTAGTCTTGGGAGATACAAAACTCATTAATTGCAGGGGCCAGAACCATACATAGTAGTGCAGGTGGGGTGTGGGGTGCCTTGCACACAGCTGATCCATATTCAATCTCCAGCATCTCATATGGTTCCCTGAGTACTGCCAGGAGTGATTTTTGAATGCAGAACTAGGAGTTACCCCGATCATCACCAGGTGTGGCCCCCATGTCCCCCAAATAAATAAATGTTCCTAATCAGACTCTCTCCCTCCTTCCACTTTCTCTAAATATATCTATACTACATGCACATTTGGTTATTTGGTTTTGAGCCCATATTGGCTTGGAAGTCTCTCCTGATGATTCTCAGAGGGATCCATGTGGTGCCAGGCATTATACTTGGCTATCTCATGCAAAACATGCTTTAAGCCATTTCTGACCCCCAGGCCCTATATTTAATAAAAAAAATAATAGGAGGGTGAAGTTAGCTATAGACGGTAAGGAAATGTGTAGCATTTGAGATCTCACATTGACATTGTTGTATAATTGAAGCTTTTTTTTCCGACAACCAACATAAACTGGGTTATTTATACTGTTTTTTTCCCTAGATCTATAAGACATACCGACACAGTGTCTTTGCTTTTACTCACGTACTTATTCCTGCATGGATTATTCACTATTATCTGAAATATCATGTCAGGGTAAGTAAATGTTAAATGTGTGGACTTTAAATAAAATAATTATGTTGTACAGAATCATTTCCTAATAATTCTCTAACAACAGTAATACAAAGCCTTATCTTGCTTGGCCACCAACAGGTGATTTGATTCCAAAGGCATTTTAAGCCTTTTCAGTAAGATGTTCATTGAAACAGGAAATGAAGTATGGTTTTTAATCTCCATGTTGTTTGCTTATAATTTGAAATATATTTTCTCAAAACAAGAGTTTTAGTGATCAAATTCTGTTTGACCCAGTGATACTAGTGTAAACCTAGATTCCTATGGAGGGAGAAAAGGGTTTGTTCATTTTTGAGCATAGATGTGATATAAAAAACTTCATAATGGAAAACATGACCTTTGTCTTCATCCCATTTCTGTTTCCTTGATTCTGTCTTAAGAAAAAAAAAATCAGTTCTTTAGAAACTTAAGGTGCTCCCAAACTTGAACTACTATTGTAAGTGCCAGGACTAGTCTGGCAAAGAGTGTGGGATCCTAGACTGACTGAGGAAAGTTGCACTGGGAGGGGCGTGGTGGGGGCTGCCTGGCCTGGAATATTATGACCCAGAAAGAGGAGGAGCTGCTTGGCCACTGTCAGCACCTGATACTGAGCAGCTGGCTGGTGAGAAAGGGGGTAGATGGGAGTTAGAGAGTAGAAGCTGCAGCCTCTTGAGTAGGAAGTTGTCAGGTCTGGAAGGAGAAGGATCTGGGCCAGCTGAGGATCTGTTCCCCGAGAAGTCCCAGGAGAGTGAGTGCTACCCCATTGCAGCTAGCACCTCCAACAGCTTATTTTCTCATGTGTTTCTCCAACTGAGAAAATCCAGAGCCCCTTAGAGAATTGGCTCATTCCATGACTGTGACAGGACAAGTACAGAAACGTGAGGCGTGTTGTGGTGCCAGAAAGGAAAGGAGTACTTAATGGAGACACAGCAAAGGGAAATAGAATCAATTTGAAAGGACTCCCTGTGGGATATATCACATAAGTATCAACTAATGTCAAAGAAAGAATAAAATGCAAATCCTGCATTCATATTGATAGAATTATAGGGTCAAAGAAAAAAGATATTTTATACATTAAGTTGTTAAGCAATAAATGGCAAGGAATGATAAAATTGGAAAAGTTACCATTTGAGAATTATAGATACATTTTGGGTAGATTGTGGAGGAGAGTAACTAATCCATTAGATGAATTAGGAGTGACCATGGTTTGTTGCCATGGTAGACAGGCACCAAATATTGGGATGCTTTGACCTTAAGCCAGAGGAATTGAGTTATATGAAGTAGGCAGTAGGAAGTTCTTAATTTTTAAACAGGTAATTTGATAAAATGGTGTATTTAGAAGTACAAAAAACATTGACATGTAGGGTAAAGTGGAGGGTCTTAAAAATCATAAGGACTGAATCTTTCTCTAAGAATTGTGAGACTTCGAGAAGAGGAATGGCGTGCATCTTAAAAGACTTTCTAGGGCCAGAGAGATAGCACAGCGGGTAGGGCATTTGTCTTGCACACGGTAGACCTGGGTTCGATCCCCAGCATTCCATATGGTCTCCCAAGCACTGCCAGGAGTGATTCCTGAGTGCAGAGCCAGGAGTAACCCCTGAGCATTGCTGGGTGTGACCCAAAAAGAAAAAAAAAAAGACTTTCTTCTCTGCCTCCAGTGTGGAAATTAGAGCTGTGGACGGTTTGAAGCCTATGGTGGTGCTTGGGCAAGGGTTATAGTATGAGAGCTGATGAGAAGCAATTTAGTCCAGGAAATTAGCTCACGTAGAACCAAGTATATCTGCTGGGGACTTAAGATTTTGCCTTTGTAACGGGGAAAGAAAGTGCCATTTATTGTGAGAGAGGAAGCAGTTTGGAGTAACTCACTTTACTGAGTTGGTCCTGGTTAAATTTGAGGTGTCTGGTAGTTGAGAGGGGATCTTGAGTCAATAGTTGGTGAGAGTCTGAGGGCTTGGTTAGAAACTTGGGATGGGTCTAGACAGATAATATCACTAGATCAAGTTCAAGCTCCCACTTTAACCCATACTCCAAGAGTGCCACACAACATTTGATGGGGTTCAAAGTCGGAGGCAACCAATCTTAAAGGGAAATATTTTTTTTACAGATATATATTATATACATATATATATAATATATATATACATATATATATACAAAAGCACACAAGGCTCAACCTTTAATAACATGTTAATGATCTCTTATAGAAAGGCTTAATGACCCCTGGGTGAAATACAACAATTTTCACACTCTTTCCTCTAAGGATACTCTTTTGTAGCATTTTCTGCAGTTTTCATAACAAGCAATACAAAGTATATTATTTTGGTTCTGCTTTGAGGCAGGGATTGGGGTTTGGAATGGAAACATCCAAATTATGGTGGTGGGATTGGTGTTTGAATAGTAAATGTAATCAAATATTGTGAACTACTTTATAAAATTTAAAATTTTTTAAATAAATAAATAAATAAAAAAGAATTATGGCAACAAGAATGTAGTTTAGTGGTCAAACTCATACCTCACATATATGAGGCTCAGGATTTGGTCCCCCTCAAAAAAACATGTTATGGTCTATTTTTAGAACAAACTCTAAAATCATAATTAACTAAGCATTACTTTTGTTGCAGACAAAACCATATGCCATCGTTGAAAGGAAACCCAGAATATTCCCAGTAAGTCTTTAAAACATCTCATTTTTCTTTCCTTTCCTTCTCCAAGTGATCATTTAAAAAAAAAAGAAAAGAAAAAAGTGTTATTTTCCCCTTGTCAGTAGTTTTTGTGTCTGTTTTGTACTGTTCTTTTAAGTAGGGGGTAGGTGGCAATTGTGTGGTAGTGTGAGGTAGCAGTAGCAATTAACAACAGAAGGCAAACATTTCTCTTTAACCTCGCTGTAATACTTGTTCTATCACCTTTGTGATTCTAAAGTAGATTGAAGCCTTTCACTGATGGCTATTTTATATAAATTTAAAAACTTAAGATACGAGACCCAAGCAGTGGCAACAGAATCTGAAATCCTCTGTTATTTCCAAGCTATCGTTTTCTATGGCATTTGCTTCATTTATAAAATTGACTTTGAAATTTAAGGTCTATTTGAATTTATTTGAATTTAAAGTCTCCTGACATTGAATTTAAGGTTAATTATGTGTGCCTTAATTAAGTTTTACATTATGAATATGGTAAGCCATTGTCTGAATCCAGAATGAGTCTGGGGATGGGCAGGGGGCATTGAGAGTGCCAGGGATCAAACCCAGAATTCATGAGGCATAAATTTCACCATGGCATTCCAGAACTCTAACATATTAAAAGATTACTCAGTGGTCGGCTGATATTTTTCACTGGTTGTAAGCTAATTGTCTAATTTAGTAAAGTAAACGGTAGGTTCTTGTCCAATTTCTAGTCACAGATACTATTAATCTCTTAAGTCTTAAAACTTAAAAGAGTTGATTCTTGCTGTAATCAGATGGTGGTCACAATAATCTTTTGTCTACTGCAACCAAAGAGAATTTTAGGGAGAGCCCTCAAAATTTGCTAACCCTTCTGAGTTGAAACTCTGCTCTAGGAAATAGAGGAGCTGGATGGGTAGGTGGCTAGAGGAGAGGGAGCTGTCTGGAGAATGTCCAGAAGTGCTCAGGGCTTACTCCTGGCTCTGTGCTCAAGGATCACTCCTGTGTGGTGCCAGGGATGGAACCAGGGTCAGCCACGTATAGAACAAGTGCCTTAATCCTTCTCCTATCTAGTAGAGGATTTCTTCTATGGTTCCTTATATCCAATCAGTTGTGCCAGTGTCTAAGTAACCTCAAAATAGGTCATTACCTTAATAGTATCACCAGTTGGTGAATCATTTATATGTTTATTATTTATTTTGCCATCATTATTGAAAGGGAAAGGAGGGCTGTCTTCAGATCACAGTGATTCTACAGCATTTCTCCTGCTTGTATTGTTTATGCTAATCTCTCATGTTTCTGTTCCATTGACCTCTGAGACTAAGGACCTAAAGAATGTTCTTTTGTACATATATTAGACAGGATAATCTGCAGTAACAAATCCCAAGCTCAGTGGCTTAACGAAACCAAGGTGTATTTTATATTCACCTTACAAACTACTGTGCATCAAGTTATCTGTCTTACTTTATACTATGTCCAGTATAGGGCTTCCAAGATCATGCTATTGGGGAAAGGGCTGGATATCACAGGGGATGACCTCAAGGTCTAAACTTGAAAATATTTTACATCAAGTCCGGAGCAATAGTGAAGTAACTAGGGCATTTGCCTTGCATAGGGCTGACAACTGGATTTGATCACCAGAATCCCACATGGTCCCCCAAGCCCTCCAGAGGTGATCCCTGAATACAGAGCCAAGAATAAGCTCTGAGCACCGCCAGGTGTGGCCAAAAAAACATAAAATATTTATATTATAGTTTATATAAATATTTATACAGAGAGAAAGAGAGAGAGTGTTTTGGGGACACATCCAGTGATGCTAAGGCTCATGGCTCTGCACTCATGAATTACAGACCATATGGGATGCTGGGGTGGAACTGGGGTCAGCCACGTGCAAGGCACTACCCGTTGTACTATCGTTCCAGCACTGTCCTGATATTTTTAACATGTCTCTCCTCTGTCCTTTCCTCTTCTCTTTTCTCGTCTCCACCTCTTCTCTCCCTTTCCCCCAATGTATCTATAAACTATTTCCTAATCCTAGCCATAGTCCTCCATGTTACAAGTCCTTTCACCAAATAACTCTTTGCTTCCTTCTCCCCCCAAATATAGCACAATCAATTCTCTCCCTCAGGAAAAACCACTGAAATTCCATTCCATCATTGCAACCAGCCCCAAATCCAAGATATCCAGGTGATAGTAATATCTCAGGATTTTGGTTATTACTTAAAAAATTTTGAGGATCAATGGGCTAATTAAAAGGTAAAGGTAAAAGGCCCTCCCGTTGATCGTCGATTTGCTCGAGCGGGCCCAGTAACGTCTCCATTGGAGACTTTGTTGTTACTGTGTCTGGCATATCGAATACTCTCGGTAGCTTGCCGGGCTCTCCGAGAGGGGTGGAGGAGTCGAACTCGGGTCGGCCATGTTGGCCGCTTGTAAGGCGAACGCCCTACCCGCTGTGCTATCGCTCCAGCCCAAGTATTAAAAAGCAAGTTAGAAATATCAGTCATTCATTGCTGGAGTTCAGGCAGTGTTAGGACTAATGGGCTCTTAGCAAGGTTGAAATCTTAGTGGTATAGTATTGTGAAGATTCCTAACGGCGTATGGAAAGTTATTTGAATGGACACTGATTTTGTTTTCTGCAATATACCACCTTTGTTCATTGGCCCCTGGTTCTGTCTGGAAGGTTCTTTTTCTCCATTTAGACCTAGTAACTGCCTAAAATAAATCATGGGACGCATGCGCTCTTTGGGCTGCAGAGCCATCAAAAACTGCCTTTTCCTCACAGGTTAGGTCCTAGAGGTTTTTTTACGCTCAAGCACAAATGATTGTTTCATTTAACAATCTAGTTCAGACAATATTTAGTGGGCATGGAAAAAAAATATTCAAGAAAAATCTATTGTTTCTAGTCAGTCTCATATGCTTTATCTGTTTTTCTTCATAGTCACCAAGTTAGATATGTCTTCATGCCCCCTTCAACTTCTGGAGACATTTGAATCAGAACTGGTTCAAAGGCTATTTTCACTTTAGTGTGATCTCTACCATAGGGCTGCTACCTGTTTACTGTATTTTGAGCTTCTGTTTTTCAGAATCTCTTCAATGATAACTCTTAGTTTAGATTCAGAAGCAATTTGATTTGCTCTAGTGAATAGTCCTTTCAGTGGTCTTGAGTTTTTTTTGTTAACTCCATTTTAATTCTCAAATCAATACTTCCTACCTGTGATCATGGTTGTTTTTTTTTTTTTTTTGACCAGACTTGGCAGTGCTCAAGGATCACTCCTGACAGTGCTCGGAGTGATCCAGGTATATACAAAACAGGCACCTTAAATTCTTTTGTCTCTCCAACCTTGTGGTTATATTTCTTAAAGTTCACTCCCAAGGCAGCCAGTAGTAATCAAAATATTATACAAAAACACTTTTTTACGAGTTTCTAGCTAATTTTAGAATCTCACACATGTTCAATTGACAATCTGCTTCCAAGTCATTACTGTCCTTTCCATGTTTGGCCTTCAGCCAGCATCCTTACTGCCAGAATGCTAAACCAGTACAGTTTAATTTAGGTTCAGTTCAGCATTAGTACAAGCTCAAGGCATGAATTTTTCTGTTTTAGGGGATCATACCAGCTGTGATGACAAATTATTACCGCCCCCCCCAACATATTCTGTTTAGAATATAACAAAAGTTCATTTCTTCATCAGATCAGTCTTGGGCTATACCAGGTTAGGGGCTGGCAGCGGTGAGGACAGAGATAATTCTAATGTACACAGTTAGGCAACAGAACCTGCATTTTAAGCACAAGAGCTAGAGCTAAGTAATTTGTCTAAAATTACCACTTTTGGTAATTTTAATTCTAATGTACATAGTTAGGGTTGTGGCGAAGTGATAGCACAGCAAGTAGAGCATTTGCCTTGCACAGGGCCGACCCATTTCGATTCCTCTGCCTCTCTCAGAGAGCCGGGCAAGCTACCAAGAGTATCCCGCCCACATGGCAGAGCCTGGCAAGCTCCCCAGTGGTGTATTGATAATGCCAAAAACAGTAACAACAATTTTCACAATGGAGACGTCAGTGATGCCCGCTCGAGCAAATTGATGAACAACGATTGAGCTAAAGCCAAGTAATTTATCTAAAATTATCATTTGTTAAGTGGTGGTTCAGGATTTTCATCACTTGGTCTTGACTCCAAAGTCTATATCCTTTCTACTACACATCTAGATTAGGAGATAAGTGAACCAGACCCCCAGCTCACATCTGCATTTTGTCTTGTAACATCTTTTTTTTGGGGGGGGGGGGTCACACCTGGTGATGCACAGGAGTTACTCCTGACGGTGCTCAGGGGACCATATGGGATGCTGGGAATTGAACCTGGGTCGCCCGCGTGCAAGGCAAACGCCCTACCCGCTGTGCTATTGCTCCAGCCCTAGTCTTGTAACATCTTGGCTAAACAGTAAGCTGGACAATGCATAAGAAATTAGTTGCTGTGAGTAATTACTTCCTTACGCTGAACTAACAGTTTTTCTGTGCAGCTTCTTGCTTACTAGGGCTTCTCCTAGTCCTTAGAGCTATGCAGAATAAAGATGAGTCCTCTTTCATTTTGTAGACAACTTTCATGTCTGGTCACTTTGAGCAAGACTTCCCTTTTTCATTTAAGATTTTGAATGTTGGGTTGCTCATCTTCAGAGAGCTATTTTGTATGTTTCTTTTAAAGTGTGTGTGTGAGGAACTGGGGAGATAGTTCAAAGGTCTGAGAATATGATAGGAAGCCCATTCACTCCCCAGCACCAGTGGGAATGTGACTCCTGAGTATCATCAGATGTGATCCTCCTCTGCTCCAGAAAGGTGTAAGTCTCAGAGCTGAGCTAGATATGAGATATGACCAAGCCAAACTGTCACTAATATAGGCAAGATCTTTCTAATGCATGCTTTATTTTCCTAGGGTGATACAATTTTGGAGACTGGAGAAGTGATTCCACCAATGAGAGAATTTCCTGACCAACATCACTGAAGATTTAAGAATTTCAAAGGCTGTCAGCTCCGGATTTGTTGCCCCCATATCATCTTTACTAAATATATTTCTTGGAAAAGTATCTTCAATAAAGTTAACTCTTAGATATGTGTCTTTTTCTTCCCAAACATTGTACATTTGGGGCTCTTTGATTTAGGAATAAACTGGACACACTAATAAGATGGAATGAATAATTACAGCTACATTTTCTGACCTATCTTGATTTGAAAACTGGATGTCAAAAAGGTGTTGCATAAGATTCTAACTTACACGCAAAATACACTAGTCTGATGTGAAGATAAGCAACAGAATGTATTTTACAATAAACAAAAACGAATTCCACCTATTCTTGAGTTTTTCTGTGGCATTTCAAGAAGAACCCTAGGTTGAAAACCCTGTCACCCCATCTAAAATCTCCAAAACCCGAGAGCTGTCAAATCGACCTTGCTTTGAGAGAATAATGAATGAGAAGTCTGTACTTATTGGGGACAGAAAATTTAGTCATTTCCAAGGATTACATACAGAAATTCGTATTTTTCAGATTTTTACTTTTACATCTTAATAGATGATCGGTTTGAAGTAAAAAAATAATAATAATAACGGTGTACGGTGAAATGCAGAGTAATCACAAATCTTCACTCATGCCGAAGCTTCCGTCCGGGTAATCTTTCCTTAGCTGCCGGCGGGCGGCCACCGTTGATGCATAGATGACACATGCCCAGGAGAGGAGCACAATCGCGAGGAGCAACTAGAACAAGGGCGGGGGGGGTGGAGGAGGGGGAAGAGGACCAGCCAAATTAATGTAACGTGAGGAGTGCCTCCCCAGCCCCATCACGTTGCGATGACGTTGCTAAGGGATTCTACGGCCAAACTCGAATAAATGGGGTTCCGGCGACGCGAACACCCGGCCGCCCTTACGTAAGAAGCGGAAGAGCGTGTCCTCAGGAAGAGGAGGAGTCGAGGTGAGAGAGAAACGCTTAATTCGGGAATGGATTTGGGAGTCTAGGGACGCTGAAGGAATAGGGGTCCTTCTGCCTCAGGGCCTGAGAAGATCGGCACCGTGGAGCCCCGCCGGACCCGCGACCTACCACGGAATAAATCCAGTCGAGAGTGCGGCGGCTTACGGGCCTCATGGTAAGGCAGCGGCTGCGGGGCGCGGGAACGGGCGGAAGCGTCAGGGCCTAAGATAACCTCCCGGGCGGTGGCTGCGGAATGGCAGCGGCCATCTTTCGGTCGGGCACGAGCGCCCCGCCCCCTCGCTTCGCAGAGCGTTTCCTTTCGGCGAGGCCGGCCTCTTCCGCCCGGACTTGGGGCGGGATCACGTGACGCGGCCGGCCTTGCCCGCCTTTCTGGAAGGGAGGGGTTAAAGGTCCGCGAGGAAAGAAATGAAAAAAAAAATTTTTTTTTTTATGGCCCGAAGAGACGGGCGTGCTTGGTCAGCCACTTTTCATTATTATTAATATTTTAAGGCGCATAGCGTTTTGGGCGCAGGATAATTAATACTGCCGAGTGCATTTCAGAGTTGATTTGAAAAAAAAAGGGCAGCATCCGCCGGGTACCTGGAACGCCCGCTTCCAAACGCTGGAAGAATGAACTGTCCCCACCCGTCGCCCCCGCAGTCTGCGCCCACACCGACGCCCGACTAATTTTTCTCTGACGTGGTCAAGCAAAGGTGGTAGCGCACTTTTGCCGCGCGAGTACGAGTCGATGTTGAGCCCTCCGAGGATGTCATGGCTTGTGGAACAGGTAGTGCTAGGGAGAAGAGTAGTACGTGGCGCGGCCGGGTCTGGCTGCGAGCGTTTCGGGGGTGGCGGTGGGGGGCGGGGGCATGCACATAGCCGGAGTTAAAGGCTGGGGGCCGCGCTCCGGCCCGTGGGCGCTCGCAGCGACTTCCGCTGTGGAACGTTTGGGGCGCTTTGCTCGGCTCCTGGAGGGGCCGAGGGAGCGGGGCGGGGGGTGGGGGCGCTGTGTAGGCCCCAATCGTCGCGCTTGAGCCGTCACCTCCCGAGACGGTCGAGAGCCGGCTTTCAACCCGGCGTTCGTCCGGTCAGGAAGCGGGGAGAAGTCGATCTTGGGGAGAAGAGGTCTTGGGTGGGGAGGGAAGGTTCGGGAACCCTTCAGCCCTGCGTCTGAAGGTAATGATAATCCGTTTAATCCGAGTGGAGCCGATGTCTCGTCACCTAGGTGACGGGTGGGGCGCGTTTGGGATTCCCTGCGAATCCGCTTAAGCGGGGCCCCGAGCGAGCGTCGCTCGCACAAACGGTTCCTGTTCCCGTCGGCTAGAGAGAGAGAGGAGAGAGAGAGAGGAGAGAGAGAGAGAGAGAGAGAGAGAGAGAGAGAGAGAGAGAGAGAGAGAGAGAGAGAGAGAGAGAGAGAGAGAGAGAGAGAGAGAGAGAGAGAGAGAGAGACACGCTTGTGTAACCCTTCGCAGGGGGGTTGGCGAGGTAGACAGGGAGCAGAGGGAGCAGAGGCGCGTCCGTCAGTCACAGTGACCGACCGTCGGGCTCAGCAGACGCCACATCGTGGTGGGATGGCGGGGTGTGGGGGCGTTTGGAACCCCGAGCGTTTTAGCTTGAAGAAAGGTGGGCTGGAGCGCGGCCGGGGCCGGCGGGGAGGGTCGCGGCGCCGTTTCTGGGCGCCGCAGGGCGGTGGGGGAGGGGAGGGGCGCCGGGGCCGCGGCCGGGAGCGGAGCGCGCATGCGCCCAGCCCGGCGGGCGGCCGCTGTGTTTTGAGGCGCCGGGGCGCGCAGGGGCTCCGGTCGGGCCGGGGCCGCCTCCCGCCGGCCGCGATTGGTGACGAGCGCTTTACGTCACAGGGTTCGCCGCAGCCGCCGGGGTCTCCGCTGTCTCGCGAGGAGGGTGAAGCGCCCCGGCCCGCGCCCGCTCCCGAGGGCCGGCGGAGAAGTCGCCGGGTGCGTCTCCGCGGATCCTGCCGTCACCGACCCAGCCTATTGGGCCGCCGGGAGCTCGCCGCCAGCACCCCGACCGGGCCGGAGCCGGGCTCCACCGAGGTGAGTCGTGACGAACAATGGGGACACGGGGGGGGGGGGCCTGAGGAGGGGGACACCCCTGGGAGAGTTGGGGTCGGACCGGGCAGCGGTGGCGGGAGGCGTGTTAATGTAGCATCACTCCCCCCCACCCCGGGGTGCCAGCCTGGCGGTGGGCGGCAGGGGGCTTGGCACAGGAACCGCCCCCTAACGCGACACCACGGTCCGGATCCAGGGGGTAGAGGTGCCACCTCAGCTTGGGCCCCCTAACGCCCGAGCCCGTCTGTAAAGTGGGGATAACGGCAGTTAAGGGTGCCGCACGTGGGGCTTGTCCAGATTCTGGCCCTTGGCCCGTTGCGACCCGAGGAGGTCGTGGTGGTGGTGTCGGAGTTGACCGCCTTTGAGAGCATGTTTTTGGCGGGGGCTGTCCCCGGCCCGTCGCCATCGGGTCAGTGTGGTTTCTCTGCTGACTGCTGATTCCTAGAAAGGGGGGGGGGGGTGGGAGCGAGGGGAGGGGAAAGTACTGTGCTTAAGTGAAGAGGAGGGAAAAGTAGAACTTTGGTAGGTTTTTCGAGGTGACGAGAAAGAGAAATCCAAGGTCCAGGTTCGTCGGGGTGAGCTTTGAAGTTCCTGGTGTGGTTTGTAGTCAGTGAAGTGTAGAGGAAGCCGGAATACAGAATACAAGTGCTGGAATGAGCAGCTTTGGAGGGAAATGCTCACTCCTGGCCTTGCTCTCAGGCATCACTCTTGGAAGGATAGGGGGACCATATATGGTGCCAAGGAACGAACCCAGGCCTCATCCTTGCAAGGCAAGCACCCTGCCTGCTGTTCTGTCGCTCCAGCTTTAGAATTGCATTTTATAAGATCTGATCAATAGTTTCTGTAACTTCCATATGACATTTCAGAGTACAGGAATCATGCTCTAGCGGGCCCAGTAACGTCTCCATGGGAGACTTTGTTGTTACTGTGTCTGGCATATCGAATACTCTCGGTAGCTTGCCGGGCTCTCCGAGAGGGGCGGAGGAATCGAACTCAGGTCGGCCATGTTGGCCGCATGTAAGGCGAACGCCCTACCCGCTGTGCTATCGCTATCCCGATGTGCTGTGCTATCCCGATGGCTGGAGCTATAGCACAGTGGGTGGGGCGTTCGCCTTACACGCGGCCAACATGGCCGACCCGAGTTCGATTCCTCCGCCCCTCTCGGAGACCCTGGCAAGCTACGGAGAGTATTCGATATGCCAGACACAGTAATAACAAAGTCTCCCATGGAGACGTTACTGGGCCCGCTCGAGCAAATCGACGATCAACGGGAGGGCCTTTCCATAGAAGAAAGTCTGTGAAAATTGTATCTCATTGTGGAGCCCCTGTATAAGAGATTATTAACAAGTTATTAGAGTTTGAGACTAATGTGTGTGTTTGTGTGGTTTCTTTTAAATCAAGATCAGTTGTCTTCTACCTTACACCCCATCAAATGTGATATGCTGCTTTTGGTATTTCAGTGGCATAAAGTATGAAGGGTTATGTGGCCGCATTTGCAGCCACGCACTCCTGGAATTCTAAAATTTTAAGTAGGATGATAGAGCTGGAGTTAAATTTTTAACTGGTTGGTGGTTTTGGGGTCCAGAGGCATCTCTGCAGTGTGTGCTCTCTTCACAGAATCATTTGTGAATGTCTGGCTCTTAGAGGCAGTTAATGGGCATGACTGCCTGGAACCCAGAAGCACAGGGAAAGGAGAGGAGGAGCACATTCCTGATTCCACGACACAAGTTTTTAATCCTTGTTGAAAGCCTTATTTGAAAATTTGGGTAAGGGGTGGCTTAGATTGATCAATTTATTCCGAAGATCTTATTATTGAGAGTGTTAAGGAAATGGTACCAAAAGAAAGGGTTTGTCTCCCTTATGTGAAAATGACATTGCAGTCCTAATTACTACAAAGCTAAGAATCCTTTATCACAAGCTTCTTCTAGAACAAGCACTCAAGCACTGCCTTGGTAGATTTTTGTATTTAAACCTAGAACCTCTCCTACAAATTTTTTTTTTTTTGCTTTGCTTTTTGGGTCACACCCGACGGTGCACAGGGGTTACTCCTCGCTCTACGCTCAGGAATTACCCCTGGCAGTGCTCAGGGGACCACATGGGATGCTGGGAATCCAACCCGGTCAGCCACATGCAAGGCAAACGCCCCACCCACTGTGCTACTGCTCCAGCCCTCTCCTACAAATCTTAAATCTGTCTCCTAGCTAGTTGTTTCTGTTTTAGGACTTCATTTTATTTTCAAAAACTGCTTTGTTGATACGTAATTTACATTCCGTTCATATAGTTTGTTAAAGCTTGTTTGATAATTTTTAGGTTATTAAACCATAATCTAATAACACATTTTCGTAGTCCTAGGAAAAAGTCTCAGAATCCTGGGATAGGAGAGTTAGTGCCAGAGGTAAGGTACCAGTGCTAGGAGGGATCTCTGTACATAGAGCCTGGAGTAAGCCTTCAGCCGTACTCTGGTGACCTAAAAACAAAAATGGCAAAAAATGCAAGCAAACAATCCCTTTCTCTTCCTACCAAGCAGCCACCAATCTAATTTTCATGTATAGATTTGCCTGTTTGGGACATTCCCTATAAAATGGCATCATGGATGGGTGTGAAATTGTAGTTGGTGTAGAATTGGGGAGTTCTGCTTTATTTGCATCTCAGCAATTGTTTTAATTTTAGTAATGATTTTAAAGCAGTAAATCTCATTTTCTGATTACTTTCCATTCACTTCATTGGTTAATGTTTCTATTTTGGTTTGGGAGCAGGGAGTTGGGTTACACATGGTGATATGCAAAGCTTAGTCCAGGGTCTACGCTCAGGGATCACTCTTGGCAGTGTTGGGGATCATATGTTGTGTGAGGGATAGAACCCAGGTCTGCTGAGTATAGCAGGTGACCCTGGTCTATCTCTCTGGCTCCTGGATAATGTTTCTGATTGCCAGTTTGCAGTTAAAGGAGGGAGACACACACACACGATTCTGCATTCAAGGATCACTCTTGTTTTCTTTTTCTTTCTTTTTTTTTTTTTTGGCACATTTTAACTTTATTTATTTATTTTTTATTAGTGAAACAGTATGAGGTACAGTCGTAGACTTAAACTTTTGTGCTTGGATTTCAATTATACAATGATTAAGTACCCATCCCTCCACCAGTGAGGTTTGACATTCTTTCTTTTTTTTTTAGACTTACAGATTTTTGTGCTTGGGTTTCAGTTATACAGTGATCTAGTACCCATCCCTTCACTAGTGCCCATTCTCCACCACCACTAATCCCAGTATCCCTCCCACCCCCCCATCCCTCTATCCCACCCTGCCTCTGTGGCAGAGCACTCTCAGGAATCACTCTTGACAGGACTGGGAGGATCATATGGGGTGCCGGAGATCAAATCAAGTTTGGCCACCCTACCCACAGTACTCTGTACTATCACTCTGGTCCCAGTTAAAGATCTTGCATAGGAATTAATACAAAGTATAACTGTAGTTTATTGTTGTTGCTGTTTTTATACCTATTTTAAATGATGGTGCATTCTTTGGGGAGGCATGGTTATGATCAGGGCTTCTGGTTCTGTATTTGAGTCACTTGTGGCAATGTTGGAAGACCTCATGCCATGGTGGCTGATGAGTCTGGTGAGCCGCATGCAGGACAAGTGCTTTATTCCCTGTAGAGTCTCTGCACCCCTGTCTCAGTTTTTGAGTGATAAGTTATCCAAGTAGTTAATAGGCATTAAAAAAAAAAGGAAAGAAAAGACAAAATTTCTTCAAAAATGCTATTCATTTGAGATTTTGTTTCGTTTGAATCCCTAGGTATCTAATAATATTCCTTAATTCATCTAGGTTGTGATTCTTACATGATCTGGAAATATTTGATAAATCCTAAGTGTTTTATTTTTAAAATTTTGGGCCACACCCAGCAGTGCTTGCTCCTGATGCTGTACTCAAGGATCACTCCTGAAGGGACTTGGGACCATATGGGTGCTGGGGATTGAACCTGGGTTGGATATGTACAAGGCAAGTACCTTGCACTCTTGCCCCTAAAATTCCACATTTTAAAGAAATGAAAATAAAACCTGTTATGGGGAAAGGGAGAATATTGGCTTGAAATCCAAGGGGTTTTTTTTCCCCCTCTTTTCTAATCTTACTAGAGGGGCAAACTAAAACGAGTCTGTAGAGTTCATATGGATTTCTTCAGTTTACAGAATTAATTCAGGCAAAACCTGTTCTGATAACCTTTCCAGTTTCTTTCTACTTTTCATTCCTTCTCCTAATGCAGCATTCTGGTCAGGGCAGTGGGTAGTGTTGGGAATCAAATCCAAGGCCTAACACAAGCAAGTCAAGGGCTCTACTGCTGAACCACATTCCTGGCACAGTTTAAAGATTTTTATTTTTAGAGCTCCTCCTCCTCCCATGAGTGGCAAATAGAAATACTAGAATTGGTAGTGGGAGAATACTGGGGAATTTACGTAATAATAAAGTTTCAGAGCTTAAATAAAACCCTTAGGATTATATATTTATAATTTATACTACATTTAAAACACTTATATTTTCTTTTCCAGTTTAGAAAATAGATGCCTTAAATAAGCTTAATTAGAAGTCTGTGATGAAATATTTATATTTCTCAGTTTTGGGGGGGAAGAATTTTGCTTTTGTTAATTTTTTAAAGCCAAAGAACCTACTGAAAAGTATTATTTGACAAACTTGACAGAGATGGTGAAGAAAGATGAATAGTAGGTTAAGGAAAATCTTAACATTTGGTATATAGAAAACGATTAGTACGAAGTGCTGCAGAAGGGATTTATAAATTAACAGTTAAAATTAAATTCATACTTGATTTCAGTTGTACAGTTTCATTTTTTTAAGGTATACGTCCATATAAACAAACCAGCGTATGTATGTTTAAAGAAAAGATTCTAGTGTGCCTTGTGGTAAAATCTTATAAAGGAAATGGACTGAACGCATGATTTAAAGATACTGTAAAGCTAACTTTGGATTAAATGTTTTTAAGTCATTCTTGGATACCAAAAGGAATTCATGAATATAATAGTAAAATAACAGTAGTAACTAACACTTACTCAGCAGTAATAGGCCAGGCATTACCCTTGAGTTGACATTTATTATTTCATTTAGTCTTTACTAAAAGATCCTTTATGTGAAAGAATTTCCACCTAGGGGCTGGAGCGAGAGTTTGGCAAGTAGGGCGTTTGCCTTGCACACAGCTGACCTGGGTTCAATTTCGGGCATCCCATGTGGTCCCCTTTCCACTGCTAGGAGTAATTCCTGAGTGCAGAGAAAGGAGTAACCCCTGTGTCTCTCCAGGTATGCCCCCCAAAAAAACAACCTTCAACCAAAACTTTAGGATTATTTCAAACTGATAAATTTGGTATGTATGTTATTTGATATAGCTAGTTTACGTAACATATATAGTTTTATGTAATATATAGTTTTACGTAATATATAATATGTAAAAATATAGTATAAATATCTAAAACTATATAGGAAAAGCTACCAATTGAGAACTTTTTGTCTTCTAGAGAGGGATAGTAAGGGACAAGATTAGGAGACCATTAGAAAAATCTGGCATAACCATGAAAAAGTAGTTGTTAAATCTAAGTATGAGTATATGGATACTTGGTATAATTTCCTTTGTACTTTTTGTGTGCTTCCAGTATTTAACTATTAGACTATTTTTAAGAGAAATTAAGCTTTTTTAAGAAGAAAATAGGATATTGTTTTGTTTTTTTGGTTTTTTTTTTTTTTTTTTTGCTTTTTGGGTCACACCTGACAATGCACAGGGGTTACTCCTGGCTCTGCGCTCAGGAGTCACCCCTGGCGGTGCTCAGGGGACCATATGGGATGCTGGGAATCGAACCCGGGTTGGCCGCATGCAAGGCAAATGCCTTACCTGCTGTGCTATTGCTCCAGCCCCTTGTTAAATGTTTTTATAATAAGAATAGAGCTTTTTATTCACGACAGAATTCTTTACAGTAAGATAGAGATTACTGTTAATCAGCCACCTTTATAAGGGCTTTTTACGTTTTTCACAAATCACTGTTTAACCATGAAATTGAAATAGCAACAGACCCACAGTCACACTCTCAGTGTGGAACCTGAATTTAATTCCAGGAAATCTTGACTTCCAAGTTTGTCCTTTTAAGTGATATATTATTATGCTGCAGTTTTTATGTTACTGCTGTCTAGCAATTTTTATCGAAGTATGTTTTTAGTCTTTATTTGCCATCTGTTCAAATTAATTTATCAGGTTACTAATGTATTTTTCTTTTCACCTTTTACAGATAATGGCATCGGCTACCAAGGAATTTAAAATGGATAGCTTTTCACCTAAAGCTGGTACTAGCAAATTGCAACAGACAGTACCAGCTGATGCATCTCCTGATTCGAAGTGTCCTATATGTTTGGATAGATTTGATAATGTGTCTTACTTAGACCGCTGCTTACATAAGTTCTGTTTTCGCTGTGTACAGGAGTGGTCAAAAAACAAAGCTGAATGTCCACTATGTAAACAACCTTTTGACTCTATTTTCCATTCTGTGCGGGCAGAAGATGACTTCAAGGAATATGTCCTAAGGCCTTCATATAATGGATCTTTTGCTACCCCTGATGTTCGAAGGTTCCGCTATCGCACAACTATGACAAGGGAACGGGAACGGGAACGGGAACGAAGTAATTCTGTTTATTCACCTAGTAGTACTGTGAATAGAAGAACAACTACTCCACCAGATAGTGGAGTGGTATTTGAAGGGTTAAGCATTTCAGCAGGACTTAGAAATAATGACCTTATAAGACAGGCTTCACTAAGGAGACCAACCACAGTTGCAGATGAACGATCTTTGCGGAAAATACAAGAGCAGGATATTATAAATTTCAGGCGAACTCTCTATCGGGCTGGTGCTCGTGTTAGAAATATTGAAGATGGTGGCCGCTACAGGGATATTTCTGCTGAATTTTTTCGTAGAAATCCAGCTTGTCTTCATAGATTAGTTCCCTGGTTAAAACGAGAACTTACAGTTCTTTTTGGAGCTCATGGTTCTTTAGTGAATATTGTACAGCACATCATCATGAGTAATGTTACTCGCTATGACTTAGAGAGTCAGGCATTTGTATCTGATTTAAGACCATTTTTACTTAATCGGACCGAACATTTTATACATGAATTTATCAGTTTTGCTCGATCTCCTTTTAACATGGCAGCCTTTGACCAGCATGCTAATTATGATTGCCCTGCCCCTTCATATGAAGAAGGTAGTCATTCTGATTCTTCAGTCATAACAATTTCTCCAGACGAAGCTGAGCCCCAAGAGCTGGATATTAATATAGCCACTGTTAGTCAAGCACCATGGGATGATGAAACTCCAGGACCATCTTACTCAAGCTCTGAACAGGTACATGCTGCTATATCTTCCCTTTTAAATTCTTCTGACAGTTCAGATGATGAACTTGTATCGGCAAGGGCCACATCTCAGATACAAGGAGTACAAACCAACGAGGACCTAAATAATGACAGTGATTCTTCCTCAGATAATTGTGTCATTGTTGGGTTTGTTAAACCACTAGCTGAGAGAACCCCAGAACTTGTTGAACTATCTTCTGATTCTGAGGAGTTAGGCTCTTACGAGAAAATGGAGACAGCGAAGACACAAGAACAAGAGCAGTCTTACAGTTCGGGCGATAGTGATGTTAGTAGATGTTCAACTCCACGCTCTGTCCTTGGAAAGGATGAGCAAATAAATAAAGGCCACTGTGATTCTGTTACAAGAATCAGATCAAAGAATGAGGAAAAACGATCTACATCACTGTCATCTCCCAGAGACCTGAGCTTATCTATCAGAGGAGACAGGGTATATTCTCCTTATAACCATAGACACCGGAGGAGGGGACGATCAAGAAGTTCAGATTCACGTTCACAGAGTAGAAGTGATCAGAAGAATCATAGGAAGCATCATGAGAAGAAAAGAATGAAAAGCAAACGATCCAGAAGCAGAGATAGTAGCCGACCTAGAAGTAGAAGAGACAAAAAGAGATCACGAACTAGAGAGAGCAGTTGGTCCAGAAGAAGCCAAACTTTGTCTTTAAGTAGTGAAAGCACAAGCAGATCCAGGTCTCGCAGCAGTGATCATGGTAAAAGAAGATCACGAAGCAGAAATAGAGATCGTTATTACTTAAGAAATAATTTTGGAAGCAGATATAAGTGGGAGTATACCTACTATAGTAGAAATAAGGACAGAGATGGTTATGAATCATCTTACAGGAGGAGGACACTATCCAGAGCTCATTATTCTAGACAATCTTCAAGTCCAGAATTTAGAATTCAGTCTTTTTCTGAAAGAACAAATGCTCGAAAAAAAAATAATCACAGTGAAAGGAAATATTATTACTATGAAAGACACAGATCAAGGAGCTTATCTAGTAGTAGATCAAAGACTGCATCTACAGGACCTGACCGGGTAAGAAATGAAAAACCTGGAGGGAAACGAAAATATAAAACACGTCATTTGGAGGGTACTAGTGAAGTAGCTCAGACATCTCGAGACTTTGCCTCTAAAGTTAAGGAGAGTCATTACCAAAAGTCTTCATCAAAATTGGATGGAAACTACAAAAATGAGAGTGACAGCTTTTCAGACAGCCGATCATCAGACAGAGAAACAAAACAAAAGAGGAAGAAAAGGAGAACCCGGAGTCTAAGTGTAGAGATAGTCTATGAAGGAAAAGCCACCGATACAACTAGACATCATAAAAAGAAAAAGAAGAAACACAAGAGGAAGCATAAGAAACATCATGGGGATAATGCTTCACGTTCTCCAGTTGTCATCACTATTGATAGTGATAGTGATAAGGATTCTGAAGTAAAGGAGAATACAGAATGTAACAATAGTGGTCCTCAAGACCCTCTACAGACTGAGTTTTTGGCACCATCCTTGCAGCCAGTTGAAACTAAAGATGTAGTTACAATAGACGATGAATTTGGTGTTCTGGACAGGGAGTGTGACATTACTTCACTCGATACTAACAGAACTGTAAATAGTACTCCACCACAGATAACTTCAGTTGAACAAACTCTTGATGTTAGAGAAGAAAGCACCTTTACCTCTGATTTGGAGAACCAGCCGAGTAATATGTCTATTCAAACTGAGCCATCATTACAATTGCCATCTCCACGGACATCATTAATGCCAGTGTCTCTTGGTGGAGACTGTGATTTGTCTTAAATTTGCCAAAGCATCTCATTAATATTTCTGAAAGGAACAATGTCATTAACTTAAGTCAGTCTACTTAAAGAGGACTGACTTGCAGTGAAAACTCTTTTCCCCTTTAAAATATTTTGTGTTTCTTTGTGTTAAAACTTTGTAAAAATCATTATTTGTTCAAAAAGTATGTATGTTCCGCCTCAGAGATAAGCACTTTTAAGTGGAGAAAATGATACTGCTAGTGGTTTATTTAAAACTTGGAATCCTTTTTAAGTAAAAAATTGTAAAGTTTAGAAGTTATTTCATAAAGCCATATGGTATTGACATATTTTTAAAGTAGTCAGTGGTATTTTTGGATTTTTTTTTTTTGCAAGTTATTCTGGAAATGTGCTATAAGCTAGGAGAATCCCTTTGAACAGGCTTTATTTTTCTTGAAATTTTGTATTATTCAAAACCATTACTTAAGGTTAAATTCAGGCATTTTAATCTGCAGTGTATCTTAACATTTGCCAAAAAATTTTTAATATTTCCTTTATATACTTGTTTATCTGGACTTCCAGTAAAACAAATGTGTATTCAGCAAAAGGGAAAATAAAACTATAACACCTTAAAACCAAGAACCTAGAAATTCCTATGCAGTATTTTTTAAAAATCAGATTATTCTAGTAGAGTTATAATCTTGAAAAGAGTTAATGATAAAGTGCCATAAAGATGGTCCCTTTTCAGGTGATTTGCATTAACTGGTCAGTTCACATATAATTTTAATGAGTATAGTCAATCTAATTATGAGAAGCGCGTTCTATAACAAAATGCACTTACATAGCATTTGACTTACGAAAAACAAAAAAAGACATTTGCCAGTCTTTTTATATTGGTAGTCCTTCACCGGTGTCTGTGTTTTTATTTTAGATTCAGAGATGACAAAATGGTTCTGATAAATTATCTTAATGTGGGATTTCCAGTGAACATCCAAATTTAGCCCTCAATCTGCTTAAAATGGATGGATAAATTTACTGGATTGGATAAATAGTTGCTATAGATTTTTAAAACCTAAGACCTTTGTGCTTTGAGGGAGCTACCTGTTACCATTTTGGTTTAATATTGTTTTGTTTTGGGGCTGGAGCAATAGAACAGCGGATAGGGCATTTGCCTTGCATGCGGCTGACCCGGGTTCGATTCCCAGAATTCCATATGGTTCCCTGAGCACCGCCAGGGGTAATTCCTGAGTACAGAGCCAGGAGAATCCCCTGTGCATCGCCAGATGTGACCCAAAAAGAAAAAAATCAAAACAACAACAACAAACATTAAAAAATATATTGTTTTGTTTTCTTACTTGTTTGTCTGAATTTAGTGTCTCTTGAGACATTTTGTTTTACCTCAGGCTTTTTGTGTTTTTTTTTAACCTTTATGATTTGGAAATGAAATACAGTCAACCCTTTTCACTTGCTCTTCTACCATAGGTCAGTGGGAAAACTTATTAATACTTTTACTTCATAGTTTGGCCTCCTCTGAGAAGTACTCCTGTGTGGTGTTTATAAAGGAGCGAGCTGGCACTTACACTTTGCTATCTTCTGTAGTTAGGATTTGGACATCTTGAATAAGTATTATCTCATTGAACTTGGAAAGAATTTTAGATGGTGGTTGGGTGCAGTTCCCGCATAGAACATTTCACTATCTCCAGTGTTCAAATGGTCGAGGGAATGAGTAGAGGTGTTCCTTGTCACAAATGGGATTTCATCAGGATCCAGAAAATGGTTTCATTTCTAACATTAAGTTTCTTAGGCTTTTGTATGATTGAGAGGTTAACTGATAAAATTACTGATAATGTAGCTGTCACCAAAGCAGAATTTGTATATACATGTATAGTAATTTAGGAAAGCAAGGTGGAAGTGAAATCGTAACTTGTGTACATAGCCTTCACTCGAGTGGTTCAAAAAGGTTAACTGATGAAATTACTGATAACGTAGCTGTCACCAAAGCAGAATTTGTATATATGAAAGCACAGTAGAAGTGAAATCATTACCTTCATTCAGAGGTTCAGAAAAAAGCAAATTGTGGGAAAATGTTTAAAAGTTGGTTAATCAGTAAAATTGGGATTCTTTTTGTACTATTGTAAATATTTTTGTATGTTCAAAATAATTTTAAAATGTTGAAATTACCTCTTTAGACCTCTCAGGGTACTTAATATGAAAGCGATGTCAGAGAGTGTTAGCCATAATTACTTGGACCCCTCCAAAACCCCCAAAAAGTCAAACATCCGTTAATTATTAAAGCTACTCTCTCTGGGAGAAGAAATCTAGGTAAGTTGCACCACATTTAAAAGTTTAAGCCTGTAGAAATGAGAATCTTTGAAGATGCAGTTAAGGAAGCCTTGGTCAGTGCTCAGAAGAGGGGGATATAAAACCAACGGAAAGCTGCCCTTTTTTTTTTTTTTAAATACTACTGAGAGGAGTCCCTGACTCAACATGGAAAGTTAGAGTCATCACTGGTATTGCAAAGCTTATTCAACAAGAGAGGTTCTCTATAGAGTGCAGGTAAGTGGATTTGAATAATAGAAGCAGGCAAATTGTACTCTTAAAACAGGAGGAAGTAAAAATGGACAGAGATCTTGTGATTCTGTATAGGTAAATTTGTGAACTAGTTCATGCTCTAAAGCCTCTTCATGATAGAGGAAGCAGTACTAGCTCTGAGAATAAAGAAATCCATGAATAGGATCAGACTTGAGAAAACTATTGGAAAATTCCCTTTGAGAGGGACAAGGAGTGTAGTTTAAGAATTGGTGACATCTTCCACTGCATTGATCACGTTGATTTGGCCTACCTGACCAGGTAGGGAGTTGTCCCTTGCTGCCTCACCCTTCCATATGCTTTCCCAAAGCTGCATGCTTGGTGAAAGGATGGGGTCAAAGGTACATGAGTAGCTGCCTAGAACCTCCAAACAAGCGCTCTAAAACTGTTAAGGCCTCACTTGAAGATGAAATATATATATATATATATATATATATATATATATATATATATATGCTTGCAGGACAGGAAGAAGTGGGGTTTTTTGGTTGTTTTTTTTTTCCAATTGTGTTTGGCATATTGAATATGTCCCGGGTAGCTTGCTGGGCTACAAGTCTCAAAATGGAGACGTTATCGATGAACAGTGGAGGACAGTGCTACAGTTTTTTTTTTTCCAACATTAAGCAGAAACAACAGATTATCAATGTTAATACAAAAGCTGAATATAATGATAAAGCAGAAGTATACATGGACCAAGTAAACATTTAGCTTTGAAGTTTGGAGTAGGAAAATAAGTTGTCAGAGGAATGAGGGAGATAACTGGTGAATTAAAGCATTCTGTCATCTGATGAACAAAAACTGAAATGATCCATTTTATTTGGAGAATGAAGATACCAGAAGATTCACAGTATTTCAAGTTGGTATACTGGGGAGCAAGCTGGAGTGATAGCACAGTGGGTAAGACGTTTGTCTTGCACTCGGCCAAACCCACATTAGATTCCTCCATCCCTCTCCGAGAGTCCGGCAAGCCACTGAGAGTATCCCGCCCGCAAGGCAGCCTGGCAAGTTCCCCATGGCGTATTCAATATACCAAAAACAGTAACAAGTCTCACAATGGAGACGTTACTGGTGCCCGCTCAAGCAAATCTATGAACAATCGGAGGACAGTGCTACAGTAGTGCTAGACTGGGGAGCAAGGATTAAGATCTTCAAAAAGTACTTTAGCATTGGACCAGAGTGTTCATACCGGGTTAAAGCACATTCCTTGTAGACAATCAACCTCTTTGGTCTCTGACCCTCAAGCACCACTGGGTGATCTGGGTAGTCCCCAGCAGTACTTCATCCTGTGCCATCACATTGACCTGCCAGTCAGCCAGACCGAGAACCATCAGTAGGGGTCCCTGGGACACCTGAGCACAACTTGGAAGCCCCCCCATTCAATAAATATGTTTTGGCCTCTGGTCTATTTGTATTCTGCCACAGCTGGCATATGCACAGAGAAGATAGTCAAGACTGATAAATGATAACGTTCTTTAGGTTTTCAGTCAATTCCCAAATTATATACTTGAAAACAAGTGGAATATGTCCCGTTTAAAAATGTACACTAAAACTGGCTATCTCAATGTCACGATGATAGCGTATTTTTTTTCTACTACTCTGCAAGGATATAATGGATATATAAGGAAAACAAGAGGGAAGAAAAATGGAATTCAAATTTGGCAAAACAAGTCAATTTATCCCCGTGGTGGCCACACCTGTTATATTTGGCAGATCCTTAGATGACATACAAGGGGCAGAAAGTAATTCCAGTGATTGAACCAACTAGACTGCCTTTCTTCTCATGACCATCTGCACTTGAAATAGCTCAGAGAATGTCCTAGGCATAGAGATCTTACTTGGGGTTTTATCTGGAAGGAGTCAGGGTTGGGTCTTGTGGTGGAGCCCAGGAATCTCTTGGCTCTGCACTTGGGGATCATTTCTGGCAGTGCTCGGGGTACCGTGAGATGGTGCTGGGATGGAACCGGAGCCCCTTATGTGGAAGGCAATCTGCTCAACCTTTTCTGCTCAAGTATTTGCCCTGCCCCTACTTCATGTTATGGGGAGGTTTAATCTAAAATTGGGAACCTGAAGAGAGCTCAGTGGGCTGAGCATATACTTTGGGTACAGGGAGCCAGGTTTGATCCCTGGCTCTGCACAATCCCCTAAGAACCAATAGGAGTGGCCTCTGAGCACAGTGCTGGGAGTAGACCCTAAAGATTGCCAGCTATGGTCCTCAAACCAATAAATGAATTAATGAAATTCCTATTGGTTCAATCCTGTTCATCTGTATACCCTAGCACTCAGCATAGTCTAGGATCAAATATACTTGAATAGGGGACTGGAATGATAGTGCAGCGGGTAGAGCACTTGCCTTCCATTCAGTCCTGGCACTACCTTATGGTACCCCGAGCATTGATGGAAATGATCCCCAAGCACAATGCCAGGAGTGATCCCTGAGTACTACCACATGAGGCCAACACCGCTGCCCCCTACCCCAAACAGGAAATTTTTTCCCCTTATTTGATTTTTAACTCCTGTCCCAAAGGTGGCACTCTATGCAGCAGGACCTAAGCAGACTTTCCAAGAGGCTAATTTATTTTTAAATTTTTAGGTGTACCTCACTGTTACCTCTGTGTAATCATTAAACCAAAGTGTTTAATCATTAAAGCAAGATGTTGCTCTGGGTGAAGCCACAAATATCTAGTAAGAGTTTTAGACAGAACACAGAACTAGATGGTAGAATCTTGACCCAATTTTATCAATCTCTATGCTTGCTTTCATACCGAGAGCATTATTCTCTGGACTATGTTTAAATCCCTCCCTTGAATTACCCTTCAACATTCTTGCCCTTCTTTCCTCATCCACATAATTTATAGCAAACCTGAAAATGACTAGAGCATAAATATTTTAGGTTTTTTTTATTATGTGCAGTATGTTAGTATTTGGGTTCCCCCCCCCCCCCCCGATACTTTAAAAGTCTGGAAGTAGTTTTGGCTGATTGCATAAAATTAGACGAGGTTCTAGCTGTGACCTGCAATATCTTGTTCATCCATCACCTGGCAGAATCATCTTGAATGAATCCAACTTGTGTATGCTTATATGTTCCCAGAGAAAAACAATAACTGCAGTTTGGTGTCACAAATCACCAGCCTGTATCCTATAACACATTAGTAGCATTTCTGCTGTCATTTTGCTCAATATGTCTGTTTTGTAACATTCCCACTTCAAACCACGGCCTCTTTTCTACCACACACACTTTTCTTGACTGGGCACTTGTCAGTGCCATGGTCCAGCAAACAAATCCCACCTGTTTATCAGGAATAACACCATAGCTTCATAACAGTCACATGGACTTCTTAGCTGATCTTGCCCAGTTTTTCTCTGTCTTCAGTGGACGGTGGTGTTCATCAAAGATGACCTCAGCTAGTAACACTGAGCTCTCAAGATGTTCTGGACCATCTTGTTCTTGCCTTGGCTTTTTTTTTTTTTAATCTACTTTTGGTTTTGAAATCACATCCAGCAGCAGCAATCAGGGTCTACTCCTGGCTCTGTGCTTTGGGAACTATATGTGTGCTGGAGTTAGAATCCAAATCAACTACATGCAAGGCAAAAGCCTTATCTGTCCCATCTTTCTGATACAACTAAACTTGTTTATTTCTTAATCAGGGATCTATGCAAAAGAACAAAAATGTGAAGTTTATTGAAGTCTGGGCTCAGGATTGACACACTGTTTTCTTGACTTTAGTAAGATTATGAAACCAAACAAAATGCATGGGGAGGGGGAAAAACAGACTGCACTGTTGGTGGAAGGAGCTGAAAAATTAAGTTGCTACAAGTGATGTAAACACTGGGGACAGTGAGGAAATATAACATCCTCCACTAAGTGGATAAGGCCTCTTATCCTCAAGGCCTCCCTGCCAAACTTCTCTGTGCAATCAGAACTATCTGGAGGGTTTTTTAAAACACAGATTGCTGTCCACCCCACCACTTTATTGATTCATAGGTCTGCTAGATCAAACTTCTGTTTTTCAAACAAGTTTTCAAATGTTTCTGATGCTGCTGGCTTTCAAATCACGGTTGAGAGGAATTATTCCTCGTGGTGCTTGGAGGACCATATGGGATGCCAGGGATTGAAACTGGGTTGACCGCCTGCAAGACAAACACCCTACTTGCTGTACTATCACTCCAGCCTGAATATTTTCAATTATACTTTTTCTTTGATCTCTTGATTTGGGTTTTGGCTTGGTTCTGGGCCCACACCCAGTGGTGCTGTGCTCCGAAGTCACTCCTGGTGATGCTGGGTCAGCTTTGTGCAGTACAGACACCAAACCTCTGTACTATCTCTCTTAAAATCTTGTCATTCTTAAAGATTCAACAGAGATGGGAAATAATTCAATGTGTAAGTTGTAATGTGGCCACCCAGGTACTATAGGGTTTGATCCTCAGAACCCTATATGGTCCCCTGAGTACAGAGTAGGAGTAAGCTCTGAGCAATGTGAGATATGCCCATCACCAAAAAAGGTAAAGGCCCTCCCGTTGATCATCGATTTGCTCGAGCGGGCCCAGTAACGTCTCCATTGGAGACTTTGTTGTTACTGTGTCTGGCATATCGACTACTCTCGGTAGCTTGCCGGGCTCTCCGAGAGGGGCGGAGGAATCGAACTCGGGTCGGCCATGTTGGCCGCTTGTAAGGCGAACGCCCTACCCGCTGTGCTATCGCTCCAGCCCATCACCAAAAAAAAAAAAAAAAAAAAAAAAATCAGCTGAAACGTGACCTACTCCAGAAAGGTAGTCCCTCACTTCTGTAATAATTTTTTCCAACTTCCATTATTTTTTTCACTTGCTTTCTAAGTATCACTTCACATTTGGAAATTACCTAATTTTTTATTTTTTTTTTAATAGTTTTGGGCCACACACCTGGCTCTGCTTAGGAATCACACCCATCAGTGCTCAGGGGACCATATGGGATGCTAGGGACCGAACCCAGGTCATCTGTATATAAGGCAAGCCCCCTACCCGCTATACTGTCATTCAGTCCCATAATTATTTGTATTTGTATATCTATTTCTGTCTTCTTTTACCAATTCCGAGCTTTTTACTTAGTGAAAGCTCAGAGTCTTTTACTAACTCTGAGCTTATAAGGGGGACTCTTTTTTCTCTTGTATATCCAGCTCTGTATATCCAGTGTTCTTTACAGTATTTGACAAAGAGTGTTTTTGTAAATGTGTTAGATAAGTGAATGCCCAGGAGGGGAGAGAGGGTCTAAAACTGCATTCTTCTCATCATCATTCTGTAACTCTTCTCTTCTTGCCTTGGTCAAATTTTTCTTCTTTGGGCAGGGGGGTGAGGGGGAAATCACACCCAGCAATGCACAGAGATTACTCCTGGCTCTGCACTCAGGAATTACTCCTGGCAGTGCTTGGGGAACCACAGGGGATGCTGGGAATCGAACCTGGGTGCAAGGCAAACACCCTACCTGCTGTACTATAAGTCCAGCCCCCAAACTTTACTTCTAAATCTGCCAAAAAACTTCATTTCTGGAACTTCAGTTCTTTCAGATTCACTACAATATAATTGTTGATGTTTTAAAAATCCATTTTTTTCTTTTTAAAAGTTTTTGGCTTGAGGAACCACATCAGCAGTGCTCAGGGGTTACTCCTGGCTCTGCACTCAGGAATCACTCCTGGTGGTGCTCTGGGGACCACATGGGATATCAAGGATGGGTAAGCCACATGCAAGGCAAGCAGCCCTACTCATTATACTATTGCTCCAGCCCCTAAAAGTTCATTTTCTGCATTGGAGAGAGCACGAGGGGTTAAAATATTTGCCTTGTACACAGCTGAGCCTGGTTTGGTCCCCAGCACCACCTGTGGTCCCCTCAATATTATCCTAGGAGTGATCCGGAGCGCAGACCCAAGAGTAAGCCCTGAGTACACAAGGGTGTTTGCAGCATTCCCTCAAGAAAAAAGAACAAGTGCTTGAAGGCACTAGAGAAAATTCAAAAGGCAAAAACAGTGAATTGAACCATTGAAAAACTAACCTTGTTGAAAGAGAACAGCAAAAAAAAAAAAAGAAAGAGAACAGCATTTACGTGGCTTTTTTTTTCTGGAGATCCTCCGATCCACTCAGAGGTTGAAACACTGGCAGAGAGTCAGAGTTCATGCAGGGACTGAGCTCTGCAGCTATTAGAATGATGTCAAGGAGGGAAATGACAGAAAGGAAACTGAAAGGGGACATGTTAATACGTGCATGCAAACTTCCAACAAGTCCTTAGCTGACCCTGCAGTGAAAACTTGAGTGACACCATGGAGGGAAATGAGAGAAAGGAAACTTGAAAGGGGATGTGGTCATGCGCATTGCTTCCACTTCAGGAAACATATTTGGAAAATGAGTCCCACCTGCTTAGGGACTCAGTTTCCAAATGTGTTTTCAAAGGGAATTAAAGGCCCTGCAGCAGAATAATTAGTAGAGCTAGTAAGTCTGTTTAGCAATTTGCATAATATAAGATCTGGAAACACTTGTATGTCTATGTACACCAGCAACACATTTGAAATTTGATACTGACAAGTACATGCAAATAACTTCAGTGAATTAAAACAATAATTGGTCAGTGTGATATCTCCAAGGACTAGAGCACCACAACTCTGAATTCCATCCAGGGAAACTCAAGTTTCCATCCAGGAGAGGAAGCAGTTCTGCATTAAGGTCAAGGGGGCTGGCTCCTACAGCCTCTGAACAAACTAGTTGCTGGCTGTTATTTATTCTGGAGTTCTCTCACTCTGGTAGGAATGCAAAGTGGGCCATTTTGCAGAAGAGGCAGCTTCCTTAAAGCTTAAAATGTGTCCGCCCAACTGGGAGAAGGGATTACACCTACCAACTTTCTTTTTTCAAAGCCAAGAGAATGTTGCCATTCACAAAAGAAACCCATGCATTTTTAATTCTATCTAAACTTGATCGCTATAAAGGCAAAGCATAAAGGTAAAATGAGATTCAAAAAGCATTTACTGCGGGTGGGGGTGGGGGTGGGGGTGAATCCTCTTCAGTCTGTCTTGGTCCAATAGCGCCCATGAGCTGGTAAAATCAGGCGTTCGGGAGTCTGCAACGGGCACTGAGCATGTTTGCAAGACCAAGTGCCAGAAACCAGTTTTCTGCCCCACCTCCACTTCCTGCCGCCTGCGACTGGTTGCAGTTTCGATTCTCGGGTTTAGGTTTCCATTCAGCTGCAACTCCCAGCACCAGGAAATTCCAGCTCCTCGACAGGCTTTAAAAGGTCTGCGACCCGAGGAAGGCTGGGGAGATGGAGGAGAACCGGGCTGCAGAGATGACAGCCGGAGAGAGGGAAAATCTCATCGCCTTCAGGGACTACGTTATAAAGATTCTGGACCCTACCTACATCCAGTGCTTCATGGCCACTTGGTTTAGCGAGGGTGAGTGATCCCCAGCTGCGTCCAGTCCAGCGCCTAATGCAGAAAAAAATCCAGGACTTGTTTTTTTCCCTCCCCCGCACCCTCCCCGATTTCTTTGAACTAATACAGGTAGCCTGCAATGAAGGAACTCAGAGTTTGTGCTAAGGTACCAGCATTTTGAGATTTTTAAAAAATTCGCAGATGAGATCTGCAGTCTTGGAGCGTCTGAGGGATAAGCGGAGCCCCGGTGAGGTGGAATGACTCACTTAGCAGTGCACGCTGTGCGCGTTTGAGCTGGGAAAACAAATCGCCATCCATTTCTTCTATTTGTGTTTGTCATTGTACCGACGTCAGAGACCCAGAGAAACGCCTTTCTCTGCCATACCGGCAATGCAGCCCAGAGTTTGGGCGGTGAACGCTTGGTTTTTAAAAAAAAAAGACTGTCAGAGCTCCGCGGAAGTTTTCCCGCGCTCTGCTGGGTCTTCCATGCACTTCCAAAATCATCGGAAACTTCGTTTAAAAGGAGCAGGACTCCCAGCACTGAATGGATTTGGGCTTTTGCAAAACGCTTCCAGCTCGCTTTTGAAGAGCACGATGATGAGCAGGAGTGGGGGGGGGGGGGCGGGTAGAGAGGAAGGGGCATGTGCCTGGGAGGGGTAGAGAGAAGGGATTTGACAGCTCCTTTCAAGCTCCAAGTGCCTTGGTACATTCTTGGCTTGGGGCAGGTTGTTGCTGTTGTTGTTGTTGTTGTTGTTTTAAGCGTATTAAAGCAAACGGTAATCTGAGTTATAGTGGCTGGGTTGTAGTGAGAAATTGAAAGAATATCACCAACAAAAGTGGATTTCTGCTTTCTAGTTGTGCTCAGAAGGAAGTAAAATGATGTCTATCGGTGAAGTGGGAGTAGTCTGCACTTTAAAATATAAGCCCAGGCAATTTCTTTTGGAAAATTTTGGAGTGAATGACACACTTGACTAACCGGTAGGAATCCCATTCTTTAATACTTATTAACAGGTATTATCTAGTATTGAGAGTTATATGCACATTACTACATTATGAACAAGAAATATTCCTTTTAGGAACTGAGGGTCCAGTGATGAATACAATAGAGGTGCTTCCTGTCCTAATAGAGACTAGAAAATACCTGTAAAAGCAAGTAACTCAAATAAATAAACTATAGGGTGTGCTTTGATGATACCTACTATTGTAAAATTTAGATTGGATGTCTACCTTGTCTGAAGGCGGCAAGCAAAGCATCCAGTTATGCTGTATTTTGACCTGAGATCTAAAGTAGGAATGAGAATTTTCTGGAAGAGACTAAAGAGAGTAAGTCTCGTTTATTGTGCAAAGGTCCAAAGTAAGATAAAATGCATTGTGTTCTGGGTTCCAGAGATGGGACTTGTGTGACTGAGGCAAGGAGTAAGAGGTAGAGGAGATAAGGGAAATTGAGGCTCCTGAGGCAGATGGAAGTGAGTACATGAGCAGCTTTGAACTGATTTACTGAAAGTTTTGAGGGAAGACAAAAATCATGTTTAGGTTATAGGAAAAAAATCTGACTGCATCTAGAGGAATGAATAGGATAGACATAAGAATAGTTGATGAACACCCAAAAGGAGAGAGAGAGCAAAAGGGAATACCCTGCCACAGAGGCAGAGTGGGATGGGGGGGTTGGGGGGTGGGAGGGATATGGGGACCCGTGATGGTGGAAAATGGGCAGTGGTGGAGGGATGGGTGTTTGATCATTGTACAATTGAAACCCAAGCACACAAATTTGTAAATCTACAACTGTACCTCATGGTGTTTCACTAACAAAAATTTTTAAAAACTGTAAATGATGGAGAATGGGCACTGGTGGAGGGATGGGTACTGGATCATTGTATAACTGAAACCCAAGCACAAAAATCTGCAAGTCTACAAATTTACCTCATGGTGTTTCACTAATAACAATAAAAAAAAAAAGAATAGTTGATGAATAGATTTCAGTATACGAGAGAGCATAGCAACACTGGAGACTGGAAATCCAGGTCAAAGAAGAGGAATGGAGAGTAATGGGAGAGATGGATTGATTCATAAGATGCTGGAAACATACAGAGTGTTTATTCATGAGGACGCTAGGAGGCAGGTGGGTGATGACAGTGGAGAAAGACTCCACTGTTTCTGTCTGAGAACTCCAAATGAAAGAATGGCTGTGTGATAAACGCCATGTGGAGACACAGGTTTGCACTAGATTCACGGTCCAGATCTGTACAAGGAGAGATGGTCATGTTGTTGGCTCCTCGTAGGTATGATGCTCTGGGGGAAAGTCTAGGGCTGAGAAATCATTTGTGTAGAGTTGCTCTCTGGAACAATGGGAGAGGGTGAGAGTCCCCATGGGAGTGTCAGTGGAAAGAGCCTGGAACAGAACCTTGAGAAAGCTGATCCTTTATGAAGAGAGCCCACAGGATTGGTCCATGGTTGGAAGCTTGCCTCAGGTATTACGGAAGAAGGCAATTGGGGTAGAGAAGGGACCACTATGACAAAGATAATTGGAAATGACCATTCTGGATAAGGACTGTGTGCTGAAAATAGGTAAAGGAAAAACATGATAACCTCTCAGTATCTATGTTGCAAACCCCAAAAGGAGAGAGGGAGAAAGAGTCAGAATGAGAGAGAGAGAGAGAGGGAAAGAGAGAGAGAGAGAAAGAGAGAGAGAGAGAGAGAGAGGGAAAGTGCTTGCCATTGGCTGGGGGTGGTAGTGGTGGGAGGGAAACTGGGGATGCTGATGGTGGGAAATATGCAGTGGTGGACAAATGGAAGTCGAAACATTGTAGGACTGAAACCAACCATGAACAGCTTTGTAATTGTCTGCCTCATGGTCATTCAGTGGAGGAGGAAGAGGAAGAGGAGGAGGAGGAGGAGGACGAGGAGGAGGAGGAGGAGGAGGGAGGAGGAGGAGGAGGAGGAGGAGGAGGAAAGTAGTGACCCCATGAACAGCTTTGTAATTGTCTGCCTCATGGTCATTCAGTGGAGGAGGAGGAGGAGGAGGAGGAGGAGGAGGAGGAGGAGGAGGAGGGAGGAGGAGGAGGAGGAGGAGGAGGAGGAGGAGGAGGAAAGTAGTGACCCCATGAACAGCTTTGTAATTGTCTGCCTCATGGTCATTCAGTGGAGGAGGAGGAGGAGGAGGAGGAGGAGAAGGAGGAGGAGAAGGAGGAGGAAAGTAGTGACCCCATGAGCAAGAGAGATGGAACAGTCATTGAGGCATTTGCCCTTCACATGATAGATTCTGATTCAATCCCTGGCAACTCATATGGTCCCCTGAGCACAGCCTGGAGTAAGCACTAAGCATAACCGAGAGTGGCCCATGCCCCTAGTATGCTGTACAGTATCAGTGCTGTAGCAGAGGCACATAATGACAAGAGAGACCAGAGTAGAGATCAATAAATTCTGCCTTGAGAAGCTATGTAGGCATCACAGAGTGATCAGGTAAGCAAAGAGTGGAAACCGCAGCCCATGATGGAATTTAACTGAGGGGAATTTTCAGTACTTTGGAGAAAAGTCTCACTATATATAGTCACATATAATGGAGCTGAGTAGCAGCAGTATGTGCCCAACAATGTCACTATCCTCCCGTTGTTCATCGATTTGCTCGAGCGGGCCCAGTAACGTCTCCATTGGAGACTTTTTTGTTGTTACTGTGTTTGGCATATCAAATACATCACGGGTAGCTTGCTAGGCTCTGCTGTGTGGGCGAGATACTCTCGGTAGCTTGCCGGGCTCTCCGAGAGGGGCGGAGGAATCGAACTCGGGTCGGCCATGTTGGCAAATGCCCTACTGCTATGCTATCGCTCCAGCCCCCAACAATATGTGAAGTAAATCTAAACTATCAAGGATTTGGTAAGTTTTTCCTGGGAAGTTTTCTGCCGTTCCTGGAACATATCTGAACTTCCATGTGGAGGATCAGTAATAGGTGGCTGTTGCTTAGGGATGAACAAATGGCAGTGATTGGAGTGGGGAGTGGTTCAGCTGCAAGGACTTGGTTGAAAAACATGATTAACCATCTCAAAAGATCAGAGTAAGATTGTGCAGGGACTGGGAGAGGTGGCAAGATAGGTTGCTGTTATGGGTTGACCTGTCCCCCACCCCCAAAGATAAGTTGGAGTCCTAACTGTGGTGCTTCGAAATGCAGCATGATTTGAAACTGCTATGCCAGAGGTGAATCATTAAGATGAGATCATACTGGAGTTGGGTGGGTTTTAATCAAATGTGATTGGTGACCTCTTGAAATGCCAGGTCTGTGAAGATAGGCAGAGATAGCCATGATGTGGCCACAGACAGAGAGGAAGGAAATGTGAGGAAAGTGGCAAGGGTTGGAGTGCAGTGGCTCCTACTAACTATTAGGGGCTGGAAGAGGGCAAGGGAAATGTATTGTTCCCTAGACCCGGGGTTTTCAACCTTTGCTCATCTGCCTCGGTCCACCAGTCTGTGCACCAGAGGACCAGCAATTAGTAACCACAGCACTAGATCTGCGGTTCTCAATCATTTTTACACCTGAGGATAAACATTGGCCCGTGGTGCAGTGGTTGAAAATACTGATGTAATAACTGCATGACTGGGGGAGAAGTTTCAGTGAACTGCCAGGAAATGTTTGTAGGTTGAAGAATAACAGCGCCATAGAGCCTTTGGAGGAAATTTTGTCTGTCCAATACCTTGATTCCACACATCGGCCTCCAGAACTGCCAGAGAATAAGCATCTATTTGTTTTGAAGTCATCCTGTTTTCAGTAATGTGTTAGTGCAGCCTTAGAAAGCTAATAAAGATGGCTGGTTTTTTTAAAAAGGTGTTGACAAAGATGTGTAGAAATTGGAGTTATCACAAATTTCTGGCAGGAATTCAAATGGAACAGCTCTGTTTGACATCAGTTTGATAATTTCTTACAGTATTAAACATGAGTCACCATATCCAGTGGGCTGGAGTGATAGCACAGTGGGCAGCGCGTTTGCCTTGCATGCAGCCAACATGGCTGACCCGAGTTCGATTCCTCCGCCCCTCTCGGAGAGCCCGGCAAGCTACCGAGAGTATCTCGCCCGCACGGCAGTGCCTGGCAAGCTCCCCGTGACGTATTCGATATGCCAAACACAGTAACAACAAAGTCTCACGGTGGAGACGTTACTGGGCCCGCTCAAGAAAATCAATGAACAACGGGAGGACAGTGACAGTGACAGTGACCATATCCAGTAGCTGTCACCCATCCTGGTATTTCTCAAAAGAAATAAATATGTATATCCATGACAATATCCATGTATATCCATGACAATCCTTGTACATGAGTGTTTGTTTATAGTTTTACTCTTCCAAAGAATCAAAATGTAGGAACCACCTACATGCAGTGGATTGTTACTCAGCAGTAAAAAGAAGGAATTTTATCTGTTACAACAGAATGAACTTAGAAAGCATTGTGCTAAGTGGAATAAAGTAGTTATAAAGACCACATACTGTATGATTCCATTTATATGAAATGTAAAGAGGCAAATCCATGCAGTTCCATTGAGATTAGTGGTTGTCTGGGGCTAAGAGAAGAGCCTGGGGAGTGACTACTAAGAGGTACAAGATTTCTTCTTCTGTTAATGAAAATGTTCTAAAATTAGAGAGCAGTGATGAATTACCAAGTCTAAAGACCATTTAACTTTACACTTTAGAAAGATTAATTTTATGAGGCCAAAGAAGTAATCTATTCATTAAGGTATTCACCTTACTTCCCTCCCTCTATGACTCAATCTCATACCATATAAGGCATCCTGAGCACTGCCCGGAGTGATCCCTGAAAACTTCCAGGTGTAGGATCCTTCCCAAAAAATGACAACAACAAAAAAGAAAGATTAATTTTATTGTTGCCAGAGACATTGGTAGAGAGCTCTTGAGCTAGAGTTGGGATAGAATCCCTTCCTTTCTTCCTGTATTCATTCAACATGATTTTGTTGAGTCCCTATTATGTGTGATCCGCCTCTATGATCTGAGGATACATTGGTCAAGCCGCACCACAACTGGTGTGCTCCCTTCACATTTACTTCCTGTCAGCAATGCCAGATATGGGAATGTATTTGAGACCTGGACTTACCAAGGGAGCAGCCTGGTCCTGCTCTTCAGGGTCAGTGGAGTGAGCGTGGGGTGTCAATGTGACCGTCTCCATGATGGGGGATCATTTTCTGTGCCCTGAATTCATTGTGTTTCTCTTTAGTTCCTTTTGCCCTATCTTTGATGCCATATATCCTGTCTTGTTTTGTTCTGTTTTAAAGCAAAAACCTATAAAAAGAACCAGGGACATATCTCTTTATTCCTAACTGCTTACTAACATGGAGTTCTCTCTCACACTGTTTGATTCCCCAGCTCATGCACACTTGGCTGTTTCAGGAATCCTTTGGTTGTTCATCCAGCCCCATGATCTAGCTACTCCTTTCTGGTTGTGGAGAGACTTTTCCAGTCATCTTGAAGAAACTCCTTCTCTTAAGGACTGCACTAGAGAAAGTTTCCAAACAGGATGGCTGAGTGGGTTGGTGAAGAATAGGGAGATGTCTGAGCAGACATTGCTGCCTTCTAGTGCTAGGATATGAGAAGATCCAGCCAACCTTCTGGAATTCTCTCGCAGTGAGTTTCCTTTCCATCTTGTTCCTATTTGTAGAGAAGCTGCAGCTCATCCAGACTGAGAAAAACAACAAGGGCACTATAGAAGCTGCTTCCCTTTTTTTCAAATATTTATTGGAGCTCCAGGAGGATGGTTGGTTCCGCGCGTTTCTGGATGCCCTTCACCAAGCAGGTCAGTTCATTCTTCCTACTCACCGGTTTTTTATTTGATTTTCAAAACTCTGGAAAAGTGAAATGCTATTAACTTGGTGGTTTTTGTTCTTTGGGTTTGGGGACCACTCTCTGTCAGGACTGGCTCCTGGCTCAGCCTTCAGGGATCACTACTAACAGGGATCAGGGAACCACATGGGGTGCCGGGGATAGAACTTGAACTGGTCACATGCAAAGCAAGCACCCTACCGTCTGTACTATTGCTCTGGCTGCATTTTTTTCTTGGAATAATATGAAATAATACAGAAGAAAGCAAGCTCCTGAGGAATAGGAATTAAGACTTTTATTTCTTTTTACCCTCTTTTTCTATTTTGCACTGACACTAACACATTGGTTTGATTTATTGAAAGACAATTATGAGATGTAGGTGAAGTCCCTGGGGCACTTTGGAAGGAATATTTTATACTAAGACCAAATGTCACACTTCACATTTATCCTAGTACTTTCTTCTTAAATGGTGCTTATGATGAATATTAACTTTTCTTTTTGAATGATCATTAATAAATGAGGTGATTTATATATCCTAAAAATTTCTCTTCCTGTAATTCCAAACATGTTACTAATATTTTTTTTGAAGTAAAACATTTTATTTGGAGGTTTTAGGAAAGGGAAAGAGGGAGAGAAAGAGAGCGAGAGAGCGAGAAAGAGAGCAAGCGAGTGAGCGAGCTAGAGAGAGAGAGAGAGAGAATAATGCACTCAAGAGAGAATACAGCTTTTCCAAAGGCAGAGAGAGAGCTTCACCATACATCTCAGTATTAGATATGGAAGCATGAAAGCACACATCTCAAGAAGGAAGAAGATGCGGGTGACACATGCTCAGATGCCATATGTACTAGGCCTCATGGTCACAAGCAGCAAATGCACCAATCTTGCAGTAATTTTTAGTCTCATGAAAGTCCCATTTGCTCCTTGCTTTTCAGGTTATTCTGGACTTTATGAAGCCCTTGAAAATTGGGATTTTAAAAAAATTGATGACTTGGAGGAGTATAGATTGTACTTAAGGCGTTTACAACCAGAATTTAAAACCACAGTTGATCCAGCAGATATCCTGCCTCATCTGTATGAATGTCTAATCACTCAGGAATATGAAGAAATTACACAGGTATTTAATTAATATAAAATGTTCAGATTTGGGGAATAATTTGAATATGGGAAATTTCTTTTTCCATTCTTTCATCTTGAGAAAGGTAATTGAAACCCACAAAACCCAATTTCTCAAATACTACCCTGAATAGTAATTTGTTTATTTAGTTTTGGTTTTTTGGCCACATGAAGCTGCGCTCGGAGCTTACTTCTGGCTCTGTATTCTGGGATCACTCCTGGTTGTGCTCAGGAGACCAGATGTGGTGATCGGAAACCAACTTGCCTTTCCCACGTACAGCTTATTTGGAACTGAGCAACTTTTTGTTCACAAGTTAGTCTCCTTTCAGGCTTGTCCTCTTTTCATCTAAGATCATTTTAATGCTTTTGTGAATGATGTTTTCTGAAAATCTCAGTAAAATAGAACAATTTAGCAAAGTAAAAGAAAAAATTCTTTTAACTCCAAAGGCTTAAGTGTTCAGGCTCTGGAGAGAAATTAATTGTGTTGTAATCCTCGCTCAGCCACTTTTGATATGATCTTAAGCAAATTACTCATTGTTTCTAAGCCTCATTTCTTCATGTTTAAGATGAAAAGAATGATAATAGCACCTTGTCAATGTGATGCATTTTGTTTGATTGTTTGGTCACATCCAATAGTGCTCAAGAGATACTCCAGATTCAGTGTTCAGAGGTTTGCTTCTGGAAGTATTAGAAGGCACATCTTGTACCAAATATCAAATCCAGTTCTCTGGCAGTTAGGCTCAGTTCCACTAAGTCTGTTTCATTCTTTGCCCCCTTTCTATGATAGTTATAGGGATAATTTGTGGAAGTTACATTAAAAGGTAAAGGTAAAGGCCCTCCCGTTGATCGTCGATTTGCTCGAGCGGGCCCAGTAACGTCTCCATTGGAGACTTTGTTGTTACTGTGTCTGGCATATCGAATACTCTCGGTAGCTTGCCGGGCTCTCCAAGAGGGGCGGAGGAATCGAACTCGGGTCGGCCATGTTGGCTGCGTGCAAGGCAAACGCCCTACCCGCTGTGCTATCGCTACTGGAAGTTACATTACCCTGAAGAAAATATTTATTGATATTTTATATCCTTCTAAATTGCTCTTTATACTATTATTTTGAATATTTGTCATATAAATAGATTGTTTTCCACTGCTATTGATGATGATAAATCTTAGAGGTGGCAAGAGTAGTTCGTTTCTCATTGTGATACCACATGTAGGGGGCAAGGATGAAGGAAAGAGTATTTTAAAAGACTGTTGGATGGGACAAAAGTGGACATGAATAGTGCAATGAATAGGGCATTTGCCTTGCACACAGCCAACCTGGTTTTGATCCTCTACATCCCATCTGGTCCCTCAGCATTGTCAGGAATAATTTCTGAGCACAGAACCAAAAGTAAGTCCTGAGTATTGCTGACAACACCCAAACAAAAAATAAATAAAAAAGAACATGAATACTTATAGAAGCATAGTATGCAATGCTTTAAGAATCAGATAGTATTTGACTTGATATTTCTTCAGTAAAGCTTATGAAAGAAAATAATTGAAATTAAAAATACTTAAATCCTTGTTAATGATCTGTGGTTGTTCCTCAAGATTTGTTCCTCCAAGGGACCAATGGCAGGTGCAGAGAAACTGGTTGACTGCCTCATAAGATCGGATAAGAGCAACTGGCCCAAAACTTTGCAGCTTGCTTTGGAGAGAGAAAATAGCAAATTCAGTGAACTGTGGATTGTTGAGAAAGGTAGGCTATTAGAAGTAAGAGTTCTGAGGGCGGGAGGGTCTGCACATGCTCATCTCTCTTTATCATTCTGCTCAGGGCTTCCTCATTCCTGCTTGATTTTCATTTCTTGTCAGAGAGAAAAGCATCCTGAAACACTTTTTCCATTTGATATCCAAGGCAACATCTGGATGAAATTGAGTGCTGGCAGGCAGGTGGCTACTCGCCTGCAGAAGTGGTTTGTTTGATTGCACGATACTTATCAAAGTGGACCAGGGAAAATAGCTCCATCCAGAATGAAATCATTTCTTTCCAATGAGGAGGCAGAATCTGACTGCCAGCTCAGAATAAATTCAGGGTTTAAAGGATCAAAGAAATACCTAAAGAGCAGTTCATTTCCTTTTCTGAGTGCAAAATGAGAGGCAGTCCCTGTTTCTCTTGCCTGGAAGCCACCTGGAACTCTGGAACAGGAATGAAAAGTTCCTGACGATAACTTCTTGAAGCACTGGTTTAGTGCAACATCTAGCTTTTCTTTTATTTCTTTCTCAAGTTGTTCCAGAAATTGTATGAATACATATCTGATCTTTGGTCAGGGCTTAATCAGAAATGGAAAGAATGAGTGTCTGCTAAATTATGTTTTTCTTATCTGTGGCATGCCTGAGAACCATGCAGGGTCTGGCTAAAACAAAGATTTGAATTAAGTAGTGGCTCAAGAATGTGCATTTCTTTTAACTCTGGAAGCTGCTGTTTCAGTTCCATACTTTATTCCTTTTTGGGGGGCTACATTGGGCAGTGCTCAGGGGCGGCTCTCGGCCCAGTGCTCAGAAGTGATAGGGAACCATTCAGTGCCAGGAATTGAAAGTGAGCATCCTTCATGCAAGACATGCCCTCCAGACCTTTGAGTCCTCTTCCCTCCTGTCATATTCCACACTTGTAATGATGTCCTAAGTGTCCTAGAAACACAGATTACAATTTGAGATTTCAAATTTACAATGAGATCCTTAAAAATTTTATTAGAAGGTGAGAGGATGGAGCAGTAGTACAGTGGGTAGGGATCTCACCTTGCATGAAACTGACCTGGGTTTGATCCCAGGCATCCCATATGGTGCCCTGAGCATCTCTGGCTGTTGTCCAAAAATAAAAATAAAATAAAATAAATTGCCTTAAAAGGTCAACAAAGTGGTTGTGAAGAATCTTAAAGTAAGCATAAAAATTTAGTGTTATGATCACTTTACTGAACTGTAGTAAGGTTATATGAAGGTGCAGGGATGATGAAAAGCAGTGGCATCAAAGCTCATGCCTTGCATATGTGAGGGCCTGAGTTCAGTCCCTGACACCACATGCCACCCAGAGCACTGCTGAGTGAGCACCCACAACAATATAATTTTTTTTTTTTTGCTTTTTGGGTCACCCTGGCGATGCACAGGCATTATTCCTGGCTCATGCACTCAGGAATTACTCCTGGCGTGCTCGGGGGACCATATGGGATGCTGGGAATCAAACCCGGGTCAGCTGTATGCAAGGCAAACACCCTACCTGCTGTGCTATTGCTCCAGCCCCAATATAAATTTTTTAAAAACTAAGGTGTAAGATACCAAGATGTATTTTGGTCTCATGAAGGTGCCAAAAAGGTCGAAGTGGAAGATCTTAAGGATGATGAAGTGGAAACTTTCGACATACACTTTGTCTACCAGGAAGAAGCAGAAAACCAGAATCTCAGTCAGAATCCATGTCCTCCTTCAGGTATAGCATTGTTTGTTCTTTTGTTGTAACAATTCTCTCCAGGTGTTTTGGTATGGAGACAGGTTTGGTAGGACAAAACATACACTCTTCTGAGAGGACTTTGAAAGAAAATTAGGAAAGAGAAAAGAATTTATGTTCAAATTAATTTTCCCTATAATAAGTAATGCCATTGTTTCTGTTCCATAACTACTATTAGCTTTCGTCTTCCTTTCTTTTTTGCTGTTGTTGTTTTGGCATCACACCAAGTGATACTCAGGAATTACTCCTGGCTCTGCATTAAGGAATCACTCCTGGTGGGCTTGAGGGACTATATGGGATGCTGGGGATCAAACCCTGGTCGACTTCGTGCAAGGCAAGTACCTTACCTGCTTTGCTATCTCTCCAGTCCCGCATCTTCTTTTTTCATCATCTTTTATCACTAAGAATATAGTAATATATACATTTCTTCATTAAAAATGCAGATAATGTCTTCTCAGAAGCTCCAAATTTCTGAAGTTGAAAAGCATTTCTGCTTTCTCAGGAAGTAATTTTACTTCAATTGGAGGTCACTTGCTCAGTTTCTGTTCATGACCCCAGGGTTTCAGTGTAAGTTGGTGCCATTTGTATTCTACATAGATGTGCCTAGCTGAGATCTAGCTGGGCTGTTTTTAGACAGTGCAGGGGGAAGCCATATCCTCCATCAGGATCTTGTTTACTGGTTCACACAAAAGGATCATGTCAATTAGTGCTGGCCCTGTGAGACCTACCTCGTATTTTTTAATCCAAGAAGTTAGAATACATGAAAAGGAAGAGGTGATTTAGAGGAATCACACCACAAGAAGAAAATTTACAGATTATATTTGCAACTGCATGATACAACTCTTTTGGTCATTCCAGAATAAAAATCAGTAAATGTGAGTTGCTTTAAATTTTTCTGATATCAAAAGATTCTGTGTTAATGTACTGATCAAACTGTTTGAAATTTGCCTTTTTAAAAAAAATAGATAGGTGGACAGAGACTGGCACACATCCAAAAGAACAAAAGCAACTGGTGTGGGTGAAGATGTGGGAAGTAAGGGACTCTCTTTCACTGTTCATGGAATGCCGACTGGTCCAGCCTTTTTGGAAAACAATATGGATGTTTCTTTAAAAAACTATAAATTGAGCTCCCATTTGACCCAGCAATACCACTTCTGGGAATATATCCTGGAGATGCAAAAGAGTAAAGTAGGAATGACATCTGTACTTGTATGTTTATTGCAGCACTATTTACAATAGCCAGAATCTGGGAAAAAAAAACCCCGAGTGCCCAAGAACAGATGACTGGTTAAAGAAACTTTGGTATATCTACACAATGGAATACTATGCAGCTTTTAGAAACAATGAAATCATGAAATTTGCATATAAGTGGATGAACATGGAGAGTATCATGCTAAGTGAAATGAGTTAGAAAGATAGGGACAGACATAGAATGACTGGACTCATTTGTGGAATATAAAGTAACATAATAGGAGACTAATACCTAATAGTAGACATAAGGGCCAAGAGGATCACTCCACAGCTTGGAAGCCGATCTCATGTGCTGGGGGAAAAGGCAGCTGGGATAGAGAAGGGACCACTAAGTAAATGGTGCTTGGAGGGCTTGCTTGGGATGGAAGATGTGTGCTGAAAGTAAACTATGGACCAAACATGATGGTTGCTTAGTACCTGTATTGCAAACCATAACACCTGAGTGAAAGAGTAAGAGGGAATGTGCCTGCCACAGAGGCAGGGGGTGGGCAGGGGTGGGGGTGGCAGGAGGAATACTGGGAACAGTGGTGGTGGAGAATGGGCACTGGTGGAGGAATGGGTACTCAAACATTTTATGACTGAAATGTGATCATGAAAGTTTGTAAGTCTGTTAAAAAATAATTAATTTTAAAAATAGGTGGGACTCGGATAATATAGAAGGTCCTTTTTTTAAAATCTTCTCACATTATGTTTTTATGCTAGTGAGATAAATCTTCTGATTTGTTGCTGTTGTTGCTATTATTGGACTGTACTGAGAGTCACCGGGGCCATAATTGGGGATGCTGATCAGGGGATCATGTACAACTGGGAGAGCAACTGGACAAAGCTTTGAACCACTTTGAGCCAAATTAATTTTTTTAAACCAAACTCTGGTTCTGTTGAGAAAAAACACAGTGTGGGAAGCCTGTGTACATATATAGTATGGTTGTTGCTCAGTGAGATTTTGCTTATAAAAATCAATATTTAGAGTTTGATGTTTTTCAAAGGTCTTGGAGAAATTGTTCTATCTAGCATTTTCTTGTACCAGTGGCCTTCTGCCTTGCCCTGAATTGGCATTCCTTGTTTCAGTGTCTCCTTACTAGGCTGTTTAAGAAAGAAATGTTTTTAATTTCCACCCATCCCCACTTCTTTTTAATGAGGAAGAATTCTGTCTCTCAATCTATGTAGAAGTTGGAGTAATTGATGAAAGACCAAGATTCTAAACTTTCTTAAGCAAAGCCCACTTGCTAGAGTCAGAATTTTTGTCTGGTTTACTAGGGCTTTAGGGCTAACCTGACTTGCTAGAGTCAGAATTCTAGTCTATTTGACTAGTCCTGAATCCTCATCGCAGTGATGTTCCTTTTGTATTACAGGAGCAACAGAAGCAATAGAAGCAGAAGTGTCTCAGACTTACTGTCCATTGAAGCCAAGAAATTACCAACTAGAGCTTGCTTTGCCTGCAAAGGAAGGAAAAAACACAATAATTTGTGCTCCAACTGGTAAGCCCATTGCCATTACTTGCAGTTGTTGTTTTTTTTTTTTGCTTGATTTCTTTTTCTTCTTTTTTTCTTTTGCTAAGTATTGTGATATATTTGGCCAGTCTCATTTTTTCCATTGTTCCATTTCTTTTGGAAAAAGCCATCCTATTTTAATATCTTCCTGAAGATATTCGAAAACATAAAAAGGAAAGAAAAAATGCATGTTTGAGTGCATGCTACCTCTGAAGAAGCTTGATATATTTTTTAATGTAAATGCTGACATAGCTAATCTAGTCATGTTACTTATTGGTGAGTCAGCACAGAGCTTCCAGAGGAGCCCCAAATAATGACCTCAGTACAGAAATATTTTAATGTATTAGTTACATGCTTTCTTTTATTTCTGTTAAAAGGTTGTGGGAAAACCTTTGTGTCACTTCTTATATGTGAATACCATCTTAAAAAATTTCCACAAGGACAAAAGGGAAAGGTTGTCTTTCTTGCTAATAAGCTCCCAGTGTATGAGCAGCAGAAATCTGTGTTTTCAAAATATTTTGAAAGATGTGGGTAAGTATAAAAGTTAAACTTTTTTTTTCCTTAAGTTTCATGTAACTGATGTGTTTTACAGTTGTTTTAAATTTTAGGCAACCCCACAATTTCAAAAATATAGGGTAGCTTTAGGTTTTATTTTCTATATTTAATTCCTTAATGGATTCAATCTTTCTTGTTAGATATACCTGGAATTCATACATTTTTGGTTAGCTCTTTTAGAATCAACAATTTGAGGTAAATGTTGTTAAATGGCATACTAAACTTTTTATAAGTTTTATGATCTATTTAATATTACTGTTTTTATAAATTACTCTTTTCTTGCTGTTATTTTTGCTTTGTTTTGGGGAAGGGGGTCAGGGCTTACTGTGCTCAGTACTTACTCCTGGCTCTGCATTCAGGGAAGATTCCTGATGGTCTTGGGAGACCACTGTGATGTAATATGTGGACCAGGGTGTGGTTCAGTCCTATGGCGATAGCACCAGGTTGTCCACACGCAGAGCAAGTGCCACAGCCACCAACTCACTGGTCCCCTTATTTGGTGTCATCAAAAATTGATGTATACTAATGGAAGTTTTAACTTATATGCATATATTGATCATTTACTATGCATCAGGCTCAGAGTATTTACCAAAATTTACCAAAATATCTCCAGATAAATTCTTTTTGGACTTAGGAAGTATTTAATGAATTGACGTTATGATGTAGAGTATCATATATTTGTGGCTCTTTATTCATATCATGGCTGGTAATAGGAAATTTCTATCATGTCCCAGGTACAGAGTTGCTGGTATTTGTGGATCAACAACTGTGATTGTCGTGGTGGAGGAGGTTATTAAGAGCAATGATATCATCATTTTAACACCACAGATTCTTGTCAATGCCCTTAAAAATGGGACTGTTCCATCACTCTCCATCTTCACTTTGATGATATTTGATGAATGCCACAACACCAATAAACTTCATCCTTACAATATGATTATGTTTAGTTATCTAGATCAGAAACTTGGAAAATCTTCTGACCCACTGCCTCAGGTAACTCTAGAGTCAAATGAACTCCTCAGAGGACCTTTAACCTTAAATCCTGCTTCCTTATCTTTATAGCCACATTGACAAAGTCTTCCTCAGGTCCTGAGTCCTTATTATGTGATCATTGATCAATTCTGATCCTTTTGTTCATCTATGCCCTAAAGAAATATGTATTAGGAACATATGCCTAATACACATTTGTATCAGCCATGTGCCATGTATGTGGTATTAGGTATTAAAGTTATAAATACCAAAAGATACAGTTTCTGTTCCCAGGCAGCTTACGTTCCATGGGAACCCAGATATATACGAATGACATCATTATTTATAATGATAGCACAATATTGAGGTAGGTACAAGGTATAATCACAATGAACTAGAACAGATTATATGTGTGCTGTGAATGTAGGCATGACCTAACAGAACTTAGGTTAGGTAAAAACTAACACGGTTTTAGTAATGAGGTAACTTATTTTTAGTAAAGGCTACTATGTATTCAGAGAAACAGAGAAACAATACTATTAAAGGGCATCCTGAAAGAATCCTGAAACTCTCAATATCACTTAAATGTAGAGTGTGAAATAGTGAATCATAGCACTTGAAGCAGGATGAGGAGGGAATGACTGATAGAACAGTATGAAGGAGAGACTAGAGGTCGAGAGTAAGTGGGCAAGTAGATGGATTTGTACTGAAGAATAGATGGAGCACTGTTTTTGGTGTCACAAGAGAGAAGGGAATGTGAAGAGTCAAAATTGTAATTCTTAGATGGGGGTGAGAATCCTGGCATCTACCTCTCTTTTCTCTTGAATGAAAAAGTAGAAAAAGTTCTGAGAAAAACACATGAGAATGGGTTAGGGATATAGAGTTAGATGGAAAGACTTAAAATTAGAGCAGAAACTAAGAGGGATATGCAAACATGCTGCTTGGTTATATTAAGTATCCAAATGAAATTGGAAGCCATGAATGTACAGTCTACCAGTCACATGTCAAATTTTCTAATTCTGGTAATTATCTGATTAAAAAGAACAGGTTAGAAGAAATTCCATATGGTGTCAGTAAGTCAGATTTGGTAGCAATTGCATTTTTTATATATTTTTTTCTTCAGAATGGAATTGGCTGTGAATTTAATTCATTCTAATGAGTCATATTTATTTTATGTACTTTTTATTGAGGTAATATTGGCTTACAAGAGGATAGTTATATGGTTTAGGGGTACAGTATAATCATGCCATCAGTGTTTATCAGGTGGCTGTTAGAGGAAAAGAATGAGTATCAGGTGACCATTGAATCATATTATTCATAAATATCTCATTGAATTCACACTGTTGTTATCTACTGTTATTTACTATTTATTGTTTGTTATGATTTTATAGGCCTCTCCCCAAGACACTATTCAGTTGTCATTGGTGCTTGGGGACCACTAGGGCTCTATGGGGGATCCATCTCAGGGCCTCAATCATGCATATCAGACGTTCCACCTCTTCAAGCCAGTTCCCTGTCCCAACACTACTGCCATTTCCTTCCCACCAGTTTTATTTTATTTTTAATAAAGTTGTCCACAATAATTTATTACATTCAATATTCCAATACCAATCTCACAACCATTACACCTTCCCACTACCATTATTTTCAGTTTTTCCACCATCATAGCCTGCCTCCCAAAGCAGGTCCTAAATAATTTATTTTATATTGCTTGTTATGAATAATCAGTTAAAAATGATCCAAAAAGAGTTTCCATAGAGAAAAATGTGTGAAGATCATTGTATCTCACCCTGGAGCCATTAAGCCCTTGTATAAGAAATTACTAACATGTTACATGTTTGAACCTTGTGTGCTAATATTTATTTACTTTTCTATTTAGATAGGGTGCCTTTTACTTTACATCCCTTTGGTGTGCTACTCTTGGCACATCAGTGAAGTAGAGTATGAAATCTCACATGGCCTCATTTGTGGATGCATGTTCCAAAAATTCTAAAATTTTAAATAAGGTGAAACAACTGGAGATGACTTTGGGGTCCAGAGGCATCTCTGCAGCTTGTTGCTCTCTTCCAATATTTATTTGTGAGTCTTTGGATCATGGCCGTTAATGAGCTTATATGGTGCCAGAACTGTTTCTTGAATGTAGCTGCCAGGCTCCAGGAAAGACAAGGAAATGAGGGGAGGTTGCCCATTCCAAACTCTGTGAGAGACTGGAGATTTCAATCACAAAAGCTGCATACCTGAGTTTTTCACTATTGCCATTATTAATAGATGTTGTTTCCCAGCTTGACAGATTGCTGAAAATGCTTGTTCTCGGGTCACGGAGCCAGTGCAGCATGACTGAGATTGGAACAGACATGTGCCTGATTTCCACTCATTTCTTTCCCAGTGCCTTGTTGCCTGCCATTTAGAACATACTAGGGTAAAGAAGAGATAAAACCTCTCTTGAAACGGTTTCCTGTCTTGGTTCTGTGTGAATTAATGTTAAGCTGACAGTTGTGACGCCTATTTTTATTCTGCTATACCTAATGGGACTTTTCCATTTGCAGTTGTAGAGAATGTCAGGGGGGAAAAAACAAGTTCTTGCTTATCTGGAGATACTAAGAAAATCATGCCATCACAGGAAAGAGTCATATGAAGGGTTGTGGAAGGGGCATACTGTTTCTCAGACATCTCATGATTTGGGGGGCTCTTTACAGGTTATTGGACTGACTGCTTCAGTCGGCGTTGGGAATGCAAAGGACACATTAGAAGCCATGGACTATATCATCAAGCTATGTGCTTCTCTCGATGCATCTGTAATAGTAACAGTCCAGGAAAACTTGGCGGAACTGGAGGAAGTAGTTTACAAGCCCCAGAAGTGTAAGTGGGATCAAGTAATAAGCCCTTTGGGACGTTTCTACTCTTTGGTCTTCCTAGTTCAGAGCCATTCAGACAGGCACTATGTTTTTATCCTTTTTTTGTTTATAGAAGATATTTGGCCCCAAACTTGGGAAATAATCATATTTCTAGCCTCTATCCTCAACTGACTTCTCTCACCAAACAATGGATGGACCTCAGGAATGGCCTATAGAAAGTAAATGTTCTGTGGCTGGAGAGATAGCACAGCGGGTAAGGCGTTTGCCTTGCACGCGGCAGACCCAGGTTCGATTCCCAGCATCCCATATGGTCCCCTGAGCACCGCCAGGAGTAACTCCTGAGTGCAGAGCCAGGAGTAACCCCTGTGCATTGCCAGGTGTGACCCAAAAACCAAAAAGAAAAAAAAAAGAAAGTAAATGTTCTTACCCCTCAGTTCCATAAAAGTTTTTATAAACATACTACCAACTGAGAGAGGTTATGAAAGAAATCTAAGCATCTAGGTGGCTGAGGTCTCCCTTATATTCCCTCCCTTGAAGTTACTGGGTGGCCTTTCATTATTTGAAGATTTATTTGGTTATTTTGGCTGAGACGAGATTATGTAAATGTATCATAGTTTCAAAAGATGAGAATATGATTACTTATTTATTTGGGGGGCCTCTAAAGTGGTGAGGTTCTTCCCCCTGACTCTCTCAATTAAGATTGGCAGTTTAATGGGAACACCGAGGGACATGGTGTAGCAAGGGCTCTGCAGTGTCTCACATTACCTGTACCTCAGTGGGACTCAGTGGAACTTAGTGGGATTGAACACCCATCCCTCCACCAGTACACATTTTCCACTACCAATATCTCCAGTGTCCCTCCGCATTTTGCAAACCATAATAGCTATAAGGGGAGAAAGAAAGAGGGCTTTTGTGCTTTCTTGTTCGAGTCTTTCATCCATGAAGTACTTTGCAGATGACTGCTCTTGCTTTTTGCTTCCTTCATCTTTCTGCCTGACTTAAGACATAACATTGCCACACCTGGAATCAGGAGAGATTCCTTTCCCTGGGCTGTGGGAGACTGCTAGGTCTTTGCACCCTTGTTGGCTGCAGACTTTGCTTCCCTAAGAACACAGACCTTTCTGGAACATTAAGTTTGTTCTTTTCAGGAAGATATGCAATGCAGTCAATTAATAGTTTTCTGCTGGGAGAAGAAAGTAATAAATCTGAGGGACAGTGACCATGGCTGGGGTGGTAGGAGGGAAGGGAGAAGATCAAAGAACAGACTCTGGGTTAAAAATAAGGCATTAGTCTCTTATTATTTACATAGGTCAGAATCATATAGTACTCACTAATTGGCCCTTACTGATTTATTTTCTGATAATTACATTTGCCAGTTCTTAAAGCTTTGTTGGAATAAAAAATATAAAGTAAATTTGTTATGTGCCACAGAGGACAGGTTGGAATTTGAAGAGAAACAGGGAATATGGGTGGAAGGAAGATCACATTTGTGGTGCTGGAACACTAAATGCTTGAAAAAACTGTATAATGAACAACTTTGTAAATCATAGTATTTTTAATGAAAATTAATTTGAAAAAATTAAAATAAGGCATTAAAGGCTGTAGTGATAGTACAGTGGGTAGGGCACTTGCCTTGCATGTGGCTGACCTGGAATTGACCCCTAGCATCTCATATGGTCCCTGAACCCCATGAGGAATGAGTGATCCCTAAGCGAAGAGTCAAGAGTAAGACCTGAACACATCCAAGTGTGGGAATAAAAACAAAAACATTGCTTTTGACCTCACCTGGAAATGCTCACAGGTTGCTCCGCTGCATCTGGAATCACTTCTAGTGTCCCTTGAGAGACCACATGGGATGTTGGGGATTAAACCCAGAGGCAAGATGGGTGTGAGCCTCACTCGGGGCACAGGCTGTGTGTTTCAGTATCAGCAAAGCCAGGTTGAGAAGTTGGATTCAATCTGTGACAGATAGAGATGTCAGCCTTGAACATTAGCGTTCGGGAGCTATCTCAGGGTTTTTGAGCATTGCCAAATCATTCATTTCCCCTCTCGTGTGTGTGAGGCTTCAGGTTTTTCCCGAGGAAGTAGCAAAGGCAGAGAAAGCTTTGTTGAAATCTACTTTGAATTATAATGTTCTTCCTGAAAAAAATATTCGCTTTCTTTTGTTGGGTCTAGTTTTCAGGAAAGTAGAACCAAGGGCTAATAACAGATTTAAATGCGTCATAATTCAGCTGATGAGAGAGACCGAGAATTTGGCAAAGAAGGTCTTTAAAGAATTCGGTAAGTAACTCTCAGGAGATAAACTTATTTGTGTTCTGGTCCTTTGGCTTGTTCACTGGTGTATTTTATGTTCTTCCCATTTCAGACCTATTCAGTTGATTCAGCAACCCTTATGCCCTCATGTTTTTCTTCTCCCTTCTTATATCCAATGTAAATCTGACTAGACACACTTGGCTGACAAATACCATAAACCAGCTCACTACTTTCTTAATCTTCCAAGTCAGCTTTCTGTCCTGATTGCCCTACTAATATAAATAAAATCACCTTTTCCTTAGTGGCCTAGATTCAAATCTAGGGGTGATCTTTGAATTCTTTTGAGATTCTCTTATGAAGTCATCAGGTCTCTTCTTTTCCTTTTTATATATTTATCCATTTTCCAAATATTTTGAGGGGGTTGTTTTGTTTATGACCATACCTGAAAATGCTCACGGGTTGCTCCTCTGCATCTGGAATCACTTCTGGTGGTCCTTGAGAGACTATCTGGGAGCTGGGAATTAAACCCAGGTCAGTTGTGTGCAAGGCATGTGTTCTTACCTCTGTACTATTATTCCAGCCCCTCTCCCGGTATTTATTGTACCCGGAAATGGAGATAATGAGACTGAAGACAAAGTCCCCATGTATGAGAAACTTAACCCAAATGAAAGTCAGATGAATTTCATTTCCATGTAACAGGGGAGTGTTACACAGTGTGTAACAGCAACATGTAGGAACTAGGGTTGAAGTGGGATGCAGGCAAGGGAATGTGCTGCTTGAGACACATCCTGAAAAAGTCAGTCAAATTTGAAAGTGGAGAAAACCACATGAGGGCAAAAAGGCATAGGCATAGGAGGAAGAGAGAGAATAGTGACCTCCAGGAACTTGAGCAGACACAGCTAACAGTTAAGAGTAGCAGAGAGGAGAGAGGCTTATTTGGAAAGGCAGGGAAAGACAGAGGAGGGCCTGCTAGGAAATAGTTTGGGTTTTCCTGGACTAGAAAGATAGGAAATTGGGGAAGATGCTTGTCTTGCATACGGCCAACCAACCTGTGATCCCTGCACCATATATGGTCCCTAGAGCACAGAGCCAGGAGTAAGCTCTGAGCACAATCAGATGTGACCCCCAAACCAAACAAAATCCCAAAAGTCAGGAGAATGGAGAGAAAATGGGACAATCCAGAGTCATGTAAAATGCAGGAAGGTGAGCAGCCTGAGAAGCAAATCGGACGTGGATAGAGGCCAGCTGCCAGAGAATGCTCTAAGGAAGGCCAGGAGTTTGGAGGAAGATGCACGGGGGCTTTTCAGCAGTAAAGTTGCATAGCTTCTCATCTGCAACCGTGGACCCCCCCATTGACTGTTGGGCAGATTGGAGGGAACAAGGTCTGAGGTCAAGGAACCAGTTAGGAGATTATCAAGTTATCCGGAATCACCATGACACAGTCTGAACTGGGTGAAGAGACATCAATTCCTACCTTCATCTTCCTCCCATCTCTAAGATTTCTACTTCCATCAGTCCTGAACACATCACCTGCACATTTCCAGATGGCTTAGCTTTTTGCCTCCCCTATTGCCTCCTAGACATACTCTTTGTCCCTGGATCTGGGAAAGAAGTGTGCCAGTGCTGTGAGTCTGGTCCCCTCCTTTGTTCCCCATATTAAGAATGAAGTGGGGAGAGCAACAGTTAAACCCAGAGACCTGGCTCTGCCTGTTAGCTTGAATTATGTATCACTGTATCACTGTCATCCTGTTATTCATCTATTTGCTTGAGTGGGCACCAGTAGTAACGTCTGCATTCGTCCTATCCCTGAGATTTTAGGACTCTCCTTACTCGTCCTTCCCAATGATGCCGTATTGGAGGCTCTTTCAGGGTAAGGGGAATGAGACACATCATTGTTACTGTCTTTGGCATATCGAATACACCATGGGAGCTTGCCAGGCTCTGCTGTACAATTAATTATTAATTATGTATATGCTTTTTTAAAATTTTTGTTTTGTTTGGTGTTTTTGGTTCTTTTGGGTCATGCCTGGCTCTTCAGACACTTGGCTCTAGACTCAGAAATTACTTCTGGCTTGGGACCATATGGGATACTGGGGATGGAACCCAGGTCGACCATGTACAAGGTAAAGTTCCCCCCCCCCCCCCCGCAACCCCCTATACAGAGTCCACGCAGATCCTTAGGTTTTGAATTCAGCCTTTGAGGCTCAGAGGAGCTGCAAAGGCACAGACACGGCCGGACATGAAGGGCATCCTGAAAGCCTGTTTCTCCTTGCCCTTGTGAAAAGGCTGATGGGAACATAAGCCGGAGTCTGCAGCACATCACAAGAGGGTGTGCTGAGTCTCATTTATGTTGAGTCCTATTATATTTCAATACAATCCTCTGATGCAGCTCCTGAGATCAACTCTCATTATCTCATTGCTCCTTCACTCTTAAACTCAAAGTTTGCTTTTTGTTTGTTTGGGGTTTTTTGTTTGTTTGTTTTGTTTTGTTTTGTTTTGGAGGGAAGCGCTCCCAAACATTGCTCAGAATGTTCTAGGACCCCTTCCAGCAATGTTGGAGCAATCAGCCTGTGGCTCAGGGAGCAACATGAAGGCCTGAGGATGTTGGTCTGAGGTGACCTGATGCCCTGGGCCACCCTTGGGATGCTCAGAGGCCTCCTGGACTGGATACCATGTGGTGCATCTTACCTCTATTGCTTGCTAGCTCTCGCCCTTCAAAGTCAGCTTTCCCTGTGGCCCTTATTTTGCCTGTAGTCTGCTTTAGTCATCTGCGCATAGAGCCAGTGAAACTTTGGTATTATTTGAACTCCTTTTCTCTTTCTCCTTCTCTTTCTTTTCCTCTTTCTCCTTCTCCTCTCCCACTCTCTTCTTCTCCCCTCCCCCCCATAAAAAGAAAATAACTGTTTGGGCCACACCCAGCAGTGTTCAGGGCATATTCCTGGCTCTAAACTCAGGGATCACTCCTGATGATGTTGGAAGACCATTTGTGATATGGGAAGCCAAAACCAAATTGACTGCATCCAAGGCAAGCACCCTACCCACTGTGCTGTCTCTCTGGCCCCTTTTGAGGTTTCTCCCATGCACTTGCTGTGTGACTCTGGTGATTTATTCAACTTTTCTAAACTTCTGGGTGTTCAGGGGTTACTCCTGGTAGTGCACTCAGGAATTACTCCTGGTGTTGCTTGAAGGGACCAGATGGGATACCGGAGATCGAACCCAAGTTAGCCACATGCAAGGCAAACGTCCTACTCACTGTACTATTGCTCAGGCCCCTAACCTTCTGTTTTTCATCGATAAAATATACTATCTATTTCATGGAGTTAAGACCACAAAATTATGAATTGAGGGGGCTGGAACGACAGTACAGCAGGTAGGGTGTTTGCCTTGCATGCAGCCAACCCGGGTTCGATTCGCATATGGTCCCCCGAGCACCATCAGGAGTAATTCCTGAGTGCAATGCCAGGAGTAACCCCTGTGAATCACCAGGTCTGACCCAAAAAGCCAAAAAAAATTATGAATTGAGGCATTTAGATACATGGTACAGAGTACTCAGTACCATGACATCTTAGACAATCATGGACAACAATCATGGACACACGGCTGAAAACTCAGACCATCTCAGAAGGAAAATGTTTATAGAGAGTAAGAAAGACAATTAGAGGGAGACAGAAACTTGTTTAGATCCTCAAGTTCCTGACTACAGGGACTAACAAAAAAAAATCCATTCTTTTCTTCCAGAAACCTTATCGCAGTTACAAACTAGGGATTTTGGAACCCAAAAATATGAGCAGTGGATCATGATTGTTCAGAAAGCGTGCTCAGTGTTGAAGATGCCGGACAAAAATGAAGAGAGCAGGATTTGTAAAGCCCTGTTTCTCTACACGTCCCATTTGCGGGTATGCCCTGGCTTGAGAAACACGCATTGTTGCAGGAGCAATTGCCAAGAAGGCACTGTGGCAGCTGAGACATCAGGCTTTTGTCTTGTCCCCAAGAGCTCACTTAGGAATCTTTTTCAGGAGGGTCTCAGGGAGCAAACTCAAACGTTTTCAGAAGCCTCTTTGCCTGCTCTCTGAAACTAAACAGCATTGGGGGCTGGAGAGAAAGTACAGTGGGTAGGGTGCTTGCCTTTCATGCAGCCAACATGGGTTCGATCACTGGCACCCACATACTTCCCTGAGTCTGCTAGGAATGATCTCTGAGTGCGTAGAGCCAGGAACAAGCTATTAAAACACATTGTGGGGCCAGAGAGATAGTACAGCAGGTAGGAATTTATCTTTGACACAGACAACCTGGTTTTTATCTCTGATACCCTATATGGCCCTCTGAGCCTGCCAGGAATAATTCCTGAGCACTACTGTCTGTGGGCAATCTTTTCCAAATATCTCACCAAAACTTGGTTTTTATTTTAAACAGAAATATAACGATGCACTCATTATCATTGAGGATGCTCAATTAGTGGATGCTTTGGATTACTTGAAAGACTTCTACTCTGAGGTCCGATCTGCAGGATTTGATGAGATTGAGCAAGATCTCACTCAGAGATTTGAAGGTGGGTGGTTTCTCAGAGGTGGAAGTTGTTGGAGCCTGGTGCCACCAGGGGCAGAGTATTTGCATTATGTTATACTTGATATGTGGTGATGGAGGGGCATGGGTTTAGAAGTAGTACAGATGTCTGTGTGTTTACAGAGCTCACAGATGGCAGAACTATTTTTGTGCATTTTATTTTATTATTTAAAAAATACTTTACTGACTATCCATGAGATAGACCATTATAAAGCAGTTCATGATTGGGTTTCAGTCATACAATGATCCAACACCCATCCCTCCACCAGTGTGCATTGCTCACCACCAATGTCTCCTGTTTTCCTCCCACAACCACCCAACATCCCTCTCACCCCCCATCACCACCACCAGCCTGCCTTTATGACAGGCACTTTTCTTCTTTCTCTCTCTCCTTTTGTGCATTATGGTTTACAATACAGGTACTAAGAGGTCATTATGTTTGTTCAGGCCATTCAGTATTTTTATGGGAAAGGTAAGGCTAGAGTAGCTTTATTAACTGGGTGGCAGTTTTGGGATGTGGATGTGGGAGGTTGCTCATCCCGCTCAAAGAGAGCCTGGAGAGTCCAGTCACAAAACCCTCATACCCAAATTTTCAGCAGATTATATCTTGGTGATATCTGTCCTGAGAAAGTGGAGTTTGGCCAGGGACATGGTGATTTGGGATTGTGGAACAAGCAGGTTGACCTGCCCCTCTCCGATTTACCCTGGTCTGTTCAGCCCCAGTCTGAGATTAACTGTGGCTTTTGATCTCTTTTGAGATTTATTTGTGGGTCTGTGAAGCAAGACCAATAAATGAGCTTGCATAGCTGAGAGGAGGTGGTTTGTGGGCATGGCTTCCACAACATAACTTTTGGCCATTTAATTTCTTAGAAAACTTGGTCTTGAGGTGTCGGGATCCAGCCAGAGGCACAGTGGCAATTTTCGGGTATCAGGAAGCCTGTGGGCATTATCAGGTTGCTGATGCACCCGCCCCACGGGTACAGTTGACCGGCTGGAGGCACTGCAACCCCAAGGCAGGACTATTAAGCTTCACTGAAAACTGTCCTATCGAAGATTCTATTTACATCATTTTCTGTTTTGAAAAGGGGAAATTATTAGGATTTGCAAAGGCTACTCCCATAGAACAAGTCAGTAGATAGTAACTTGGTTTTGGTTTGAACTTTAAGTGTTACACATGTTAAAAAATGCTTTATTATGTTTAGAAGTTTAATTTTTGAGACTGGGTGTGGCACAGGCTGTGGCTTGGTCACTGTCGGTTTGATCCGTAGCAGTGCAAAAACGAAACAGAAAACAGAATAATGTATCAATGAACTATAGCTTATGTATACTGCTCTATTTAAAAGAGACCCGTAATATTACTGCCTTTCATTATATTAAGAAAAACACAGGATGGGGCTGGAGCGATAGCATAGCGGGTAGGGTGTTTGCCTTGCACGCGGCTCACCCAGGTTCGATTCCCAGCATCCCATATGGTCCCCTGAGCACCGCCAGGGGTGATTCCTGAGTGCAGAGCCAGGAATAACCCCTGTGTGTTGCCAGGTGTGATCCTAAAAAGAAAAAAAAAGGAAACAAAGGATAATTTTTAAGGAGAGGGGTTAGAGTGATAGTACAGTGGATAAGGTACTTGCCTTGCATGTGGTCAATCCAAGTTCCATCCCCAAGGCCCCATATGGTCCTTTTAAGCTCTGTCAGGTGTGATCCCTGAGCACAGATCCAGGAGTAACCCCTGATCATCATTGGATGTGTGACCTGAAAACAAACAAACAAAACAAAGCAAAAAAAGGTAGACTTAAGAAGTAAGTCTTATTTCTCTCTTTCTTAAATTTCTTATTCAACCTAAATATTGTTTTGTGAGGGGGGTTTGTTTGTTAGTTTTCTATTTTGTTTGTTTTGGAGTTTGTTTCTTTTTTAACCTAGATTCAAGTTTTTACTGGTCCTGTGTGTGCCCCAGGGGCATGGCCTGCTGGTAGACACAGAACTACCAATTCTTTGAGGGATGGGCTGGGAAAGGCATGCATTTATCAGTAGTTATTGCTCCTAAAATTCAGGTTAAAGACTGATATTAACTATAGGTTGAACTATTAGCTAGAGGTCACAGTATCTCCTAAATTTTTTTGAGGCGTTTAGACTCATGGTATACATAGTACTCAGTGAGTCATCCTAGACAACCCCTGGCACACGGCTGAAAACTCAGACCATCTCAGAAATTTATGTCTTTTATAACATGGCTTCCTTTTAAAGAAAAACTGCCTGAGCTGGAGAGTCTTTCTGTGGATCCCTGCAATGAGAATCCAAAACTCAGTGACCTCTGCTTCATCTTGCAAGAGGAGTACCATGTAAACCCAGACACCAGAACCCTTCTCTTCGTGAAAACCAGAGCACTCGTGAAGGTAAGCTGCAGGGGTTGGAGATATAGTACAGTGGGTAGGACGTTTGCCTTGCACTCAGCCAACCCAGGTTCGATCCCCAGCATCCCATACTGTACCCCAAGCACCACCAGGAGTGAAGGTAAGCTGCTTTCTCCTCCTGGGTAACAGAACAAGTACCACTGGCTGTGGAGATTCTTCATTCATCACTGCTCTGCAATTAAGCCACCCTGTATTCATGTGTGGGACTGCTTCGGGCTCAGTTCTGTTCTGATGATCAGTTTGCTTATTCTGACACTAGTATCTCATTTTCTTTTTGTTTTTGCTTTTTTTTTTTAGCTACATTTAGTGCTGCTGAGGAGCTACACTTGGTTTTGTGCGCAGAAGTCAGCCCCAGAAGTGCTCTGGGGACCAAATGTGTCAGGGTTCAAACCAATGCTTCCTATTGGGGCGTGAAAGAGAGTACACCAGGCTGAGTGCTTGCCTGCATACAGCTGACCAGGGCTCAATCTCCGGCACCCCGTATGGTCCCATGAGCCTACCAAGAGTGATCCCTGAGCACAGAGCCAGGAGTAAGTCCTGAGCACTGCCGGGTATGGCCCCCAAGCCAACAAATAAAGAAACAAAGAAACAAAAAGACCCAGGTCCTCCTCCACATGCTCAACCCTTTGTACAATCTCTCAAGGTCTTCATACCTCTACTAGAGTTAAGTAGAAGTTCTTGTTGAATAGCCCAATACTTCACTATCTTAAACACTTTAGTGATTAAGTCTTGAAACCTGTAGAGAAAGTACTTCATACTTTTAAAATTCTATCAATTTTTAAAAACATAGCAAGAGTGTCACTGTCACTGTCACTATCCTCCTGTTGTTCATTGATTTGCTCGAGCGGGCCCAGTAACGTCTCCATTGTGACACTTGTTACTGTGTTTGGCATATCTAATAGGTCACGGGTAGTTAGCCAGGCTTTGCCGTATGGGCTAGATACTCTCGGTAGCTTGCCAGGCTCTCCGAGAGGGGCGGAGGAATCGAACCTGGGTCGACTGGGTTGGCTGCATGCAAGGCAAATGCCCTACCCACTGTGCTAAATATAATAATGTCTCACTAGGGTTTTAATTTGCATTTCACTAAAGCTAATATGATTGAAAATTTTTATATATTTATTAGCTTTCCATATAGTCCTTTGCCAAAGTATCTATTACATTTGTACTCATTTTTTGGGGGGAGGGGTCACTCCCAGCGATGCTAGGGGTTATTCCTGGCTCTGCACTCAGGAATTACTCCTGGCGGTGCTTGGGGGACCATATGGGATGCCAGGGATCGAACCCAGGTTGGCCGCGTGCAAGGCAAACGCCCTACCCGCTGTGCTATTGCTCCGGCCCCACATTTGTACTCATTTTTAAAAAATCATTTATTTACCTTTTATCTGTGTTGAAGTCTTTGGTATTGATCATAGGATGCAAACTTTTTAGTTGTATCATAGGATGCAAACTTTTTATTTGTATAGTAGGTTGGGAGAAGTTTCCTGACACCACCCCCGCCCAAGGAAAAAAAAAGCAATCTTGTTTTAATTTAGATATATGATACTCTTACCACTAGTTTTTCACTCATTTTATAAAGGATGAATTTAGTTTAGCATTTCAATGACTTTTTTTTGTGTTCTTTTTATAATGTGACTGTCAGAAATGGGATTTACTAATATGTTCTTCTGGTGTTTGACCTTATCATTTTCCTAGCAGTACCTTTTCTAAAAAAAGTAGGAGCCGGAGGAATAGTACAGGGTTAAGGACTTTGCCTTCTGTGTGACCAACCCCATTACATTCCTTCTTACCAAATACGGTTCCTCATGCACCACTAAGTGATCGCTGAATAGAAAGCCAGGAGTAGTCCCTGAGCATTGCTGCATATATCCTCTCTGAAGTTTTTAAAATAAAATTAAATTTACCATTGATTTATAATACCGTTTAGTTTTAAGAGTACCATTCCACAGCACTACAGCATAGCGGTACGGCATTTGCCTTGCGCTACCTTTCGTTTGCCTGGCCTTGAGACACGGTAAAAACAAAGTCTCACTATGGAGACGTTACTGGGCCTGCTCGAGAAAATCGATGAACAACCGGAGGACAGTGACAGTGACAGCGCTTCTGTATTAGCTCTCTGTTGATTAACCGAAAATCTCACCAGAAATTAGTAGAAAGAAAAAAATAAACATTTACCATCTTTTAATATTTGTTGGGCAGGAATTTGGAATTTCCTGTGGCTGGAGAAGAACATGTTTTGATTTCACTTCTATGGCTCTTGAGAGATCTTGTATGATGGAATTCATTCTAAGCTCACACTCAAGTGCCTATCCACGGGGCTGTCAACTATAAAAAACGCTTTTTATCATGACAGTAATCCACAGCATGGCAGCTGGCTCACCCCTAGATAAATGATCCAAGAGATTAAGAGAGAGTGTCTAATAGAGACGTCTCATTCATTTCAAACCTTTAACTTCAAAGTGATACTCGCAGTAGATCTGTCATGTTTCATTCATTAGAGGCAAGTCAGGAAGTTCAGCTCCTACTTGAGGGAACTACATAGGATCTAAATACCAGGATATAGTGATCATGGAAAACTATCTCCAAGGCCATTTCCTCTATCCTTTTCAGTTTCTTTTTTTCAGTGTTTTGAGACTTTCAGTATACATATTCTGTATGTATTCTGTTAGACATAACTATAAATAGTTTTTTTTTAATTTTTTAAAAAATATGGAACACTTCACAAATTTGTGTGTCATCCTTGCTCAGGAGCCATGCTAATCTCCTCTGTATTGTTCCAATTTTAGTATATGTCCTGCCGAAGTGAGCACAGAATAGTTTTTTTTAATTCTATTGATAAGCTGATAACAGGGGCTGGAGTGATAGCACAGTGGAAGGGCGTTTGCCTTGCATGCAGCCAGCCTGGCCGACCCGAGTTCGATTCCTCCGCCCCTCTCAGAGAGCCTGGCAAGCTACCGAGTGTATTCAATATGCCAAACACAGTAACAAGAAGTCTCACAATGGAGACGTTACTGGGCCCGCTCGAGCAAATCGATGAACAGTGGGAGGACAGTGTCACAGTGACAGTGATAAGCTGAATTTTATTTAATTCCTACATTGACTTTTTAATTTAATTCATACAGTGACTCATTAGACAGATGGTATTACTTTTGTTTTAAAGAGAAGAAAATGGAATGGAATCTTCGAGAAGTTAAACTTCTCGCATAGATGTACATGAAATTCAGTGTTATCAGTTGCTACCTATGTTCCTCAGTGTAGCTGGAAATGAATCAATAGCCTCTTTTGAAAACAGTCTTAACAGCTGAACGAATATATTTCAGGCAAATGTCCAGCAAAAAAATCTCTAGAACTAAGGGGGAAAAGCCTTCTTTCAGACAATACACTTATGTCCTTTAAACAATATATATATACACATACATATGTATGTATATGTATATATATATACATATATATATATATATTAGGGGACACAAAGCACAAAGTCAGGAATTAGCTCTGAGCACTGTCGGGTATGGCCCCAAAATACACACAGACACACAAATATATATGTATACATATTAGGCTTTTCATAGTTTCAATAATTCAAGAGCAGTAGATTTCCTGAGAGTGTCTGATTTGGGTTAATTACATTTATGTGCAGTTGGGTCAGTAACTGGCCTCAGTGTCTGTGAATTCACAGGAAATACTCTGGGAGTGGATCATCATTGCTTGAAGCAAGATGTTCTTTTAAGAATGACTTTTTTGGGGGTTTGGGGGGTGTGGGGATTACACCCGGCGATGTCAGGGTTGACTCCTGGCTCTGAACTCAGGAATTACTCCTGGTGGTGCTCAGGGGACCATATGGGATGCTGGGGATTGAACCCGGGTCAGCCACATGCAAGGCAAATGCCCTACTCACTGTACTATCTTTCCAACCCCTAGAGTGACCATTTTAAAAATGGTATTACAAAAATAGGTGTTTCAATTGCTTCTTGCTGGTTTTTAGAAATAAAACTAGCTTTTGTATATTGATCTTGTATCCTGAGAGCTTGCTCAACAGTTCCTCTACCTACTATCGGAACTCTGCTTTTTTAACTACAAAATCTTTGTGATTAAACCTTACCACATCACAAAGATCCAAACCACTGTTGTTAATTAATACATAAAGTTCAATTCCAAGGAGCCTTTTCCCCTCTGGATTTTCAGCCTAAAAATTAAAAACTAAGTTAGACATTATGTTTTTCTTCTTGCGTATAGGTATTTTATATTAAATTGTGAGATAGTTTATAACTGCTGTCTGAATAATAATTATTTTTAACTTTCAGGCTTTGAAGAAATGGATTGAAGGAAATTCCCAGCTCAACTTTCTAAATCCTGGCATATTAACTGGACGAGGCAAAACAAGTGAAAACTTAGGTACTTATATGTAGTGAATTACAATTAGTGTATACTTATAAATAAGAATATTTTTAACACGGTGTCCAGAGTGATATAGTACAGTGACTAGGGCATTTGCCTTGCATACAGCTAACCTAGGTTAGATCCCCAGTATCCTATAGGTCCCCCAAGCAAAATGAGGAGTGATCCTTGAGCATAGAATCAGGAGTGAGCCCTGAACACCACCAGGTGTGACCCAAAATAAATTTTTTAAAAAGGGGGAACCTGGGATCGAAGAGATATGACAGTGGGTAGGGTTCTTGCCTAGATGTACCTGAGCCAAAAACTAAAGAAGCAGGGAGGGAGGGAGGCAGTGAAGAAGGAAGGACGGAAGGAAGGAAGGAAGGAAGGAAGGAAGGAAGGAAGGAAGGAAGGAAGGAAGGGTGGTGTATAAGCTCTGAATTCTCAAATGGAAACTCTAAAATTCTTTCTCTTCTAAACATATAACTAGCTCAGAACTTCACACTGTTAGGGTTGTAGATTTTGTGACTTGTACACTAGCTATTGTGTCAGTTTGTCACAGCTCCATAACCTCTAGATATTCATCTCTTAGGGGGAATTACATGCTTAACATATCAACCAAGAGGGCTTTGTGATGTGGCAACAAGAAGGTGAAGTAAAAATGTTTTGCCAGCTATAAATTTTTTCATATGCACAGAGACATCATGATTCACCCTTGATATTTTGCAAAAATGTTTATATTTACCATTCAATTACGTGACTGAAGCCACACAGCTACTAATTGTCTTTACTGCCATCTGAACTTGGGAACTCTATGGCAGGGTTCAGGTGATGGACACCACCACAAGTGTCCTCTCTAAGATTAGGATCGGACGAGATCGACTGCCTTTCTAACTATAGAGCACTTATCACAGTACCTGGAGTCTAGTAGGCATTTCTTATTAATTAGCCGGTTCTTGAAAAGGTAAGTTCCCACTCTGGTGTTTAGTACCTTTTTGGTGACTTGTTTAATGCCCTCTGACTGTTGCAGGAATGACCCTTCCAGCACAGAAGTGTGTATTGGATGCGTTCAAAACTAAGGGAGAAAGCAAGATTCTGATTGCCACTTCTGTTGCTGAAGAGGGCATTGATATTGCTCAGTGCAATCTGGTTATCCTATATGAATACGTGGGCAATGTCATAAAAATGATCCAAACGAGAGGTGAGAGAAGCTTTGATGCCACTCCTAGTGGTTGCCATCTTGTATGATTTGTGAGTGTGTGTATGACCTTTACCAAACCATCACTGGGTGGGTGAACAGTGGGTATTGTGGACTCTTGGTATCATTGGTGCTAAAGGTGGCACATTTTGCTAGAATTTGCTGCCAACCATTTTGTGCACGAATACATTTTGATTCTTGTTCACAATGAACACTCTTTACTTGAGTGATACTGGCTGTCATAACTCAAATTTGGTTGATGCTCTGGCAATCACTGTATAGCTGCTCTGTAGTGCACTTGCGGTGCTGGTTAGCCCGTTTTCCCGACAAGCTCTTCTGCCCCACCTGGACCAGATAGTCTCCTAACAGGGTTCTCCTGTAACAGTTTCTGGAACATTACTACACTATCCCTTTTCCTTAGAAAATGGCTCCAAGCATTTGCTTTTCTTTGTTTTGAAACTATAACAATATTTTGCTCTATTAAGAGTTTATTCTATGTTAAGAGGTTTCAAAATCCAGCATCCACTTTTCTTTCCAACACATTTCCATGCTTTTTCTTTTCTCTTATTTATTTCAGCCAGTCTGATTTCATTATTGTTTTTCATGTTGAAATGCTTGCTTGTGTGCTGCTACTTAGTTTAACTCCTTCCCTACCTCCCTATCACCTGTTCCTAATACTCCAGCTGACAGAGACTCTTGTGAATGCTCACAATGCTTTGTTTCTAACTTTTTAAATAGTTCTTATCATTTTTTTGCCCCTCTTCTGGTGATTGTATCCATTTTCCCATTTCCAGGGAGGCATTTGAGGAAGAAGATTTATGATTTATCTCTGAATTCTCAGTGTCATTCTCAGGGAATTTGTTGGGTTGTCGAGGGCATTTTCTGGAAATGGGTTTATCCTGTTGCATTGCATCATAGACAATGAGGAATCAGTTGAAGGTGGATTTCTTATTCGTTCATATTTAGGGCACACCAGCATTTGACTCCACACTCAGTTCAGCTTCTCTAGAAAGAGAGGATGATAGTGAGCCAGAGTTGTATGTTAGAAATGTTTCTACCCCTTTGTTAGATAGCTGGCTCTCCCGAGGTTTCTCAGTGTTTTAAGTCAAAGACACCAAATAATATGTTGTTTTCTGATAGGCAGAGGCAGAGCGAAAGGTAGCAAGTGCTACCTCTTGACGAGTAGTGAGGAGAACATTGAAAAGGAAGAAATGAATATGTACAAAGAAAAAATTATGAATGACTGCATCTCCAAACTTCAGAAATTAAATGAAGCAGCATTTAAGGAAAAGGTGCGTATTTCCATCTGTGTTTCTCTTTCAGAGTCTGATGTAAATCACAAGCAGGAAATGTGAGTTTGGTATATTTAAAAATATACCATATTGCTCTGAGCCAGAGCATACATTTGAACAGTAAGTATATGCTTAAAATATTGTCCTGCGGTGAATATCAGATTCCTTCTGCTCTAAGTCTCAATGAAATCAAAATAAATTTTTACAATAAATGCATATACATACATCTATTATTTGTGATAAAATTTGGGGTTTGTTTTTAGATCTGACAGGTAAACTGAGGTAGAATTGTTCCTTAAGCTGACCACCTTGAGGGTTACAGTCCAAGAGTGCAAGACATAATAATTTGGTCCCTTCCACAGATCGAGGCAGTAAAGAGAAGAAATGTAAAGAAACTCCTTTTAGAGGTGGAGAGGAAGACAATAAGCTCTTCTCTCCAGTTCTGCAGCTATACTATCTGCATGACCTTCTCTAGAACACTGTTGGGGGAACCAATTATAATATTAAGGATTTTTATAAAACCAGGCAATGTGTTTTCATGGCAGTTGTTGGAGTTTTCTACCAATGTATAAGTGAGTGACTCCATACATGTGTATTAGCTTGGGAATTCTTTCTTTCTCTCTTTTTTCCTCTCCCTCCCGCTCTTATTTTCTCTCATCCTTCCCATGCAGGTCCAGAAGATACAGACTCATGAAAAGTTACTCCGAGATAAACCAGAAAGAGCAAAACCGGTCCCTGATAAGAAAAATAAAAAACTACTCTGCAAAAAATGCAAAGCTTTTGCCTGTTATACAGATGATATAAGAGTGGTGGAGGTGAGTAGCTTTTTAATCAAAGGACTCTAGGCCATATTTTAGACCAACTGAAGCTATGACTCTAGATTGGTTATGTATTGATAATAAGAGAATATTATTATTTCTATAGTTATCCTGACCATGAATCGTATATACTTTTAAAAAGCTGAATTTTTTTTTTAATGTAGGAGTACTGCTCTTTATTCAGCCACTGATTAGCTGATTGAATTGGGCATGAACTCCACCTTACTTTTTTTTTTCATTGTTTATAATTTTATTTATTGAATCACCATGAGAGCAGTTACAAAGCTTTCGGGTCTAAATCTTGGTCATACAATGAAACACCTGTACCTTCACCAGTGCCCATTCTCCACCCCCAACAACCCCAGTATACCCCCATCCCATACCCTCCCCCTACCTGTGGGGCAGATGATGTCCACATTACTCTCTCTCTACTTTGATCAAATTCATTATTTTGACACCAGACCCACCATTATCATTTGAGATTTTACCCCAACACTCAGATATGCCAAAAAGGCAACAGTAGACAATTTGTTTTCTATTGCTGGTTATGAATAACATATGATGTCGCGTGGCTACAGTAGGGCCATGTGATTTTGAAATTCTGAAATTTTAACACTTAAATCTGGAGGGATTTCTGCCAAAACCTGCTGGGTTCCAAGATTTGTTCTTGAGTCTCTGGGATCATGGCTCTGCCCCCATCCCGTGAGCCCAACATGTCTCGTCAGTGCGGGCCCAAGCCTGACTGTCCAATGGCCTCTGGAGGATAGCGGCCACCGAGTCACCTAGGGGGAGCAGGCGGAGGGACAGCACCCTTTCCCCCCTGGGGTGGCCTGGCACCAGTAACCTACTGCGGGGTCCTGACACATTTCTGCCAAAAGCCACTGGGTTTTGAGATTTGTTTCTGAGTCTCTGGGATCATGGCCGTTAAGCAGTTTAATCAGGAGCCAGAGAGGCCACTTGTGGGTGATGACTTGGGGTCTCGTTGGGGTGGGGAGGACAGGACCAGCTCCACCCCCATCTTGTGAGGCCCTGCGTGTCTCGTCACTGCAGGCCCAAACCTGACTGTCCAGTGGCCTCTGGAGGATGGTGGCCACTGGGCCACCAGGGGGAACAGGCCAAGGCACGAAACCTATTCCCACGTGGGTTGACCCAGCACCGGTAACCTACTGCAGGGACTGGACTCATTTCTGCCAAAAGCTGCTGGGTTTCGAGATTTGTTTCTGAGTCTCTGGGATCTTGGCCATTAAGCAGTTCAATCAGGAACCAGAGAGGCCATGCCTCCAATTAAATAGTTGAGCCGGAGGTGGTTTGTGGGTGTGTTTCCCACATACCTAACTTTTGGCCATTTACTTTCTTGGTAAACTTTGCCCCAAGTTTTTGGGGTCTGGCCAAAGGCACAGCAGCAATTTTGGGGTATCTGGAAATCTGAAGGCGCCATCAGGCTGCTGATGCACTTGCCTCACAGGTACAGTTTGACCTGCTGGCAGCACCATACCCCCTAGCTGAAATGTTTTTAATTTTATTTTCATAAAGTTCTTCACAATAATGTTTTCACAATAATTCATTGTAAACAATCATTTACATTGTTTTAAATATTTAAAACAATTTAAATATTAAAAAAATTTTATTTAAATTTTAAACAATGATTTACAAACCAGTTCCACCACCATTACACTTCCCGCCACCATTATTTAGAATTTTCCCACCACTACCCAAGCTTGCCCCATTGGCAGATGCTAAATAATTTATTTTGTATTGCTTGTTATGAATAGTAAGAGATGCCACGCAGCTGCATGCTCCTGGAATTCTAAAATTTTTAAATATTCAGGGTCCAGAGCATCTCTACAGCATGCTGCTTTCTTCCAAGATTCATTTGTGAGTCTCTGCATCATGGCTGTTAATGCTCTTAAATGGTGTTCAGAGACAGTTCATGGGCTTCAATGCCAGGAAACAGGAAGGGTGGAGAGGTGGGGGGAAGTCGCCCATTCCTGACTCTGTGGAACCTGGCATTTTCAGTCACTAGTCCCTCATACCTGTTTTTTTTTTTTTTGCAGTGTATTCATTCTCATGTGCAGGGGGGTTTGGGATGAGCCCATGAAGGTCAGCCGCAAACATGGTGGCTATTGGGTTCTGGAGGTTAGTGGCTGCTGGGGTTCACGTGGGACAGATGGAGGAACACACCTGCCTCTCTCTGAGGTGCACTGGTGAAATCAAAAGGCTGAAATGTTTAAACTAAAGCTTTGATATTCTGTAATAAATCATTTGGGGGGCAGAGAGATGACTCAGCAGATTGGAGCAGATGCTCTGCATGTGAATTCCCTGCTTGAATCCCCAGCAGCACAGGGTCCCCCAGGCTTTACTGCAAGTGACCTCTGAACACTCATCCAGGAGTCACCCGTGAGCACCGCTGTGTGTGGCCCCTCCCCCTCCCCATGAAAAAAATCAAAACAACAAACCCACCAAAAACAGAGCAACTGCTGCTCTGCCCACATAAATATTAAGCAGAGCAGACAAGATAACCACACAAGAGAATTTGTAAATATGCTATAACAATGTGAATAACAGCAACAACACCACCATCACTACCGCCAACAAAGTATATTTAACTTTTTTAATTTAAAGAACTGTGATTTACAAAGTTATTGAATATTTGAGTTTCAGGCATACACTGTTACAATACCAATCCTACCACCAGTGTTAACTTCCCTGCACCCGTATCCCTAACTGCCCTGACAGGCATATTAAAATTTCAGTGCTTGCAGCTTAGATTTCATGTTTTCAGTCCAACAAAATATTTTAAAGACAATATATGAGGTAGAGAAGTGATTCAGCATTCATAAGTGCAGACTACTCAGAATCCTGAATGCAAACTCTGGCACCCAAGTTTCCTAAGGTACCTTGAGCAGCACTGAATTATGGATCCAAACACTGAACTGTTCTATGAACCACAGTTGCCACCAAGTGCCAGGAGTACTACCTGGAAGGCCCCTGCTCTGCCAGAATCTTTTAAACTTGTATTTGTAAAGAAAAGGAAAAGATGCTGGAGAGAGTAGTGGGTAGGGCACTTGCCTTACATCAAACTTGGGTTTGATCCTGGCACCCCATATGGCCCCCTGAGCCCCACCAGGAGTGATCCCTGAGTACAGAGCCAGGAGTAAACCCTGAGCACCACCAGTTTTGGCCACAAAATCAACCAACCAACAAAAAAACCTATAAGTTGTACACTGAAGTGTATTGATACTTTGCATTATTTGACTCCATGATGCTTTTTTTCCCCTCTACTATTTTGTATTTTCCAAACTTTTTTTCAGACACAGGGATCACCTTTATAATGCAAACAAAAATACGGGTAGGGCATTTGCCTTGCATGTGCCAACATGGCCGACCCGAGTTCAATTCCTCCGCACCTCTTGGAGAGCCTGGCAAGCTACTGAGAGTATCTTGCCCGCACAGCAAAGCCTGGCAAGCTCCCCGTGATGTTTTTGATATGCCAAACACAGTAACACATCTCACAATGTTACTGGGCCCGCTCAAGCAAATTGATGAACAACGGGAGGACAGTGACAGTGACAGTGGCAGTTTTAAAAGCATGACATCTTGGGCTGGAGAAATTGTTCTAGAAGTAAGGCATTTGCTTTGCATGCAGCCGAGTTGGCTGTGACCCTGCTTGATTCTCCAGCACCACATAGAGTCCACTAAGCACTGCCAAGGATCACTCCTGAGCACAGAGCGAGGAATAGCCCCAGATAACCCCTGACATGTCCCCAATCTACCCCTTCAAATAAAAACAAAACATAATATATTGATCTCTATTATTATTATTATGACTATTTACTTAAAATGTTTAGAGGGCTGGAGTGATAGCACAGCGGTAGGGCGTTTGGCTTGCACGCAGCCAGCCTGACCGAGGCAGGTTCGATTCCTCCACCCCTCTCGGAGAGCCCGGCAAGCTACTGAGAGTATCTTGCCTGCAGGGCAAAGCCTGGCAAACTACCCGTGATGTATTCGACATGCCAAACATGGTAACAACAACAAGTCTCACGATGGAGATGTTACTGGGCCCGCTCTAGCAAATCGATGAACAACGGGAGGACCATGACCATTAAGGGTTAGAAAAATCTCCAAAGACAAAAACTGAATGTAATTCTACTACTGCTGGTTGGTGGTTAGACACATTGGGCAGGCTGGCTCAGACAATGAGATATTACTGCAGAGAATTGTGATACTACTAGTCTCTAGTCCAAAGGACTGAGCAAAAGAGGTAATACTCTAAGTGTAGGCAGGCTAAGGTATGGGTGAAGTTCTCATACCTCTCTGCTTATCTTATTTTTTTTCTGCTTATTTTGATTTTCTGATGGTGCCAAGGATTGAACCTGTATATCACTGTAGCCCTGAGTTATATCCCCGACCCTTTCCCTTCCATACTTTTCTGAGTTTGCTCCTTTTCTTTCTTTTTTTTTTTTTTTGCGGGGGGGAAAGAGGGAGGAGGGAGTCATACCTAGTGTTGCTTAGGTGTTCAGGAATCACTCCAAGCAAGGCTGAGTAATTACTCCTAGCAAGGCTCAGGGGACCATATGGGATGCCGGGGATTGAACCAACATTGGTCACAGGCAAGGAAAGTGCCTTGCCCATTGTACTATCTCTCCGGCTCTAGTCAGCTTCTTTAACTGCAAACATAATCAGGGTGATTGATATATCAAGACGATTATCACTGTTTATCTGTACTCAATGTTTTTACACTGAAAATGGCCATTTTTAGATCCTGTTTCTGAAGTCATGCATGTTGGATAGGCATGTGCTTGGTGTACAATTTGCTCCAAAGCTGGCGGTGAGACATAGTAGTAGTACCCACCCTCTTCAGGGCCATGTTAATCTTCTCTGTATCCTACGAATTACGCCTGTCTGAGCTACTGGTGAACACAGGGTTCACAGATCTTCAACAAATTCTAACCCCCCACCTCTCCCCAGCCTGCCTTCCTTACTGAATTAATGAGGTATCTGCTTGAGAAATTAGATTCCCAGAATGCCTTGATCCACTGCTTAAGGAGGTGTGCACCATCACCACTGGCACCTTCAACTGTGGAACTGGAGTTCAGAGTGTAAGGATTCTGATTTCTGGCTCATCCCTTATTTCCTTCTTACCTCATCTGTAAAGTTGTAAGATTTCACTTACTCTTCATTTCAGATTTTTGTGTAGTTTTCTTTTTTCATCACAATTACATGCAACACTAACATCATGTTTTGTTTTGTTTAATTTGCTTTCATCTGTAGGATAACCATCATACTGTAGTTGGAAAAGCTTTTAAGGAGTGCTTCGAGAGCAAGTTACACCCTAAACCAGGAACCTATGGCAGTTTTGAGAAGAAAGAAAAGATTTTCTGTTGCAAGTGCAAATTGGACTGGGGAATCCATGTGAAGTATAAGACATTTGAGATTCCAGTGATAAAGATTCAAGGTTTTGTGGTGGAAGATCTTGAAACAGGACAACAGAGGTCATATACAAAGTGGAAGGATTTTGAATTTGATAAGAAACAATTTGATGATGCAGACATGGTCCTTGAGTAGCTGCCGGGAGTAGACGAACTCGAGAGAAGGAATTGGTTTCAGTTGTGCAATAATCATGGATCCTTTGTACCACTTGACCTAATACTTGTTTACTGGGCTGAATGTTAGTCACTAACTTCACCTCATTATTGTTTTCAACAGTTTGTGAATAAAGTGAATAAATTATTAATCCAGGTTATTGTCTGCTTTTGACCACCATAGATACAAGATTCCATGAACTTCCTCTTTTGGTTGCGTTCATTTGCTATAAGTGGTTCACAGAACTGAGAAGCATTTTCACTGTATCACTGTTTGTCATCCCATTATTAATCGTTTTGCTCAAGTGGGCACCAGTAACGTCTGCATTCATCCGAGCCCTGAGATTTTAACAGCCTCTCCTTACTCATCCTTCCCAACGGTGCTGCATTGGAGGCTCTTTCAGGGCCAGGGGAATGAGACACATCATTGTTACTGTTTTTGGCATATCAAATACGCCACTGGAGCTTGCCAGGCTCTGCCATGTGGGCAGGATGCTCTTGGTAGCTTGCTGGGTTCTCTGAGAAGGAGAACTAGACTATAAGAGATCTGCTTGACTGCGCTTCCAGGAGCTTTGTTTTATAGTCTCTGGATCTTGGCTGTTGATGGGATTTCATGGTGCCAGGGGCAGTTTGTGGGTGTAACTGCCTAGCTACTGGAAAATGGAGCATCTGGGTGGAGGAGGCCCAGTCCTGATCCAAGCAGGCTTGGAGATCTCAGGGCTGAGAGAAGCATTTTATTTATAATATCACTGCTTTATTATCAAAGGACATAACTCGGGAAGAGCTAGATAGGAGAGATATATAGGGTATAATATGGCATTAGGGCTTGACTTTTCAAGACAAGTTTTCCTATATTGCCACCTATTTACCTTGTGTCTTCATTATATAGGCTTGATTGGTACTCATAGATCATTGATGACTCATCTAACCTCTAGTTCCTTTTCCATTCCCAAAGATCAGAAGGTGGGCCTGAAAGCCTCAACTTTCTAATCATAAAGCTACTGTCTAGACAACGGGTCTCCAACTTCCAAGTCACCTCACAAATCTTTATCATTTTTGTTGCCTAGAAATCCCAACGTTTTTAGGAGCCTTGTGATCCTAAATGGGGGTGGAGACATAAGTCACAAGGATCACAAGATGTCTTTTTTTGTTTTTTTTTTGGGGGGGGGGGAGTTGGAGGCTGTTGGAACTCCCAGCTTTTGGTGGCTGTAAATCTGGGCCCTAAGAGGAGGACTAAGGAGAGGTCCTAAAGTTTCTCCAGAAAATATGTTGTCATCCTCTCAAAAAAAATATATAAAAAACCTCCAGGACAATGTGTATATTTTGTGAGGAAACCCACTGAGCAGTTATTTCATTAAATATCTTAATGAATAGTCTTCTGTCAACAGAAGGCAAACCAACTTGAAACAAGAAAACCTTGGAATTTTATTCATTTGGGAGCTATACCAGCAGTGCTCAGGGCTCATTCCTGGCTGTGCTCAAGGGACCATATGGGGTGTGAGGGATCAGGGCTCACTCCTGACTGCTCTGGGGACCATCTGGGATGCCAGGGATTGAACCTGGGTCAACCGTGTGCAAGGCATGTGCCTACTTGCTGTACTATTGCTCCTGCTCCTTGTTCAACTTTCAAATGGAGTCAAGCCACAGCTAAGCATAGGGCTGAATCAGTGTAGGGGCTTGGTTGCTATTTATGGAGTGAAAGAAATCATCCTGGTAAGGTTTTAAGAATTGTACTCTAAATACTCAGATGCTGGTCGCTGGGTTTCTAGATCAAAGTCCACATTTTAGAATCCACTGGGGATCTTTCATGGATGCAGCATGTTCGGTCATAGATATCTTAGCAAGATTTTCAGGTGGTTCAGATACAGTCCGTTGTACAATCACAGACCACCTTGTTGCTATGGTTTTTCCCAGTGCTGCCACGGGGTATTTCACCTAAAATGAAAAGTCTCTTCAACTTAATATCTGAATTGTGCAACAAAGTCAATAAAATGATTCCCACCTTTATATTCAAAATTTTATTTTTGAAAAATAAGCATCCCCTTTTATTTTTAAAATATTTATCTGCCTTTTCCCCGCCTGGCAGCAAGGTGGCCACCGCCTCAGAGCGTATTGGAAAGCCAGGTATGAGCTGGCGGTGACGGGGTAACTGCAGTCTCATGGGAAGGGGGACGGTACCGGCTCGTCCTTCACGCTCTACCGAGGTCATGAGTTGCCCCCCACAAGCGGCTCTCTGGCTTGGCCATGGCTCCAGAGGCAAAAGGACTTAGTCCATAGTCCAGCAGCTTGCAGAAGAAAAGTGAATGGACCATGCATTAAACCATGGCCCCATGCTTCCCCAGGAGGGAAAGGATGTTGCCCCCTTCCACCTTTTTCCCCCCTGGCAGCAAGGTGGCTGCCGCCTCAGAGCTTATAGGAAAGCCAGGTATGAGCCGGCGGTGACGGGGCAATTGCAGTCTCATGGGAAGGGGGGCGGTACCGGCACGTCCTTCATGCCCTACCGAGGTCACGAGTTACCCCCCCACGAGCAGCTCTCCAGCACAGCCATAACCCCAGACACACAGAAACCAATCTCGTAATTATCTCGCTCTTTGCAGAAATCCAAAATCGTGGCCGCATGACATTATATGATTCTCATAACCAGCTATAGAAAACAAAATATTTCACAATGCCTTTTCAGCAATTCTGATTGTTTGGGGGGAAATTCTAAAGAATAATGGTGCATCTTTTGTCAAAATAATGAATGTAATCAATGTAGAGAAGAGTTAAGTAGAAATCATCTGCCTAACAGGCATTTGGAGGGGTGGGAGGGGGTATACTGGGGTTCTTGGTGGTGAAAAATGAGTACTGGTGAAGGGAAAGGTGTTTGATCATTGTATGACTGAGACTTAAACCTGGGATCGGAGATGCAGGCTGAAAGTAGACTAATAGACTGAACATGATGACCACTTAATACCTCTATTGCAAACCACAATACCCAAAAGGAGAAAGAGAGCAAAAGGGAATGTCCTGCCACAGAGGCAGGGTGGGGTGGAGGGGATGGGTTGGGAGTGGTGGGAGGGATGCTGGGACCACTGGTGGTGGAAAATGGGCACTGGTGGAGGGTGGGTACTCGATCATTGTATGAATGAAACACAAGCACGAAAGCTTGTAAGTCTACAACTGTACCTCGTGGTGATTCACTAATAAAAAACTTAAAAAAAAAAGTGTTTAATGCACAGATAGGTTCTGTACCAGAGGCTGTCATCCCTTTCTGCAAATGGACCATTTACAGAACCTATTGCCACTTTGTCAATTCTGCGGTATCTGTATTCAATTTAGTTAAGACTCAGTGATCCCCTAAAATGGGACCTGGATCTTTCCTTGATAGACATTTCAAACACCTGTAGGTGCATTGTATCAGGTGTAAAACACTGGCTGACTAGATGCCCAGATATGAGTCAGAGCATTAATTTCAGGATCATGTTAGTAATGCTTTTATTATATTATGCAATAAAGCGATAAAGTTCACTCAATCTGTAAAAGAGATTTATTATTGTGAATTATTCAAACTTAAAAATAGCTACAGATGCCAATTATTAAAACTATTAAAAATAACAGCCATAAAGACATGATCTTTATTCACGAGCATTAGACTATCTGGGTGAACAAAAATTACTGGGGTAATAAAATTTGAGAACTTGACATTTTACAACTTCTTTAGAGAGGAACTGGTATGACCTTAGTTCTTAGTTTCCAGTAGTCCACATTGCTTTTGCACAACCCAAAAATTCACACTGCCCTAACATAACCCTGAAAGGCATACTTTGCCAAAAAATAATGAGGTGACTTCAATGAGGTCTGGGAAATCCCCTTATTTCTAGACTAGGGTTATTTTGAGAGACAAGTACCTAAAGTTCAAAAATGAACTTACCCCATAGTTACTGGTGGCATAGCACATAGTCCAGAATGAGGTCATTGCGCCATGAAGGTAAAATGAGAAGAGATGTAATCTGTTTTTGTGTCATTAGATCGAACCAAGCTGGTGGCCGTGGCCATCCTGTTCTTCAAGTTCTTTTACTTTTATTGGTTTAAGCCTGTTGGTGGTTTAGATACCAGAGCCTCAGGAGTCGTGACCCACAGATCCTTTCCTTGAGCTGCTCTCCACGCACCATTGAGACACGGCAGTCATGCATACCTCTATGAAGGTGATCCCAGCCAAGACACTGGTGCTTTATTGCTGTATTCGTTGTCAGTGAACTCGCTGGGCACACCAAGGAATGCTTCCTTCCCCAGGAAGATCAGGAAGCAGTGAATTTATAACGCAGAGTACAAAGGAGATGGGAATCCCACTGAGAGGATGGTGGGACAGGACCAACAATAATTTTGAGAGTAAGAAGGACAACGGTTCAGAAACTGAGAAAAAGATTTTATTTGCTTGGCTTTGCTGTGGGAAAGGATGTGAGAACAATCCCGAAGTGCATGGAGTCCCCATTCTGAAAGTCACAGGCCAAGAATTGATTTCCTTATCACCACTGACTATGGAGCCAAGTGCTCTCTGGAAGTTCAGGAATGCCGAACTCATGGGGCTGGAGATCTGCTTTCCCAGCCATTCTTAGTGTTTTCCCTTTAGGACTGATCTCAGGATTATAGGGTGCTAATACATATATGTCACTGTCACTGTCCTCCCATTGTTCATCAATTTGCTCGAGCGGGCCCAGTAACGTCTCCATCGTGAGACTTTGTTGTTACTGTGTTTGGCATATCGAATACGTCATGGGTAGCTTGCCAGGCTTTGCCGTGCAGGCGAGATACTCTTGGTAGCTTGCCGGGCTCTCCGGGAGGGGCAAAGGAATCGAATTCAGGTCAGCCATGCTGGCTGTGTGCAAGGCAAATGCCCTATTCGCTGTGCTATTGCTTTCGCTGTGCTATCGCTATATCTATTTATTATATTTATTATATGTGTATGTGTATAAAATTTTGTGACCCAAGCTAGAACTATAGTACCTTAGAGCAGAGAAACTAAATAACTTAATGCTTCTCTTTCTGATCTGGGATGAAGTGAGCTAGTATGCTTTCATAACTTTTTCAAGTTATCAGTTTAGTTCTCATCCAGTTGACTGCAGATTTTTGAAAGTGGTGACAGGTACATAAGTAACCAATATATAAAGTTGGGTGAATCTTCAATCTCATTATGCTTTCTGGACAAATGTAGATGGATTTGGTATGGGACATTCCTTATTCCTTTGGCCCAGATGACTTTGTTGAGCCTGGTGTCAATGCACGTATCAAGGGTGTCCATCTCCTTCATGGCAAACTTCCGGGTCTCTGAGTGCCCAAGGGTGCAGGCTTCTTTGAAACCCACTCCATGGATGCACTTGTGGATGTTGATGGTGTACCACTGCATCACCATCTCAGTGATGGCCATGCGGCCCTTCCTCTTGACACCCTTCTTGGCGGGAACCATGCTGCTGGCCAGGGGAGAAAGGAAGGGGGCCAGTGAGCTAGGTTTTGACCTTAGGGATTTGAATGACCAGGCCACATCCAGTTTACTAACACACACACACACACACACACACACACACACACACACACACACACAGCTGGAGAGGTTGTATAGCGGGCAAAGTGCTTTGCACGTGACTAATCCAAGTTAGATCCCCAGCATGACACCTGCTGGGTGTGGACCAAAGTAAATATAAAAAAAAAAAGCTCAATTATTTTAAGGGGCTGGAGTGATAGTACAGTGGGTAGGATGTTTATTTTGCATATTCCTGACCTGGATTCAATCCTTGGCACCCATAGGCTTCCCTGAGCATCACCAGGAGTTAATTCCTGAGTGTAGAGCCAGGAGTAACCCCTGAGCATTGTTAGTGTTGCCCAAAAAACAAACAAAAAATCATAGGAAGATTAAATTGGGAGCTATATGTTGCCCTGATACAGACTAAAAGCTCATGACACACTATTTCCTGTAAAAGAAAAAAATAATTGTACCAATTGTACTGTTACTGAGTTGGGACCCATACTTGAAGCGAATGTGGTGATAAGAGTAGTCTCTAGTAGGATTAGGACCCTTATAAGAAGTGAGCGCACACCTAGTTTTCTTCACTTTCTCCCTGTGCATGTTCTAAGAAAAGACAAGAACACAGCAAAAGTCTGCCTGCAAGCCAGGGAAAAGGACCTTCACCAGAAGATGTATTGGCTGGAACTTTGATCTTGGACTTCTAGCTTCTGGAGCTAGAAAAACATTTTTGATGGCTAAGTTATCTAGCCTAAACATATTTCTTGAATTAACGCCAGTGGGAGAAAAAGAGCAAATAAACTAAAGTACACAGCAGTCCACCCTGACATCACTGCTCCTGCTTCCTCCCGCACCCCCCCTTTTTTGGCATGACACCCAGAGACACTCAGGGGTTATTCCTGGCTCTGCACTTAGGAATCATTTCTGCCAGTGTTCAAGGATTCCTATGGGGTGTCGGGGACGGCCTCGTGCAAGGCAAAAGGCTTACCCACTGTACTAATGCTCTGGCCCCTCCTGCATCTTTCTTGTCCGATTCCCCAATAGGGTCGATTTATGGCAACTCAGACAACATACTGGTGACTCAACCCTTCCATGTAACGTGCACGGTACCAATATCAAGACGAAAGCTGACTCTCAAAGTCATTCAAGCTTTGGGATGTTGTGATCCAAGATTTACTCTGTTCTATATATCCTGAAAGCCCCCCTCCCCACACCACAATACACACACACACACATACACACACACTCCATTTCCAAAGTCAATGAAGGTTTTCCTTGAAAATAGATTTAATTTTATTCCAATGAGAATGCTCCACGTCTCTCCCCAAAACCACCTCAACGAAAGTTCTCCTCTTAGTGAATGAAAATTTTTTTTCCAGGGAAAAATTTTAAAGATCAAAAAGGAAAACTGCATATGTCTTTAATGATGAGCTATCAAAAGGTAACATACATAATAAAAACAACCGCAGTGTGTCACCTGTCCAGGAGGCATCTGGTGGAGAACCACATCTCGGCTATGATCTGAAGGGCAGGCGAGGAAACTCCTTCCTCTCTACCACGTAAGCTAACACCGGTGTATCGGGAAAGGAAATTACTTCAGGGAAACGGCTTTGCTGCTTGAGGACAACAGGGAGGGACCACAAAGAGGGTTGGAACCAACCGCCTTCTGGAAAGACTTACTGCAGGCCAAGAGTGAAAGTGACACTCTGCCCCGTAACTTTCAAGGTGAGCTCTCTTCCTGGAAGACTCACGTTTCCCCGCCTCGCTAACTGTCAGAGTTTAGAGAAGGATGAGAAGATTAACAAAATTCGAGAATGTAGAAACTGCTGATTTGGAGTCTGGAGGAAAAGGGCAGTGCCCCCAGCTGCTCCCCCAAGCTTCTCCACCGGGGGGGGGGGGGGGCGCCCTTTCAGCACGGGGCTCCTGCGATGGGCAGGGCTACTTGGCCATCTTGCGGATCATGTAGTTGAGGATGCCCCCATTGCGGAAGTACGTGAGCTCCACGTCAGTGTCAAACCTCATGATGGTGTGGAACGTCTTTCCGGTATCCAGCTGCCATGCCATGGAATGAAGAAAAAAAAAAATGAAGTGAGGCAGGTGGCTGGACAGGAGGCCCCACCAGAGTCCTGGAGGTTGTGAAGCTCCAGGCCCCAGCCCAGCGCCCCCGAATAAGAAGCTGCATTTGAACAAGATCCTACTGCAGAGAATAAATGATGGAGGTTAAGAGTTGCCTGAGAATTGCAGGAGTTTGTAGCAGCGGTGACTAGGATTTTAACGAGCTTCTCTAGGGCATCCTTGGGAGGCAACTGGCTACAGCTGGCAGAGGCTTCGATCCGGTGGTGGCATGGGCAAAGGGGCAGAGCCGCTCGCTCACCCTGGACCACTTTAGATACCCCAGCTGCCTCTGCCGGGGGGTGCGGGGAATGGGCTCAGTACCCAGGGGCTTTGAAAGTCGGCTGGTTTTGGGAGTTGTCATATTCACCTCTAGGATAACCAGAACTCAGAGCGGGAAGGACTATGGCCACTCTTTTTATGACATGTTTGTCATAAAAAAAAAAAAGGTGCATTATAGGTAATATGCAAAAGTCTTCTCCCTGAACTTTCATCAGAAGTTATCACCAGGAGATCCATAGGTGTCATCCTTGCCTCATCTAAAGGCAGGTCCAAAAGGTCCAGGTGGAGCTCCCCCCCCCCCCCCCCACACACACACACACACCCAACTCCCGCTCATTTTCTTTGGATAAGATTATCCAAACACAAAGTCTGTTTAGCTGGACCTGGCATGGCACGGGGAGAGAGGTCCCGGAGAGAGTGGGGGTGGGGTAGGCTCTGGCTTACCTTGACCTGGATTTTCATCCGCGGTTTGAGGTCTTCTGGAATGATGACAGTGTATCGTTCCCGCCCCGTAAGTCCCAGGGTGTCCGCATTCTCCCCCGGGAGATACTCGAGTGGGATCACTCCCATTCCAACCAAGTTACTGCGGTGAATCCGTTCATAACTCTCCGCCAGGACGGCTTTGATTCCCTGAGGAGCCAAGACAGAAGGGTTGTTTGGGGCCCGAGAGATTAGCACAGTAGGTAGGGAGCTTACCTCACATGCGGTTCACCCAGTGTCGATCCCTGGCATTGCATATGGTTTCCTGAACCACCCAGGAGTGATTCCTGACTTCAGAGCAAGGAGTAAGCACTGAGCAGCACCATGTGTGGCCCAAACAAACAAAAATGTTGGATGTGGTTCCCATCTTTTTGTTTTGTTTTTTTTTCCGGCCACACCTGGCAATACTCAGGGGTTCTTCCTGACTCTGCACTTAGGAGTCACACCTGGCGGTGTTCAGAGAATCACATGGGATGCTGGGGTCTGAACCCAAGTCGGCTGCATGCAAAGCAAGAGCTTAAACCACTATGCTATCTCTTGGGACCCTGCTATTTTCCTTCCCCTTTATAATGGCTAACGTCAAACTGTCCTCACACCTAAATTCTTTATAAATACCAAGTAACTCTGTGCATCAAATGACACCCCCTAGCTATGCCACCTCACACAGCCTCTAATCTTAACAGGTTGCTCTCAGTATATAGTCATTATGTGAGAACTCTCATTCTAAGTGCTGTCAGTATTGGGGGTCGGGGGCAAATGCTATGACGAATTCTCTTTGCCCTGGGCAGTGGCTGTATCTGATATTAGGACCCAGACAGCCCAACCAGGCCCAGCACCCCATCATGAGATATTTTTGAACCCATTCCCTTTATGCCCCAAATCCACACCACAAAACAACAGCAAGAAAATTCTTTTCCTTGAACTTGGCTATTGTTGCAGGCATATTTACAAGCAGATGTAACCAAAAGAGCAGTGTTCTGAGCATCCTACAGAGAAAGCAAATGACTATCTTCTCTGTGCAGCTTCCTCAAGGATAAAAGTACATTAAGGGCCAGAGAGATAATACAGTGGGTAGAGTAGTTGCCTTGTATGTGGCCTACATGGATTCAATTCCCAGCACTAAATATGATACCCTGCGCCCTGCCAGGATTGACCACTGAGTACAGAGCCAGGAGTACGCCCTAAACACTATCAGATGTGACACCCTCCCCCCCCCCCACACACAACTGCCCCCTCACCCCTCCCAAAAATGGTGGACTGTAGATCTGATATTCTACTAATAATTTATAACTGGCAGTATACAGAAATGATTAAGAACAAACCAACCAGGATACTCAAATGAATGAGAACACTGTATTCTCACAGTCAGTGAACTGCAATTATAGTAAGAGACCCATAAAAAGCCTCCCCCTGTCCAGGGTAGACTTTTAATACCCCTGGCATCAGGGTCACATGAGAAACTTGTTTAAAATGTATCGTCCTGGGCACTAGCCCTGCCTACCTCTTAAGGGAGCATGATCCCAGAGAAGACGGTGATTTTTGTTTCTGGGCTACTCCTGGGAGATGGAGGAGGGCCTTCTCCTTGCTCTGTGTTCAAGGGTCACTTCCAGACAGGAGCTCGGGGGATCATGAGAAGCCTGAAACTGAACATGGGCCTCCCGCATGCAAAGCACACACAGCCCATCTCCCTGACCCTGTGACAATGCTTTTCAAACTAGGCTACATGTAAGAATGACCACGGAGTGGGCTGGAGAGATAGTACCATAGGTGGGTAGGACGTTTGCCTTGCATGTGGGTGGCAGATGTGGGTTCGATCCCCGGTATCCCATATGGTTCCCTGAACACCGCCAGGACTGATTCTTGTGTGCAGAGCCAGGAGTAATATGCACTCAATGCATGAGGGTGAAGCCTGGCAAGCTCCCCGTGACGTATTCAATATGCCAAACACAGTAACAAAAAGTCTCACAATGGAGACGTTTACTGGACCTGCTCAAGCAAATCGATGAACAACGGGAGGGCAGTGCTACAGTGCTTTTTGGGTCACATCCGGTGATGCACAGAGGTGACTTCTGGCTCTGCACTCAGGAATTATCCCTGGCGGTGCACAGGGGACCATATGGGATGCTGGGAATCGAACCTGGGTTGGCCGTGTGCATGGTGAATGCCCTACCCGCTGTGCTATTGTTCCAGCCCTCAGACACAGGTATTTGAAAGTCAAAACAAATCTACAGAGGAAGGGCAGACTCTCCAGGATGAGAGGTATCTGGTAAGAATGTAGGCACAGACGTGTGTGCTCCCTGGTCAGTGGTGCAAGTGCCCACAAGCAAGTCTGTATCCTACTCACCAAGAGGAAGGGGCCCTTGGCGGCCCAGTCGCGGGAGCTGCCCGAGCCATACTCTTTGCCAGCCAGAATGATGAGGGGCAGTCCGGCCTGCTGGTACCTCTCAGCAGCATCGAACACGTCAAGCTGTGGGAAGAAAGAAGGTTTCGGGGGTGTGGTCAGGACCTGCAGCGGGGACACAGGCCAGTAAGGCCTGGACACTAGTGCAGGGTGAAGAGGATCTGCAGTGGCCAGAGGCAACACAAAGCCACACAGACTCAATCTGTGTGGTCACTTTATAATTCCCTGTGACCTGTGACCCTCAGCGGTTTAATCCACCAAATTGCATTCAGTATTCTTTTACCAGAAAAACTCCTTGTGGGGCTGTAGCACAGCGGGTAGGATATTTGCCTTGCACACAGCCGACCCGGGTTCGATTCCCAGCATCCCATATGGTTCCCTGAGCACTGCCAGGGGTAATTCCTGAGTGCAGAGCCATGAGTAACCACTGTGCATTGCTGGGTGTGACCCAAAAATCAAAAAAAGAAAAAAAAAATACCTCCTTGTGCAAATGCTGCCCGAGCCCATGTACTGCTTGCGCCCACATGGCCGAGCACATGTGGTGCCTGAGCATGTGTCACCCGAATATCCCCTCTTGAGATGTGTACTTTCGTGCTTTCATGTCTAATGCTGGGGTGTGTGTAGGGGCTCTCTCCGCCCTTGGAGAAGCCTGCATTCTCTCTCTCTTTCTCTCTCTCTCTCTCTCTCTCACACACACACATACTCTCTCTCTGTCTCTCTCTCTCTCTCTCTTCCCTTCCATACCTTCAAAGCCTCCAAAAAAAAAGTTTTACTTCAAAAACAATACGAAACAAAACAAAACAAAAAACCAGAAATATACCCTTGTTGTCCTGATTTTAGAAAAATATCCCAGTCCTAGAGCATCATGAAAAAAAGGAAACTAAAGGAGGTGGATTTTTCCCCCCGTCTTCTCTTTCACTGATTCAAGTGTTTTACCTTTTGGCTTTGGGGTGACACAAGGCAGTGCTCCATGGAACCTACGTGGTGCCCGGCATTGAATCAAGGATGACTGTGTGCATAGGAAGTGCCTTAACTACTGCGCTCTCTCTCTGCCTTCTCAACTAGTTTAAAACTTAGACCAAAGAAACTCCTACCTAAACCTGAGCTTTCCTTCCTTTTGTTTTGGGGGGGTCACACCTGGCAGTGTTCAGAGATCACGCCTGGCAGAGCTCAGGGGACCATATGGGGTTGCCGGGATTGAATCTGGGTCAGCAGCATAGAAAGAAGGCAAGGGCTCTACCTCCTACCCCCTGTACTATCTCTCCATCCAAGAGGTGACTTTTTTTGCATTTGAAGTTTTCTTCCACTCTGGGTACTATTAGATCTCTCTCCTTTTATTCCTCCTCTGTCTGGGGATTGGGGCTGAGGAGGGGGTCTTTCAAGATTTAAGACTTAGCTCAGAGGCTGTTTTCCTATGACTCAATCTCCTCCTTTACTATGTTGTGTGTCCTGGCGGGCGGTAATCACCGCCAGTGTGCCTGAGCCCCAAGCTCGGGTCTGTGACCCCCCCCCCCCGCCCCGCCCCATCCTCTCTGTTCATCTCTCAGATGCTTGAAAACTGACTGCGTTTTTCTTCATGCCATTGCGTATTATTCCTGCTGGCCATCAAACAGTTACCTGCCTGGCTTGGTCCTGGTAGTCAGGGATTATCTATGAAGAGTTTTCTTTGCAAATACCCAGAATCAATGGCAGGTGAAATGGTATTTGTGCCAAGACCACTGGTGCCTGAGGCGAGGTCCTGGGTCTTGAATCTCGGCTTTTCCTCTGTGTGACCCGAGAGTCACAGGAGATGGCTCAGATCCAGGCTCCCCAGTGTACAGCATGCATAACTGGGGCTGGAGATAGTATGATGTGTAGGGTACCTGTCCTACACACACAACCCAGGTTCGATCTCTGGCAGCCCACATGGTTCCCTGAGCAGTCATGAGTGATCCCTGAGTGCAGAGCCAGGAGTAAGCCCTGAGCACCACTGAATGTGGCTCAAACACTAATTAAATAAAAAACAGATAATTAAAGCTCATCCTCCTAATAACTCTCATAGAGTTGTTTCTGGTAAAAAAAAGTCAGCATATACGAGGAGCACAGAATAATACCTGAGATGTAGTGAGTTCCACATAAAATACAAGCCATTATTATTATTATTTGTTTTTTGTTATTTTTGGGGGGGTCACACCCGGCAATGCACAGGGGTTACTCCTGGCTCTGCACTCAGGAATTACTCCTGGCGGTGCTTCGGGGAACCATATGGGATGCTGGGAATCGAACCCGGGTCGGCCGCGTACAAGGCAAATGCCCTACTCGCTGTGCTATCGCTCCAGCTCTATTATTATTATTATTATTTGAAAAGTGGAGAATCATCTCTAAAGTCGTTCAGTTTTCATCAGCCCTACAGCACCTGCCGAGCAGGTAGGTGACACAGGTGACCCATGTGCAGGCACTATTCTAGTTGTGACACCTTTTAAAAAAATTTTGCTTTTCGGCCACACCTGGAGATGTTCAGGAGTGACTCCTGGCCCCTGCACTTGGAATCATTTCTGGCAGTGCTCGGAGGACCATATGGGATGACGAGGATTGGCTCGGCCGTATGCAAGGCAAATACCCTCCCCACTGGACTTTCGCTCCAGCCCTAGGCGTGACTCCTTTTATGTTTAAGCCTCAGAGCCTTACAAGGTAGGAGTCACTACTGCTTCACAGGTTAAGAGGAAAGAAGATCTTGGGGGGACTGAAGCAATAGCACAGAAGGTAGGGCGTTTGCCTTGCACGTGGCCAACCCGTGTTCAATTCCCAGCATCCCATGTGGTCCCCCGAGCACCGCCAGGAGTAATTCCTGGGTGAAAAGAGCCAGGAGTAACCCTTGTGCATCTCCAGGTGTGACCCAAAAAGAGAAAAAAAAAAGATCTTGGAGGCTAGAGTGATAGCACAGTGGGTAGGGCATTAGCCTTGCACACGGTCAACCTGAGTTCGATCCCCAGCATCCCAAATGGTCCCCCAAGCACTGCCAGGACTAATTCCTTAGTGCAGAGTAAGGAGTAACCCCTGAGCACTGCCAGGTGTGACTCAAAAAAAAAAAAAAGAGAGAGAGAGACGAAGATCAAAGAGACTGGGATGAGGTAGAGCAGGGACTTGAAATCAGTGTGTCTGACTCAAAGGTCAGCTCCTTCCTCTTCCCACCTCCCCACTCTCCTTCCCTGAGTCAAGCTGGAATATACCAATTGCAAGTCATTCCCCTAAGACACAGCTGGCCTCCACATTCCTTCCTTCCTAAAGGATATCAGCGTTCTTGCTAAATTTAGCACATGTTGCTAAATATCCTCTACCTTACCGTGGAATTTCCCTTCTTGTCCCTAACGAGTCTGAATGATAAATTCTTCTCAGAAAAATTTTATTTATTGGTTTTGGGACCACACCTGGCCATGCTCAGGACTTACTCCTGACTCTGCACAGGGATCACTCCTGGCAGGGGCTCAGAGAACCATATGTGGTTCTGGGGATCAAACTTGGGTCAGATGGGTGCAAGGCAAGTGCCCTAACTGCAGAACTATTGCTCCAGCCCCAAGAAATTTCTTTGCATTTCAGGTTTTTGGTTTTGGATTTTTAGTTTCTGGCTATGGGTTTTTTTTAAATGTTGGTTCTTAGTCTTTGAGCCATCATCAGTGATGCTCAGGGCTTAGTCCTGCCTCCGCACTCAGGAATTACTTCCAGTGGCTGCTATCATATGTGGTGCCAGGGACTGAACTCGAGTCAACCGTGCTTTAAACTCAACTCCCAGGAAACTAGATTGAGTTAGACATCAGCGGCATCCCCAAGTAGGAAGCAGCTGGCGCACACTTTCAAGGGCATGTCTGTTGGGGATTAACTTTACATCCGAGACTACCTGGCAAGAGGTACTATAGGAAGGCAGAGGTAAGATGGAACCACAGGAAAACCTAAGGTCTACAGGGAAAAAAAAAAGCACTTGAGGAAAAAGCCAACTTCCCAGAGGCTGGAGGATGCTAGGTTCTCGAGGAAGCAAAGAGATGATACTCACGACTTCACCGGATGGGAGATGGATAGTCTGCGGAGCCTGCTTGTTCAGAAACTTGTTTAATAAGCGAATGTTGGCGAATGTCCCCCGTGCCATGATGGCATCATTCCCTCGGCGGGAACCATAGGAGTTGAATTCTCGTGGAGTCAGGCTATTAAGGCAGAGCAGGAGAACAAAATGGTCATTCAACTTGGCTTACACCAAAAGGAAACCCTCTCAACCCAGCTATTTCTCTAAGTTTACCAGGCCCTGCTCAAGGAGGCAGAGATGTTCTGCCCAGGTCAGAGAAAGAAGGGAACATGCTGGGGGGAGAGGTAGCAACCTACTTGGAAGAATATGGCCAAATGAAAAAATCAGGAGAACTGAGAATAAAATACTAAAAGTGTACACAAAAGAAGCAACGAGAGGAATCAGGCCAGACCAGTCAGATGGAGACAGGAGTGGGGGGAAAATTCTGCTCCCGCCCCCATCAGAAACATAAATAGCAGACACACCACTACAAGTTATAATTTTTACAAGATAAAGATCAAAGTAGTACCAAAGAGGCAGAGTGGCTATCCCTAGTCCTGAAACAGAGCAGATCTCTGTCGGTGGATCCATACGTAATGAGAGGCCCTGGTCTGTCAGGACCACTTCACAGTGCACATGGTGACCAACATGCCTCTGTTTCTGGAAATATCAGTGGGCGTGTGTGTGTCTATGTGTGGTGGAGATCTAATCTGAGGGTTCAGAAAGTCTTATACGGGAACTGGAGAAGCAGGTGGGTTAAATGTCTATAAGCCACTGAGATCATATCCACCACATAGGGTCTGGGAAGGATATCCGCTTCCATTCAGTGCTTGACATAATCTGTGTCTCCAAAGAGTGCCACCATTAATTGAAGAAAGGTGTTTGGATTGTGTTCTCTGCCTGGGGGTCTAGAGGCCCAGGCCTAAAGTAGATTCACGGGTTGGGAAAGACAGCACAGTGGGGAGGAAGATTGCCTTTCGTGGAGCTGGCCTGGGTTCAATCCCCAGCACCGCCAGGAGTGATTCCTGAGTGCAGAGCCAGGAGTAATCACCAGGCACTGATGGATATGACTCTAAAAACCAAAACAAAGAAAACCAAAAGCAAACAAACAAAAAGGAAGTGGCAAGAGGAAGCCTGATGAGCCTCACGAAAGGCAGATTTGGAACTAGCTTTGCTGAAGACGAGGGATGGAGAGGTAGTACAGTAGGTAGGGTGCTTGTACGGGGCAGACTCAGATTCTATCCTATGGCACCCCACATAGTCCCATGAACCCCATCAGGAGTAATCCCTGAGTGAGTCAGGAGTAAGTGCTGAGCATTGCCGGTTGTGGCCCTCAAGCCAAAAACAGATGGGTGCCCTAGATAACATCAGACAGCTCTGGTACCACCTGTAAAAACTGACTGATGAAGTAAGGACTGACATGTGAAGGCAGGAACTGCAAATCCTCGAAGCTGTTTTCTGTCTAGAGCATATAACTCATGATGGCCGTGCTGAGCTTCAAGGGTGATCAGAGATTCCAACAGATTAAGAGCAGAGTCTGAACATGTTTGCCACTCAATGCCTCTTTTGCAGACCACAACACCCAAAAGGAGAGAGAGAACACAGGGGATTGCCCTGCCACAGAGACAGGGGGGGATGGGGGGATGGGGGTGGGAGGGATATTATCCATGGTGGTGGAAAATGGGCACTGGTGGAGGGATGGGTATCTGATCATTGTATAATTGAAACCAAAGCACAAAAAATTGTAAATCTACAACTTTAAAAAAAAATAAAATACAATAAAGGGAAAAAAAAAAAAAAAAGAGCAGAGTCTGGTAGGGGCCGGAGCGCAAGTCTGACACCAGTTTGATCCATGATGCCTCATATGCTCCCCTAAGCTCCACCCGCCACCCCCAACAGTGATCCCTGAGTGCACAGCCAGCCGTAAACCCTCTGCACAAGCCAGTTAGTCATGCTGGGGGACAGTATGCTGGCAAAAAAAAAAAAAAACCAGACCCCAATCCTACTCTGCTGGGGTGGACGTGCTAACAGACCAAAATAGAACACAATTTGTTCTCCAACCCCAGGGGCGAGTGGCAAGTGAAAAACCAGAGTTAGATTCCAAAGAGACCACGTGAAAGGAAAAATACTGGCTTCATTCTTCCAAAACACACACACACACACACACACACACACACACACACACACACACACACACACACTTTATTTTTTTGGTTTCTGGCCCACAACCTGCAGTGCATGGGGGCTACTGCCAAGGATGTTGCTTGGGGGGTGTCACTCCCAGATGTGCTGGCCAACGATGCAATGCCAGGATTGAAGCCGGGCCTCCCGAAGGCCTGGCACAGTAGCCTGTTGAGTGCTCTTCCCGGTGCCCCATTTGTGCCTCTGTCTTTGCTCGCCTGGTTCAGACTTACCCTCTGTTAGTTAAGTAGCGAGCAGCGGGGCTGTTCCTTGCGATGTTTCCAGCCGGAGAGATGTGGTCCGTTGTGACGGAATCTCCCAGATTTAAGAGCACGTAGGCATCCACTATAGACTCCGGGGGCTGAAGGTCCAAAGTCTAGTGCAGAATACAAGGAGTCAGGGGGCTGAGTGATAGCACAGCGGGTAGGGAGCCAACCTGGGTTTGAATCCTGTCATCCTATATATATGGTCCCACAAACACTGCTAGGAGAGAAATTTCTGAGAGAAGAGCCAGGAGTAATCCCTGGGCATCACCAGGGGCCCCCTGACATCTCCCCCCCCCAAAAAATAAAGATTCAGTAATCATCCTGCACCTGGATGTTCTCAAACAAGTTTCCAGGGCAGCCTGTACAGTCTCCATGCCCGGCCCTGACCTGCTTAGCACTGAGTTAAGTCCTCCTGCAGGAGTCCTTTCTAAGACCACCATCACTTAGTGCTTGCAATCCACCAGCTTTCTATGCTGACATACTAATTTTGTTCAAAAACTGCAGTCAGGAAATAGTTGATGGCACTCACCAACTTTCAACTAGATGGAGCAGCTCCTCCTAATCTCAATTGTATAGAAAGCAAACAGGACAGCAACTTATATTATTATGCATTGACTAAATGGCTATGTATTTTTAAACCATCACAGTCACGGTCCTCCCGTTGTTCATCGATTTGCTCGAGCGGGCCCAGTAACGTGTCCATCATGAGACTTGTTGTTACTGTGTTTGGCAAATCGAATACGTCACGGGCAGCTTGCCAGGCTCTGCCGTGCGGGCGAGGTACTCTCGGTAGCTTGCCGGGCTCTCCGAGAGGGGCGGAGGAATCGAACTCGGGTCGGCCATGTTGGCTGCTTGTAAGGCAAACGCCCTACCTCTGTGCCCTTTTAAATCATCAAGGAGAAGAAACAACTTTGTATAATTCAAGACTTTTCCCTGCTTTTGATCTTCAATATCTTTTTTTATAGGGTATTGGAGGAGGGGAGGATTCAGACCTCACCCAGCAATTGCTCCTCTTAGTCATGCTTAGAGGGGTGTTATGTGATGTTGGAAATCAAACCTGGGGCTCCGGTCTATAAAGCATGTGCTCTAGTCCTTTGAGCCATCTTCCTGGTCCTGGTTCTCAGTATTTTAATGTGGAACCTAACCCTACTTCCCAGCTCACATTTTTCTGTCTGCTTGCGTTTGTTATGAGGCACTCAGGGCTTACTCCTGACTTTGCACTCAGGGATCATTCCTGGCGGTGCTCGGGGGACCATATGTGGTGTCAGAGATAGAATCCAGGTAGGACACATGCAAGAACTTGTTGTTTTCTCTCTCCAACCCTATAGAACACTTTTTTAAAAAATTTTTATTAGTGAAACACCATGAGGTACAGTTGTAGACTTACAAATTTTTGTGCTTGGGTTTCAGTTATACAATGATCAAGTACCTATCCCTCCACCAGTGCCCATTCTCCACCACCAATGATCCCAGTATCCCTCCCAGCCCTCCATCCCCCAAATCCCACCCCGCCTCTGTGGAAAGGCATTTCCTTTTGTTCTCTTTCTCCTTCTGGGTGTTGTGGTTTGCAAAAGAGGCATTGAGTGGCAATCATGTTCAGTCTATAGTCTATTTTCAGCATGCATCTCCCATCCTGGAAGGATCCTCCCAACACCCTTTATTTGGTGCTCCCTTCTCTATCTGAGCTGCCTTTTCCCCTAGTGAGTGCGGTCTAGCACACTTTTAAAGAATATGAATAACACCTAATTTTTAGAAAATAAGCATTATCACATTTTCTTATGGGGAAATAAAAATATAAAATCTTACAGAATGCTCCCCCCCAAAAAAAAACCCCAAACAAAAAACATAATCCCCAAAGCGAAAGGTATGAGGTGATAAATTATACTTTGTATAGCAAAAATTCTTTTAACGAATTAATTTTGTTTAAGAAATAAAATCATACCAGCTTTTCAAAAAAAGGTGGTGATTTAATGTAGGTAGATTTGGGATTCCAGCCATACAGCGTATCTGTTGGGGCAGCTAAGGCATTCCAGCTTTCATTCACAGTCTAGGAAAGAAAGACAGAGTCCCATTTCATTCTAAAGACAAGGCAAAGAGCAAACCCAGAACATATAGTCAGATCAGAAAACAATAAAAAACCATTCTTTGTCTAAAAAGTCATGCAGGAGAGTTCCTGTAGCCGAACAGAGGCCAGTTGAGTCATTCTGAGTCCAAATGTGCAAGCAGGGTGAGAGGCAGCCTTCGTCAGGCCTCCACCCCTGCCGGCCGAGTAGGGATGAACCAACCCACACATTTCCAACACTGGGTTATGGCGGGAGAGAGCCTCTTATCTCCCCTACTCCCTCTGTCTCTTCAACAGCTTACGTGCCTGTAAGAGACCAGAACAGCAAGGCCTAGTTTGTTACAAGAGCAGCCCTCCAGGAATCAAACCCTGCAAGGACACTGGAGTTGCCTTAGAAGTGGCTCTCCACCCCTTCTACCCACCCCAGCTGAGCCTTCTGATGAGCCGCAGCCCCACAGACACAGAGTGACTGAGTGGCAATGTGTGTGTGTGTGTGTGTGTGTGTGTGTGTGTGTGTGTGTGTGTGTGTTGGGGGGGAGGGGACAACTAGATCCCCCTAGGTCCCCCATCTGCAGAAACTGGGAAATGATAAACCAATGCCTTGAGTCATTGGTTTTCCGGCAGTAAATAATTAGCATGCAGTTGTCAGTGCTCATTTATAAAAGGATAATCCAGACAGGAGGAGGCAAGGGGTGGGGTGGGGGGCGGGTAGTGGAAATGATTTACTCTTAAGATTTTGGAAAACACACTTCCAGGTAACAAGGTCATTGGAGAGACAATGACGGCATCCATCTGTTCATACTGGCCTCAATTCTCTCCACAGGTCTTTCCACCCACCCTCTGGAGAAATGCATTCAATCCGATCCCAACCAAACGCCTGGGCAGCGTGTGGAAGGAAGAGGGCAGTGTGTAAGTCTGAGCCCATGTGACTCTGCACCCCAGCCTGATCTCTCTCTACTTCACTGAGTCTCTTTAACACAGGAAGCAGGGAAAGGAATAAACAACCCAGTACGAATCTTACTCTTTCTCTCTACCAGAGAAAGTTTTATTTATTTTCAGCAGTTGGGAGGTGCGGTCCTCCCTCCCTCCCTCCCTCCCCTCTTTCCTTCCTTCGTTTCTTTCCTTCTACTGTTTAAAACTTTTTTTTCTTTTAAAAGATACAAACAATTATGAGCGTTTACATTTATTTACCCAGGGGCTGGAGCGATAGCACAGCAGTAGGGCATTTGCCTTGCGCGCAGTCGGGCCCGCCGAGCTGGGTTCGATTCCTCCAACCCTCTCGGAGAGCCCAGCAAGCTACTGAGAGTATCTCGCCCGCATGGCAGAGCCTGGCAAGCTACCCGTGACGTATTCAATATGCCAAACAGAGTAAAAACAAGTCTCACGATGGAGACATTACTGGGCCCGCTCGAGCAAATTGATGAACAACGGGAGGACAGTGCTACCGTGCAGTGCTACATTTACCCAACTTGCTCCAGGTCAGACACACAGCCCCGTGATATCAGGAGTCAGGAGTCACAGTGTGCCAAGGATCCCAAAGTGCCTGAGAAAAGGGAGGCACTGAGAGTGCTCGACAACAAAGACAACAGAATCTGGGGCCAGAACAAAAGTATAGCAGGTAGGTTTGCCTTGCATATGGCTTCCCTGAGACCTATCCCCAGAAACCCATATGCATGGGGTCCTCCGAACCCGCCAGAAGTGATCCCTGTGTGTAAGGTGAGCAATGCTGGATGTGGCCTCAAAACAAACCCCAAAAGACAACAGAATCTGAGAATTGATCTTATCGGCATGGGGGGGCTATGAGGGAGGTGAGTTGGGGGGCGTTGGGGAACCTGGGATAAGGGTGGAGGTACGCGGACACTCTGGTGGAGGGCGTGGTGTTAGAACACTGTTTGCATGGAAACCCAATCCTTGGCAGTACTATAAATCACAGTATCTTTAAAATTTTTAAATTAAGAATTGAAAAACAAAAACCAAAAAACAACTGGCCAAGAATCACGTACAACTTAGGCCGTTTTATCCTGAGGCTGCCATTCACTTGTCCAAACGCGGAAATATCTGGAGAATGTGGGCTGGTAAAAATGTGAGTCACAGGGAAAAAATGACTGAGAACCACTTCCCTAGTCCCCCAGAAGAAATCGCTGTTAGTCTTGAACATTTATCTGTTAGCTGATAAGTGCGTCAGCTTTAGGGCCTGCAGAGACACAGAGATAGTCGCGGGCTAGTTACAGGCAGGCAGGGCTGCTCACTCACCTCTATTTTCTGATAGACCTCCTTAAACATCCCGGGGATGACATACTGCCGCTCCACGGCCTGGATTTCATCTCTTGTCGGCCAGATATCTTTCAGAAAGACTTGTTGTCCTTTGGCATTTACTCCTGGGGAGGAAAACGTTTACTGATAAGAAAAATCGGTTTTCATATTCCATCTTCAATACGACACACAGTCTTGTTCTCTGTGCTTCTCATGTTCTTCCCAAGTCTGCCCATGCTGAGTCAGTAAAAACCCAGTCGGTGGCCCTGGGGGAACATGGGGTGTGTAATTCCTCAACATCTCTACCTCTACAACTCCACCCGCGCCTGGTCTTGCTTCAGGTGTGTTTTTGTTGAGACACACCTTATTTAATGTGTATTGCAGAGGCATCAACATTGGATTCAGGGCTACCAGTCCTGCAAGCCTTTCCTGAATGCAGTGTGGCTACCGAGGTGCTGTCTCCCAGGTTTCCTGGGGTTAGAATCACTGGACAGCCCCTCAGAGCACTCCCATATGTGTGCAGCCCATCCCTGTCCCTGCCAACAGAAAAATTACCAACACCAAGTAGTAAAATGCAAACCCTGGGCTCCTAAGTAGAGCCCCCAAGGGACACGGGCTTACCATGGAGAGCTGAAAAGAGCAGGCAGATGCTTGGCCTATGCAGAGAAGGTCGATATTGGTTGTCTATGCATAAATTACCAGGAATAGGACAAGCACTGCTCTGGGGGGTTAAAATCTGTTTTACGAGGGCTAGGAGGACTGGCCCAAGGTTGGAAGAAGCCTGCCACAAGTGAGGGGGGTAGAGGTCAGTTAGGATAGAGAAGGGACCGCTATGACAATGATAGTTGGAAATGATCACTCTGGGCAGGAACTGAAGACCAAGAAAGGGTAAAGGGTTATACATGATAATCTTTCAGCTGCCTGTATTGCAAACCATCACAGCCACGGTCCTTCCGTTATTCATCGATTTGCTCGAGTGGGCCCAGTAATGTCTCCATTGGAGACTTTGTTGTTACTGTGTTTGGCATATCGAATACATCATGGGGAGCTTGCCAGGCTCTGCCGTGCGGGTGAGATACTCTTGGTAGCTTGCCAGGCTCTCCGAGAGGGGCGGAGGAATCGAACTCGGGTCGGCCACGTTGGCTGCGTGCAAGGCAAACGCCCTACCGCTGTGCTATCGCTCCAGCCCATTGCAAACCATAATGCTCAAAAAGGGGGTGGGGTGTGGAGAGGGAGAGAGAAAGAAAGGGAGAGAGACAAGGAGAGAGACGAGGAGAGAGGAGAGAAAGGAAGAGGTGGTGGAGGAGGAGGGGGGTAGAGAGAGGGAGAGAGGAAGAGAGACAGAGAGGAGATAGAGAGACAGAGAGAGAGAAAAGAGAGAGAGGAAGGAAACGGGGGACAAGAAGGTGGAAAATGTACAAGTGAAGCGACAGGTACTGGAACACTGAAACCCAATCATGAACAACTTTGTAACTATCTCACAGTGATTTGATTAAAAAAAAATTCGTTTTGGTGAGTAGGCAAATCCAAATGCAACCAGGGTCACGTGTACCTCTGAAGTTATGATTTCCTAAAATTCAACCGAGGGACAGTGTTTTTATATTATCTGACTCAGTGGGTTTCCTCCCAGGCCCATGGGCCGCTGCTGAATGTGGCCTGGTATGCAGGACAGGTGGAGAGAGGAGGAAGAAGGCTCATCTAATCTAAGTAGGCTGGACTGAGGAGAGTAAAGCAAGATGATCAGACGAAAGCAGAGAGCATCATTTCCCCTGGATCTCGAGAGGTTGAACTCTCTGGGATGTGCACCTAGCATTTATAAAAAGAATCTCGATCTTTTTTTTCTTTTTGGGTCAAACCCAGCGATGCACAGGGGTTATTCCTGGCTCATGCACTCAGGAATTACTCCTGGCAGTGCTCAGGGATGCTGGCAATGTAACCCGGGCTGGCTGCATGCAAGGCAAACATCATATTTGCTGTGTTATCACTCCAGCTCCCCCAAATCTCAATCTTTCAATTAAAGCAGGAGCTGGTAAGAGATGATGGAGAAGAAGCCACAGGAGAAAGATTTCTACTTTTTTGCATTTGTCTTCCCTTTGCCATCCCTGAACCTTTAGGAATGTCTTATTTATTTCTCTTATGTCTAAGCTGTATACTGAGTAGGAATAAGGAAAAAAACAAAACAAAACACTCCTAGTCTTTTATTTGGATCTTCTAAGCTCCATTTTGCTCTTGTTTCTGTGTTTGAGCACTTAGTGGTGCTCAAGGGTCATCCTGGTAATCTCTAGGGAACCTGAGTACTGGGGATTGAAGTGGTGTCGGAGGTGGTCACCGCACGCAAGGCAAGCACCACAACCCTCAGACAATTGTTCCACTCCCTTAGTTTCCCTTTTGTATTAAGGAGAGCAGTAACTTTCTTCTAGTCACACATTTTTATGCATCGGGGGAGAAAAGACAGAATCACCGGAGAAAAGCTTACCTAAGGGCTCTTTCTCAAAGTCGATCCTGATGGTGCCAGCAATTGCATACGCAATTACTAAGGGTGGGGAGGCTAAGTAGTTAGCCCGGGTATTGGGGTGCACACGACCTTCAAAATTTCTGTTCCCAGACAGTACTCCAACCGCCACAAGGTCTCCCTGTGAAAGGTCGGAGAAAAACCAGGTCACAAGGAGAAAGATGGCCTAGTTTTCTTATGCCAGAGCATTTACAAAATTCTACCCCCTCCCCCACAGAGTTGGAGGTGTTTAAGCTGCCCTTTCCCTTGTTGTGGGGTAGCGGGATTGGGGGATAACACTGGGGGTTGGGGGGGAGCCCTGGGGGAGGCGCTCGGGTTAGAAGGAGCAGGGAGATGTAGTTTCTGGAAACAGATTAAACTCGGTAGGTAAAGGGAGCCGGAGTGACTGACACAGGCTCCAGAATGCCAAGCTACTGCCCGGCTCAGCACCGCAGGGATGCAAAAGACAGAAACATCCAACCATGCAGTTTAGATTGGGGAGAAGACATCTCTGACTTCAAACCAGTTTTTTCATCACCAGGCACCACTTGGGAGGCCTTTTAAGTCAAAACTCCCATTTGTTTATTGAGCAGAAACTTCTGCACCGCAAGTCCTTCAAGCCCATAAGCATCAAGATTACGTACAACTCTGTGATGCAGGTGCGGGGCCAACTATAATGGCCAACTGCAAATGGACAGTTGTGGAAACTCAGGCCCAATGAGGTTCATTTTAACTTGCCAGCGGCTCTAGTACAATGAATTCTCTCAGCCTCAAAGACCACGCTCCTAGCCATGCGCCATGCTCCCTGGATTTTCCTGACGGAACCAGCATTTGTGCTCACACAATCTTCTGAAAAGAAGCCAGACCCGCGGGCTCCTCCGGAATTACCTGCGTGATGGCCTCGACCACGGGTTCCGGTAAGGGCCCACTGTTGCCAATGCAGGTCATGCAACCGTAGCCCACCACGTCAAACCTAGAAAAGCACAAGGCTGGATCAGCTCTGTGAGCCCAACTGCTGGGAACGAGTCAGAGAACAATAGTTTAAAGATGATGACAACACAAAGATTGTCTCACACAGCGCAATTTGGATAAAGCTATCATTCCTGGAAGCATCTGGACCCACGATTCATGCATCCTCGATCATTCTATTAAATTTCTTTTCATTTATAAGTAATTTATTTTTAAAAAAATTTCCAAGGCCGGAGTGATAGTACAGTGGATAAGATGCTTGTCCATCTGGATTTCATCCCCAGCACTACATTATCACACCCCTCCCCCTGGCCTCGCCTTCCACCGAAGCATTGCCAGGAGTGATCCCCGCGCACACAGCCAAAAGTAAGCCCTCTATACCACCAAGGTGGCCCAAAACCCCTCCAAAAATTTGTTTTCTTGTAAATCTTAGTCATTTACACTTTAGTCTTTGGAGGAAGAGAGTGAGGAGGGAAGGGAGGAAAGGAAGAGGAAGGAAAGGAGGAAGGAAAGAAAGAAGGAAGGGAGGGATGGAGGAAGGGACAGTTGGAGTGAGGGAGGGAGGAAAAGAAAAAGAAAGAAGGAAAGGAAGGAAGGAAGGAAGGAAGGAAGGAAGGAAGGAAGGAAGGAAGGAGGGAGGGAGGGAGGGAGGGAGGGAGGGAGGGAGGGAGGGAGGGAGAAGACAATGAAACAGGGAGGGAGGAGAGAAGGATGGAAGAGGAAAGCAAGCAAGCAAGCTTACAATTTACTTGAGAATAGAGTATAAAGTACTTTTATACATTACTTACTCTTGGGAGAGCAATTACAAAAGGGGCCTATATGAACTAGAATTTTGAAATCAGGTAACATTACTTAACATCTTGTTTTAGTATTTCTACTACATAATCCTTAGGGCTTTGAGAAGCACATTATGATGGAGGTAAAAAACCCTATCATCGACATGGGAAAAATGGGAAAAATTCTGTGAACACGTAACTATTTCAAGTTAGGAATCAGAATACTTTTAGCCACAGTAAATAAGGGTGTTTATTCCCAAGGGCAGATGGCCCACTGCAGAGCCAGTGATGGCCCACAGTCTAGTCCATGCCCCTGGAATGGAGCCCGCGGCCTCCGGACCAGTATAGCTCCGCACCAGGGCACGCCCCCCAGCCTCTCTTACGGGAACCCTTGTGTGAGCCACGTCATGGCCAGCACCACCATCAGGGAGGACCCTTCTCTGCGGTATGGAGGAGCTGAAATCTAGTGACCCCGTGACATCAGACGGCACCATCAGCTTTTTTTTTCTTCTTTTTGGGTCACACCCAGTGATGCTCAGGGATTAATCCAGGCTCTGCACTCAGGAATTACTCCTGGCGGTGCTTGGGGGACCATATGGGAGGCCAGGGATTGAACCCGGGTCGGCCATGTGCAAGAGAAACGCCCTACCTGGTGTACTATCGCTCCAGCCCCATCAGCTTTGACCTATAACAAGGGGGCCCAGCCAGATAGCACGCCACACCATGCGGGGAAGGCACAGGCATGGAAGGACATGTCCTCTCACCCGAGCTGAGACAGGTACGGCATGACTCCACTCTCCCGCAGGTAGTAGGTGACCACGCCGCTTCCAGGAGACAGGCTAGTTTTGATGTACGGCTTCACATTCAGGCCAGCCTCCACGGCTTTCCTGGCCAGCAACCCTGCAAAGGGATGAGCACATCCAGTGAGGGCATCCACCTCGGGGTGCCACGGGGGCTCGAGAAAGACGGCCCAGCACCTGGCCGAGCCTTGTTAGGAAACTGCTGCCTATCAGACAGAAGTCAAGGCTCGCTGGCCCTGAGTCACTTCTATAGCAAACGCAGAATCTGCCCCAGAAATCAAGGGAGAGAGGTGAGCTTTTTCAGAAAGAGATAAAACTAAAAGCAAAGAGAATATTACAAGGTGAGTTTTGTTTTTGTTCCTGGGCCACACCCAGAAGTAGCACCGTAGCACTGTCCTCCTGTTGTTCATCGATTTGCTCAAGCGGGCACCAGTAACATCTCCATTGTGAGACTTGTTGTTACTGTTTTTGGCATATCGGATACGCCACAGGAAGCTTGCCAGGTTCTGTTGTGCGGGAGAGATACTCTCAGTAGCTTGCCGGGCTCTTCGAGAGGGATGGAGGAATCGAACCCAGGTCCGCCGCATGCAAGGCAAACGCCCTACCTGCTGTGCTACTGCTCCAGCCCACACCCAGCAGTACTCAGGGTTTACTCCTGACTCTGCTCAGGGAGCACTTCTGGTGGGTTTGGAGCACTACAGGGGATGCCAGGTCGGTCAAGGGCAAGGCAAATACTTGTTAGTAGCACTATACTATTGCTCCCACCCACAATGTGAGTTTTTAATTGGAGACAAAGAAAAATGATCTTTCTAATTTTATTCTATTTGAATGAAAATTATAATTGAGGACCCAGAGTGGTAGTCTAGCAGGTAGGGTATTTGCCTTGCATGTGACTGACTTGGGTTTGATCTCCAGCATCTCATATGGTCCCCTGAGCACTGTCAGGAGTAATTTTTGAGTGTAGAGCCAAGAGTAGCATGGCCCAAAAACCAAAGAGAGAGAGAGAGAGAGAGAGAGAGAGAATTATAACTGAACAAACCCTTTTTAAAAGTCATATGAATTGTGTGCTGGTTCATAAATAAAATAACGGTCAGTACAGAAGTAAACATTTCATCTGCAGATATTTCTTCAAATGGAAAATCTAGAGTCCAAAGGCCATGAAACTTCTGGCAAATAGAGTTCATCACAGAAATAGTGGGTGCTTTGGGTTAGAAAAGACTCAGAGGTAAGTGCAGAAAGAGATAAAAAAAAAACTACATACAAACTTGGGGACTCATGGGAAAATGTTCTGCTCTAGGTAAGAAAAGCTGAGGAGGCAACAACTAAATTTTTAGACAAAGGCATCCCTTATATTCTTATCCACTTCACAAAGAAAAAAAGAACTCTTTAGTTTATGGCTGGAGCAACAGGACAGAGGGGAGGGAGGGAGGCTGCCGTGCACGCTGCCAACCCAGGTTTGATCCTGGGCACCTCACATGGTCGCCATGCACCGTCAGGAGTTATTCCTGAGTGCTGAGCATCACCAGTGTGGCCCCAAAACAAAACAAAAAAGAAATCCTTTGGTCTATGGGCATGAGAGGAACTCTTGGGGATGACTACAAATTGAAAATTAAAGGCCCCTTATGTTAGGGAAATTCTATAATAACATATGTACATAATATTCTATACACACACACATATATATATACTTTATATATATACTTTTTATAAATGCTTAATATACAGGTGAGTTGTATCTACTGGTACTTATGCCCTACTTCTAATGCACCTGAAAAGGCATCTAAGCAAACTAGATTCTAATGTACAATAAATGCCTTTTTGGGGGCTTTACGAGGTAACATGCAAACAAGTTATTTTTCTTCTAAAGTCTAACAAAGGATTTTAGGCTTCACCACAAATTCATCTTCTCTGCTTTCTTCTATTTGCTCTCTGAGTTATTATATAAAGAAAGACTAGCACACATTAGGTATTCGATTTGGCACACTTTGCTTTGGAAGCTATTTACTGGGCAGCTATTCCTGGGCCAGTGAATTTCTCCTGCTGGAAAAGACAAGTTCAGAGAACTCAGTTTTTCAGTTATTATTTTGTAATTTTAAACTCAATGTTTAAACCGAGTATCACAGATTACAATACTATTGCGGTGGTGGTTTCTTGGTACAGAGCTACCATACCAATCCCTCCGGCAGTGTCACCAGATGTCTCCACCATTACACCACGGTGCCTTCTCTCCCCACCCCCTCAGTTCCCAGTTCTACTGATCATGCTTCAGGTTTGTTTCCATGGGGGGTGGGGGGAGGCTTTCTCAGGGATCTTCCTGTAGGACCTGGTAAGCCCTAAGCCCTGGTCATGTCTTGGGTATCTCCACCGACTTGACTCTGGGAAAGTCACTTACCTGCCCCCAACATCACAGAAGGGTTGCTGGTGTTCGTGCAGCTAGTAATGGCAGCAATCACCACCGAGCCATGAGCAAGGCTGAATTCGCTGTTATTATAGATGAAAGTCTTCTGGTTGCCATGTTGGTTGGGAGCAACCTGAAATCCTTTAAAACCTTGCTAAAAAAGAAGTGGAAGAAAAAAATACAGATGTACACATGCATGTATAGACCTGAGTTCTGATTTAAGAGAAGTACTTTGGGGGCTGGAGCAACAGTACAGTGGGTAGGGCATTTGCCTGGCACATGGCCGACCTGAGTTCGATTCCCAGCATCCCATATGGTCCCCCGAGCACTGCCAGGAGTAATTCCTGAGTGCAGAGCCAGGAATAACCCGTGTGCATCGCAGGGTGTGACCCAAAAAGAAAAAAAAAAAAAGAAAAAAAGAGAAGTACTTTGCTGACTATGAATTTAAGGGCCAAGTAAGTCTTCACAAAACACAAATATCGCGGTAAATGGAGATGCCAACGAAAAATCAAAGTTCTTGATATTCACCAAATACATTCAATAGAGTAATCATGACTTTTGAATCTTACTCGGCCTACAACTAACAATTCCTTCCCAACTCAATAAAAAAACTACAATTTCAGTTCAAAGTTAGTCTATTTAAATGTCAAATGGCATTTTTGCACACTTTGACGGATACACACTTAGGGCATTGAAATTTAGGAGGGGGAAAGTGCCGTTTTGACCAGACACAACAGAATCATGATAAAAAAGGAAAACAAAGCATAGGAATAACCACTTTATATTGTTCTGTTTTATTGCACTTAGCGGAGACTTGTGTGTGTTTTAAAATATTTTATTTTAGTCACCATGATTTATAGTTTTACAACTATATAATAGCCAATAATAGTCTAAAGCATTTAATATTCCAACTTCATACCTCTCATCAGTGTTCATTTCCTCTCACCACTGTCTCAGCCTTCCCCCAATCCCAGAGAAAATGGATTATTTTTAAATTTGGTTTTATCTGAAGTTTAGTAGTAGTTATGTGATTTTTCAAGAAAAATTTAGATGAATATCTAAAGAATGGGGAATTTATTTACAGATTCACAAATTCACCATGATGCTAATAATTAAGTAACCATACCTTAAGAGTTTTATTGACTTTGATAGAGGCAAACACTATTGTTTTTTTATGAGACCCTATACCAGCTAAAAAGATGGCTGAAGACTCAGATAATGGTTAGTAATTTTAGCAACAAAGCATTCATTCCTTAATTAAGGTAGGTACGTTTTAAAGACATAATTAGGTATGGTGCTACATACCTGACAGACTACAGTACATTGTAAACATAACTTTTACATGGACCGGGAAACCAAAAACTGTTGTGACTTGCTTTATTGCAGTATTTGCTTTATTGCGGTGCTCCAGAGCCAAACCGCAGTCTGTCTGAGGTCTCATAGTACAGCTGAACATTTGGTGCAAGACCGGAGTCTCACCCATCACATAGCTGAACCATCCATTTGGAAAACATTCGATGAAAACCTCTGCAAACTAAATGCTATGCTAGGAATCTTCTCAGGTCCAGAGGGGATTCTGACATAACGCCCATCTTGCAATGCGTTGTTCCGTAAGGAAAACCAGACAGGCAAATGATCTAAAGTACCCACTGTGTTAAAGAATATGGAACGCGATCCAAGGACTCCACACCAAGTGCTATGAAGGTGCCAGATGGGCAAATGTAACTTTCTGTTCTGGATCCTGGGGTCACACAGGAGAGGAGCTGACAGTTCAGGGAGGACAGGCAGGTGGAGAAGCACACGTGGGTAGGAAATAGCATGAACAAAGTACAAAAGCTGAGAAGGCTGGGGTGAGTCGAGAGAACACTGGTGAGAGACTCGGGAAAAGGTGACAGGCTTTCAGAACGTGGGTGGAGTTGTGTTTACATACTTGAAGGAAGCTGCTTGGCCCTTAGCTTGGGCTTTGGGATGCAGAAGGAACACCCATAGCACCAGGCTTCACAGAGGTTTGTCAACAAATTGGGACGGAGGGATGGGGAAGAATATTCAGCTCTAAGAAACCAGGCAGGAGCCAAAGCGATAGTACAGTGGGGAGGGTGTTTTCCTTGTATGCGGCTGATTGGGATTTGATCCCTGGCACCCCATATGGATCCTCAAGCATGCCAGGAATAATCCGAGTGCTGCCGGGTGTGCACCTCGCCAAAACAAAAAGCAGAAAAAAATAACCAGACATAGCCAGGCTTGGTGGCATCATCCCCCTGCTTCTCCTGGACTCTTACCTTAGCTCCAAGGCAGCTCTCAAAGTCCTTTTTCATTTCGGACACAGCGACTTTGTCCTGAGGTCTCTTGGGCCCGCTACAGCAGGGTACCACTGTTTTCAGATCCAATTCCACGACCTGTCCGGCCAACAGAAAGGCAACCTCAGAACTTACATTCTCACCAAGAAATAGGTGCCAGCCCTGCCAGAGAACTGCTAAGACCGCAAGAAAAGCCAATGAATTCAACTACCACATTTGAAAACAAGAATGTTAATGGTTGCTTCAGCCTGGAGGGGAGGACTTTCCAAAGACCCAGAAGGGCACTAAAGTCAGCTGAGTAGGCAGGAAGTTGACACATCTCAGGAGGACCAGGGAGAGCACTGGAGCTGCTGCCACCTGGAACCTTCCACTTGGTCACATTCCTCCAGCAGCTTGCATGTTCCTTTTATTGCTTAGGTTAGCCTGTGGTGGGGCTTTGACTGATAACACAAACCACTGTTCATTTTCTTTATATGACGATTGGGAAGGATACAGCCTTGAAATAATCAGTACCAGCAAATGGTCGTTTGCCTGATTGAATACTTCCTTCCCTCCAAGTAACATAAAACAATACAAAGACCCCCACATCTAATTCACACCACAGTCTCTGTTGCTGAGAAAAATTTACATTCACCTTGTACCCCAGAAAAGGAATGAAGGAAAGTCTCTGGATAAATCAGAACTAAATGAGCGTCTGAATTGTCACTAAATTATCACTGAACGGAGATCTGAGAACCTCCATTTCTCTTTCCACCTACAACAATGAAGTGTTAGTGGCCAGGAGGAAGAGAAGTTATATTATTATTTTGTTATAATTATTTTCTTCATCTTTTTAATACCCAGATTTTCTTTGTATGCATGTCACAGGGTTTCTTTCTTTATTTTGGTCTGGGAGCCACACCCAATATGTTCAGGAGACACTCCTGATGTGTATCACCATGGGAGTTTGATCCTGGTCCTTCCTTTGTACTCACTCAGCCTCTTGCACTCTCTCTCTCTCTCTCTCTCTCTCTCTCTCTCTCTCTGGCCCCAACTCTCCACTTTTTCTGTGATGACTTGGCAGAGAATGACTTCCAACCACAACTCCCTCAAAATCACTGCCACCATCAAAAACCACACATGGGGGCTGTATTGATAGCACAGTGGGGAAGGCATCTGCCTTGCACGCAGCCAAGCCAGGTTTGATTCCCAGCATCCCATATGGTCCCCTGAGCACCGCCAGGGGTAATTCCTGAGTACAGAGCCAGGAGTAACCCACACATGCCTGAAGTCAGTCTTAAAAAAGATGTAAGGAGTTCTCTTACCTGGGCAAAATCTGGGTCTTGAGAGGAGTCACTGAAATCTCGAAACATTCCCACAGCCTGAAGATATTTTTTAATATGGTTTACTTTCTTTTCATCGCGACCTAAATGGGTATTTTCAAAAGTAATGAAAAACAGGCAATAGAAACCTCTGCTTGCTCTTCTAACCCTCCACGGTGAGATTAACCTCCTGGCTGACATTCCTGGGGGGTCTTTTTCAAACGGAAGTGGATTCCCCTCCTTTCTAGTTGGGCCCACCAGACTCTACACACGACAACCCCCGCCAGCATCTCAGCAGTCCTCATTCACATCTCCTGAACATCACAGCTGCGCAATTTCTCAACTCATCACACCTCATACAGCTCATACTTATACTTCCTGTTACTGGGTGAAGACCCCAGGGAAGGGAGAGAGCAACATCCGGCCTAATCCTGCAGAGACTCCCAGGGGAGCTACCTATAGAGATTCACCTTCAGCACAGCGGGAACCAACCTCAACAAATGACAATACTCAACTGGAAGGCTCTACCAGCACCAACAGCTCTGTAAACTCTGAGAGTGACCTTAGTAACCCCATGTTGAGGATGCCTAATGAGTTCAAAGAAACAATGCCAAAGTACTCCGCAAAGCACAAGAAAGTAGGAGAGCAGAATGAGAAAAAGAAAAACACTCAGAAATGACAGAGATAGATGGTGATCTAAACACTCAACAGAAGGTCTGAGAAGCAGAGCTGAGGAAAGGATCAAGTAGCTCCAAACTGAGATGGAAGAAACCTCTAGAAAATAACAAAAAATGGGGGAAAATCTGTTAAGAAATGAACAGCAATTCATAGAACTATGAAATGAGGAATGATATAAGAGCCACTAGTCAAAGGAATCATAGATAAGACTTTCTCAGAGTTGAGGAGTGCAGGAACGAACCAAGACTGAGAAGGCCAGAAGGGTCCCAGCAAAAACCAGACTCAAACAAGCAAATTTCAAGACACACTGTGATCAGAACGATGAAAGCCAAAGATAGACACAGAATACTGAAAACAGCAAGATCAAAAAGTAAAATTACATATAAAGCCTGTAAACACAAAGAAAATCTATCAAATGAAACTTTGGAAGTTTAGAGTCAGACGAGAATGGTGGGATATAATATAAAACAAACAAACAAAAAACCCAACAACTTAATGAAAAGTTCACCAAGAATATTATATCTATATAATATTATATATGAATATATAATATTATATATATAGAATGTCTATCAAGGCAGATTATTATTCAGATTTGAAGGAATGATACAGAATTCCATGGGCGCACAGCTATTTAGGGAACTCGTGGCCTTGAAACTCACACCTTTCAAAGACAAGACAAACCTTTTAGCTTTCCCACTGTGTGGCACTCACTTATGGTGCTAAAGTTGTCCACAGCAAGATTAAGAAAAGTCTGTCTATGCCAGTGTGCCAAGGGATACTGTTTCAATAATGAACTCATGTTTCATTCATATTGAAAGTTCTATGTCTTTTATTACATCTATAGATATTTTATTACAATCTTATCAATGCATATACTTACCTGTAACATTTTCTAACACAAAGCTGATTTTCTCTTTTTAGGATAAAACATACTTATCTATAGGTTATATCTATTTCATATTCATTTCTAAACGTATTAACACAGAATTAGTCACACTATTAATTTTGTTTTCTTTTTGGGTCACACCTGGCAATGCACAGGGGTTACTCCTGGCTCTGCACTCAGGAATTACTCCTGGTGGTGCTCAGGGGACCATATGAAATGCTGGGAATCGAACCCGGGTCGGCTGTGGGCAAGACAAACGCCCTACTCGCTGTGCTATTGCTCCAGCCCCTAATTTTTAAAATTTATATACTTACAAAAAGAAAATTTTGGAAATTTTTTTTACAATTTTGTGGAATTTCAGGTATTTATCTCTAATCAGTCATGTGAGTGGTGTAACTATCTCCAGTTAAAATTTTTTCTCTCATATGTGGGATATAAAGAAACATAATAGTATGACTGAAACCCAAGCACGAAAGTTTGTAAGTCTACAACTGTACCTCATGGTGTTTCACTAATAAAAACAAAAAAAAAAAAAGAAAGAAAGAAAGAAACATAATAAGAGAACAACAAATGGTCAGTTTTTGAAATGTGGAATTTTGAGCTTACAAGGGGCTAGGGATATTCCTAGGAGGGGCTTTTGGGACACAAATTGAGGAAGGAGGCACCTTGGTGATGGAATGATGTGTGCATGGAAAAGTATAATGAATAGTATAGTAAATTCTGGTATTTCAATAAAAGTGGTCAAAACAACAATGACACAGATGTCAGTATTTCTGAATTAAAACAGAGCCCTCATCTGCACCTATACAGGTCATATGCATTTGTTTCTACACATGCCAATAACTCTTCTGATTATTCATTTTTGGGTTTTCTTTTGGGGCCCCACCTGGTGGTACTCCTAGCTTTGTGCTCAGAGGAACATATATGGTGCTGGGGATAGAGCCTGGGCCTCCCATGTGCACGTATGCTCTAGTCCACTGAGCTTTCTGGCTTCTGGTTGTTCCATTTAAGGTTTATTTTAGATGCTACAGCTTTTTAGTAGGGTATTGGATATTAACCCCAACTGTTTTAGGCTTCATCAGTGAATTGCCCCTTTTCCTCCTCCCAGCTAAGCTTACAGTGCTCTTATGAGAAGCCCTAATCCCCTGAGTTTATCTTTAACCTTTCCTTTGTATTTTACAACTCATTGTCAGAGTTCCCCAAGTCAATCTTGGTTACTTATAAGCCAGAACTTTCTGGTAATTCTGGATTTTGTATTTGTACAATTACTTGTACAAATTACTTGTTTTTCTATTTCCCCTACAGTCTTTTCATATTTTACTATAGAGCAATGGTCTTTTCATACTAAACAGCGAAAGACCTTAATGGTATGCTCCTAATATTTGGGAGTTGACTGACTCTGAAATATATCTACTCCTGGGCATCTGTCATAATTACTTGACTCAGGCTTCAGTTGCTATAGTTCTTAACACCCCAAAAGGGAGGTCCCACCATGGCACTGAGATGAACTTGGGGTGAATGGAAAAGCTACCCCAGCATAGAAAGTCTAGAAAGCACAAATGCATGGTCTTGATGCAAGTTGTTATGACTTAAGAGACAGGACCCCCATGGGGAAGGACAAGTGGAACTGACTTGAGGACTTAGTCTAGGATTTACTGTAAAAGCCTTGCTTGCTCTCAGAGCCCAGAGAACTAAGTTTTGGGATCTTTATCTCTTACTGTTTATCCAAATGACTACAAGTATTGGTAAGAAGTAGAATTGTTTTACTAATTGTTTGATATATATGTGTGAATATATATCAAGTGCATATATATATATATTCTCTCTCTCTCTCTCTCTCTCTCTCTCTCTCTCACACACACACACACACACACACACACACACATGACTAGAGGAAAAGAGAAAAACAATATAGATATTCCTGGGACACAGAGTGTCTCCTTGAGTTTATCTCCCCCGAGAACTGCCTCTGCTGGAATGTTTTACCTCTGTAAATAAATCATCATGCAGTCCTACACCTCTGACCCCCTTAGATGTTCTATAGGTATGCTAGCAGCTCTGTATTTTCACCATCAGGCTGTGGTCCTCGTCTCGCTGTCTCTCTGCTGGGGAGGCCTGGAAAGGACGGGAGGAGGCTCTCACCACCGAACGCACACACGTTGTTGCACACCTGCACATCGTTTTATGAACTCAGAGTAGGGGTCATCAACTGATTTGTTGTTTCCAAAGGAACTCTTCTAAAGAAGATTCTGATCTGATCTTTAAGTTGGCCTGACTGCTTTTATTTTTAGCTCAGGGTCCTTAATTCAGAATCCGTGGTCTGAGCAAACTGCCAGCATGTACCTATATATGTCTGCCTTCATTGGCCCATCCCCCTCAGCATTCCATATTCTTCTTTATATAACGTTTTCCCTCAAGTGTCCCAGCACAAACCACTGGCTAGAAACACTTCCTGTGTGCCCAGCTTTGTGAGCTAAACATCTAAAACGTATTATCTCACTCTCTAAACCTTTATCAGGCCGTAGGAGACAAGGATGTTATTATGCTCCTTTATAGATGAGGAAATGGTGACTCAATGAGATTAAGTAACTTTCCCAGGGAACACAGCCAGCAAATGGCCTGACCAGATCTTGAACACAAACTTGACTCCCAAGTGCAAAGTCTTCACTCTCCCAGCGGCCTCAGCAGGAACATGACGCTGCACAAGTGTTGTGTGATTCTTATCTAGACCCTGACCACTGGAGATAAAGTGTGTGAAGGTGTGTCCACTGGACGAAGAGTCCACCTACCTCTAGCCCCAGGCTCACAATGTGTCAGCAGTGTGCTTTTTTTTTTCTTCCTTTTGGCAGAGCTAGGGATTGAACCCAGGATTTCTCACATGCCAAGGCCAGTGTTCTACTGCTGAGCTGCCTCCTGGGCCCCCTTGGCTTGTTTGTTGAACTGAGTTGGAAAGTCCCTTGGCACTCTGTCACTAACCTACCTTGAGCTTCAGTCCTGAGCTGTAGCTGGACCCACTGCTAAGCCTCAGGCCCTCCTCACAAGAAGAATGCAAGGGAGACATTCCCCTGGCTTTTAACAGAGGAAAGGGCTCTATGTCACTGAAGCCCTATATCTCGGTTGAACTGCTGCTACAAACTTGGGAAAGATCACCAAGAAGTTTAATGGTGATATATATGTGTGAATATATATATTCACCTCTAGAGCCACAGAGACTAATCTCAGCTCAGGATATAGTGTGTAGCTGTCCCCGCTCCACACCTCACCATTCATTCCTTCCTTTATTCTTGTCCAGTGTGAGTCTTTTAGTTATGGATTCAGTTCTTCCATTCCTTTATCTTTCTTCCTTCAAATCCTTCAGGGGAAGGAGGGGCTTACTAATTAATCAGAGCAGCATGATTGTGTTCATTTAAAACATTAAAAAAAAAATGCTTTCATCAGGGCCAGAGTGACAGAGCAGCAGGTAGGGTGTGATGCTTTGCATGTGGCCAAGCTGGGTTCAGCCCTGGCACCCCGTAAGGTCCCCCTGAACACTGTCAGGAGTGATCCCTGAACACAGTGCCAAGAGTAGGCCCTGAGTACCTCTGGGTGTGGTTCCTAAACAAAACCAAACCAAAAAAAGAAGAAACACTGGCCACTGGAATGATGTGATGGAACCAGTTCAATACAAACATATGAGGTGAACGAGAAGGCCCATGCCTGTCTGTCCTTTCTCCTACTTAGCCATAGTCGTAGTTTTAGGAAATAAATGGACTCCTCCAAATCTGTCAGAGAGTAAGGTATTCTTGATATTCTTTTTTTTTTTTCTTTTTGGGTTACACCCAGCTTTGCACAGGGGTTACTCCTGGCTCATGAACTCAGGAATCACTCCTGGCGGTGCTCAGGGGACCATATGGGATGCTGGAAATCTAACCCGGATTGGCCACATGCAAGGCAAATGCCCTATCCACAGTGTTATCGCTCCAGCCCTGAATAAGGTATTCTTTCATTTTAGTGTCTAGAACACTTAGAATAAAATCCTATCTGCCCACCATGGCCACCAAGTCCCTCTGTGGATCTGGTCTCCGCCAACCTGTTACCTCACCCCAGTACAGGGCTGTACAAGCTCTGTGACACCCAGAACTTGTCTTCCTCAGGGGACTGCCTCTCTAATTTCCTGGAAAACATCTCTTTTTTTTTTCTTTTTTTTGGGGGGGGGAGGGGAGAGGGATAAGGGAGGTCACACCTAGTCATGCACAGGAGTTACTCCTGGCTCCTACTCAGGAATTACTCCTGGTGGAGCTCAGGGGACCATATGGGATGCTGGGAATTGAACAAGGGTCGGCCACATGCAAGGCAAACGCCATACTTGCTGTGCTATGGCTCCAGCCCCTGGAAAACATCTCTTCCTCCAGCATTTCCCACAACTTGTCCTCTCATCCCAGACATCTCCTCAAATTTTGCTTCTATGAGAACTTTCTAAGCTCTGCTTCCCACCTTATGCAAAAAATAGCCCTTTCAGGACTTTGGTTACCTCCCATCCTTTTTCATCACCTTCTAAATGCACATATGATATCATATATCACAGTTTCTATAGCCTCTATCTCCCTCAGTGGAATCAGAGTGGCATGAGGGCAGAGGTCATTTTATTCACTGCTTCACTTTTGGAATCTAGATCAGTTATTTAAAAAAAAAATAATCTGAGGGTCAGGGCGATAGCACACAGGGCTAGGGCAGTCGCTGGGCATGCTCCAAGGCCAAGTCTGATTCCTGGCAGAGCACAGCCCCTGCTTCCCAGCACCTCCAGGGCTCGAATTAGACCTAACTCAGATTAGATTCCCAGCATCCCATATGGTCCCCCGAGCACTGCCAGGAGTGATTCCTGAGTTCATGAGCCAGGAGTAACTCCTAAACATCAGGCAGTAGGCCAGGCCCCATTGGCAGAGGATCACCAGGAAGGGAGTCTGGCTTCCCAGCACTGCTGGGAGTCAACCCCAGAAATTACAAGTTAATTTAAGAAATTTAAAAAAAAATCCTTTTCCCAAGTTGAAGTCAAATTTCTGGACAACTACATTGAGAGGTAAAGGAGCACTGAGGTGGCCATATGCCTTCACATTCCGCGTCTTATTCTTATTCTCAGACAGTCCAGAGTGGGGAGTTAGGACCGGGGGGGTGTCTCTTAGGGACTAGGAGGTCCAGCTCTGACCCTCATCCTTCATTAACTTCTTATTTCCCCTTATCATTTATCCCACCTTACTGATTCTGCTTTCTCGCCTATTAATTGATTAATCGGTCAATCTACCTAAAAGATATGGAAGAGGATGAGAGCAAGTGCTGGACAGTCAGTATCATGCTAGGTACTATTGTTACTTAGTTACCACTTCTCAGACGTCTGAGTATGTTCAGTAACTCCTAGTAGAAGGCCACTCTAAACTACTAGGCCTCCACAGGACCAGAGCTCGTTCTACTGACCATGTAGCATGTTTACCGCCTACCCTCTTCAATCCCACAACCTACTGAGCCCAGAGAGAAAACAGCTGTGCATGCATTCATTCTAGAGCATTCTGCGGGACAGAGAGAGGTAGAAGGGACCGTTCTGACCCTCCACAGTCAATAAAACTTACCAAGGGCCCCCGCCTTCCTGTTCTGCACTTACCGGTCTGCATCAGATACTTGATACTAACTTCATCAACTGGGAAAAATGCAGCAGTTGCTCCATATTCTGGACACATGTTGGCAATCGTAGCCCGGTCAGCAATAGACAACTGGGCCACGCCCGGGCCGAAGAACTCCACAAATTTGCCCACGACCCCAACTTGACGGAGATGCTGAGTAGAGCAAGAGAAAAGTTTGAGACTTGATAGCCCATATCTGAAATGTAGAACCATCATCCCACTATTCTTATACACTAGCCTTGGGAGTAAATACAAACAATAAGTTAGCTTCACCTATTTTTGATTGCATTAAAAAAAAACTTTAAGGGGCTGGAGCAATAGCACAGCGGGTAGGGCGTTTGCCTTGCATGCGGCCGACCTGGGTTTGATTCCCAGCACCCCATATGGTCCCCCAAGTACCGCCAGGAGTGATTCCTGAGTGCAGAGCCAGGAGTAACCCTTGAGCATCAGCTGGGTGTGACCCAAAAAGCAAAAACAAAACAAAACAAAAAAAAACTTTAAAAAGTAACACCAGCTGAATCTTCAAACACAGGCACAGGTCAAACTGAACCAAGAGCTCTAGCCTGTCTGTGGGCCTCCTCCCCCCAGCTCCCCGGTTTTCCTAGCTTGGCAGTCACACCCACAAACTGCCCCTGGTGCCATGTAATCTCATCAATGGCCAAGATGCAGACTATAAAATAAAACTTCCGGAAGAGAACGATGCGGTACTTCCTGGAGGGCGACCTCTTATACTCTAGCCCATTGATGTACCCAAAGTAGCACACATTTGTTTGGTTTTTAACATACTGGCTTGTATTCTCTTATATATGGGCTTAAATGGCTCCAAAATGAAACACAACCTTCACACACTTCCCTCTTATTGTGGTGGGAAGATGCTCACTGGTGCGATGGGTTTTTGAATACTATCTATAATGAACTCTTGTGAACTACTTTATGAAAATAAAATGTATAAAAATCGGAAAAAAAAAAAGAGCTCCAGTCTGACTCCCATATCTTTCCCACACAAGTCATTAGCTAGTCCCAACAGTTATGACTGAAGCCAGTTACACAAACTGCGGACAGTTCCATAGACAAACTGTTTTGGCTACATGGAACTCTGCCAATTTCTGCAGGCAAACTCTCTATTAGTACTCATTTGAAGAATAATAAATAGTTATAGAAGCTATGGTGTTCAAGTAAATCTGAGTTCAAATTCCATAAAAATTTCAAGAAAAACTTTTTTAGGGGGTTGTTGCTTTTTGGATCACACCTGCTCTGTGCTCAGGGATCACTCCTCAAAACGCTTGAGGAACCATATAAGGTGCCAGGAATTGAACCCAGGTTGGCTGTGTATAAGACAAGTGCCATCCCTGTTGTGTACAATCTCTTTGGCACTCAAAGAAAAAATTTTAAAATAAATCCTTTTAGGGCTGGAGTGATAGCATAGCGGGTAGGGCATTTGCTTTGCATGTGGCTGACCCGGGTTCGATTCCCAGCACCCCATATGGTCCCCCAAGTACCGCCAGGAGTGATTCCTGAGTGCAGAGCCAGGAGTAACCCCTGTGCATTGCCGGGTGTGACCCAAAAAGCAATATATATATATATAAAAAAGTGAAATAAAATAAATCCTTTAAGAACACAGTGGGAGTGTCCCCAAACTATATAACCAGAAAAACATGATTATTTCTAAGAATTTTTCTAAAATGAAACCTCTGAGTATCTTTTTTTCCTTTCTTCTCCTTTTTTTTTTGCTTTGTTTTTCCAAAGCAAGTGAATCACACACACAAAAAAATTTTTACAAGGGTCAAATTAAATGAAAATACTGTATTTCCAGGTTGGAAAAACATCTGTTGTAATAATGTGACATAATACAAAGTGAATTTAAAGTTTCCCTCCACCATTCCCTCCCTCCCAAGTCCATGACTATGGCAGGCATTCTCTCTCTCTCTCTCTCTCTCTCTCTCTCTCTCTCCCCCCACCCCTCTTCCTCCCCTTTTGGGCATTACGGTTTGCAATAAGATACTGAAAGGTTATCATGTATATCCCTTTACCTACTGTCAGCACTCACTTAGTTCTTAAAACCTCAGGAGAGTGGTTCTTTCTAGGACTGGGAAGGACAGCTCTTAGCCATAAATATTACATTTTATTTCTTAAAAAATATATACACAGACAATTCTGACACAAACATGCCCAAATGTTACCATCTGTTAAGTTTAAGTGGTGGCATATGAATGTCTTTTTAACTTCTCTCAATCTGAAGTGGTTCACAACTTTTTAGAGAAAGACCCACTCATGCAGCGGAATGAGGTCCTGGGTTCAATCCCCAATACAACAAAAGGGGGGTGGGGGAAGGACTCATGCAGCAGAAGAGTAAACTGATATTTAGTCCTGTTATCTCTCTCCTTATTTGATCTCTTTTCAAGGTCATCAACCTACAGTTCCCTGGCACTTCTAGAGCACAGAGAAGAAAATCAAGGGATCCCATCACACACAAACCATTTATACCATGACTCTCCCAGACCGTGGAAAGGGGAGCAGACTATTACCTTAGTAATGGTGAGCACGATGTCTGTGGAGGTGACTAGGGGGTGGGGATTGCCCACTAGCCGGTAGCCGATCACCTGGGGAAGGACCATGCTGATTGGCTGGCCCAGCATGACGGCCTCTGCCTCAATTCCGCCCACACCTGCAAGGACCAGCAGGGTCAAACAGAGCTGTGATGGTACCTTCCCATGTCCCAGGAAGGAAGAAAGGAAACGTTTCTTACCCAGATTAAAAACCCAATTGCTATGTCCTAATGCCTGCAGAGGTGAATTAGGATTCTATAAAGAGTGACCCATTATTTTTTAATTCTTTCTACAGGGTTTTGAGCAAGTGTTTCTCGAGGTGCAACCTCCCCCCGTAACGCCTTTCCCCAAATCCCCTTGGTTCAGTATCACAGAAGGAGTGGAACTCAAGAATGGCCATTTGTTGGTTTGTTTTGGGGGCAACACAGAGCAATGCTCAGGACTTACTCCTGACACAGTGCTTGGGGATCTCCCCTAGTGGTGTTTGGGGAACCACATGGTGCCAGTGATTGAAACCAGGGCCTCCTGCATGCAAAGCATGTACAAGGAACTATCTTTTCGACACTCCCTCATGAGTCTCCAATTTTTTAACACCTCAGGTTCTTTTAGTTATGCATTTTAAATGTTCCTAATTCCATATTCCGGGTCATTCTTCCAAACATTATCATTCAGTACCTACTAGAGGTACTTTTTGGGTGCTGGAAATGAGAGAATGAACAAAATTTCCAATACCTGTGTTCATGCAAAGTCCTGTTACTGGGATGCAATGGTATTCAGGTCCATTTAGGTAGAAGCCCTCGCATTGAATATACAGAATAGAAAGTTGGAAGTATACTCACCCCAACCGAGAACACCCAAGCCATCGATCATGGTTGTGTGTGAATCTGTACCCACGAGGCTGTCTGGGTAATAATACCCATCCTGATCAAACACCACTCTTGCCAAATACTCCAGATTCACTTGGTGGATGATCCCTGATCCTGGTGGAATGATCCGCATGTTGCGGAAAGCCTGAGAACCCCACTAAGACAAAAAAAAAAAAAATGAAACGAGAACATAAATGCCACATAGATGTTTATGAGACCCTAGAAGCACCTGCTCTATCACACACATACCTCTCTGGATAAAGAATCAACTAATGTAACTAAATGTAACCGTACCTTTAAAAATTCAAATCGTTCTCTATTTCTTTCAAATTCGAGGTCCTGGTTCTTCTGTAAACTGTCAGCTCTGTCAAAGAGAAAAATGAACATATTTTAAGACTTATTATGTTCCTGGTCAAATCTATTGATACTAAATAAACAAAAGAGCAAATTTAGCTATAGTCTTTTTGACTGAAACTGACACCTTCATTCACATAGGAAAGGACAGATAATCAGCCAAAATTAAAAAAAAATTGTTATCTGGTACAAGTGATTCCTACAATAAGTTTAAACAAGTGAGTAGAAAACTTTAAGTGAGGCTCATTCACTCTGGAGATTGGCTTGTATTTTGACCCTTAGATTTTTTCTCTTCTGGAGAAGCCCATGCTCTCTCTTAAACACATAATTCTCTCTCTCTCTCTCTCTCTCTCTCTCTCTCTCTCTCTCTCTCTGCCCCCCCATCTTTCCCTCTTTCTATAAATCAAACTATTTTACTTTTAAAAAATTAAATGAATTCAAGTTACAACTAATTCTAATCACAGTCTGTCTCTCAAGGGGCTGGGAGACAGTACAGAGGATAGGGTATTGTCCTTGCATGCTGCAGACCCAGGCATCCCGTATGGTCCCTGAGCACACTTCCAGGAGCAATTCCTAAGTGCAGAGCCAGGAGTAAGCCTTGCTTTCACCTATATAAAAAAAAAAAAAAAGAGAACAGACTCGAAATATTTAGGATGGGCTAGAGAGATATTACGGTAAGGGGTTAAGGCACTTGCCTTGCATGTGGCCAACCCTAGTTCAATGCCAAGGCAAGCAGTGATTCTAAACACAGAACCGGAAGTAACTTCAGAACCCCAAGAGGTGTGAACCAAGACCCCACTCCCACTTCAAAGGAGCCATTTGGGATGACAACAGCAGCCCATACATGAACCCTTTTTCCCGTACACCCTTTCATCCATGACCTTGCTTTATCACCTCTCTCAGCTGCGGCTTTCATGTTTTTATGTGGGAAAGTAAGAAGCCATAGACCGGGAGACACAGGAATTTACAGAATCAAAGTCTCCTGTCTCCTGGACAGAGAGGTTCAGGAGATTGGCCCCAAATGAGAGTCTGTAAAGCCCAGATTACATGCAAAGATTTACTGAGTGAGTCAGTCCACCAGGGATGACGCAGGCAATGCAGGGCATTGAAAAGCTGTTCCAGGATTTTGAAATCCCAAACGACACTGTTCTGAATCAAGGAAGAACAAGGTAACGGTCATCTACAGGTTCTGTGCACAGAACGTACCCATGAACTCTGTGCCATGGAATCAACACTGAAAAGAAAGGATGGTGAAGTACAAGCATAAAACCCAATCAGATGCCATTCATTATTACCTTAAAACCCAATCAGATGCCATTCTGTTAGTTAACACTTACTGGCATGATGAGGAAGCATCTGCTATTCTACATGCTTCCCCGTGTTTTCTCATTCAAGCTCCATAATAACCCTTTGAATTGGGTGCGAGTAACCTCCACATTTTTCAAAGGTGAAACTGAGACACAGAAAACTTAAGATATTTGCTCAGGATTACACATCCAGTAAATGACAGAAGTGATGCTGAAACTCTGGCAGTCTGACCCCAGAGAAGATGCCCTAAACCATCACAACCAGGCTCCCTGCCTGCAGAAGCAGATGTAGAAATGGTCATGGTGACAATGGGAACAGCAACATCAAACACCGTAACAATAGTAGGAAAGGATTGGAGTGATAATACAGCGGGTAGGACGCTTGCCTTGCATGTGGCTGACTCATGTTGGATACTGGCACCCCATATGGTCCCTGAACCCTGCAAGGAGTGATCCTTAAGCACTGAGCCAGGAGTAAGGCCTGAGCATTGCTGGGTGTGACACACACACACACACACACACACACACACACACACACACACACACAAGGAAAAAAAAATAGCAGGAGCTAAATTTCTTTTTTTTTTTTTTTTTTTTGCTTTTTGGGTCACACCCAGCGATATACAAGGGTTGCTCCTGGCTCATGCATTCAGGAATTACTCCTGGCAGTACTCAGGGGACCATATGGGATGCTGGGAATTAAACCCGGGTCGAAACGTGCAAGGCAAACGCCCTACCCGCTGTGCTATTGCTCCTGCCCCAGGAGCCAAATTTCAAGACTGCCTGAATGGGCTCTAAATGTTTTACAATCCTCTGATTATCACAACCATCCCTCACTTGGGCATTACACCTTACTCCAGTGTGCAGAAGATAAAGCCGAGGAACGAAAAGAAAAAACTTGTCTAAGGCACTTGTAAATTACAGAGCTCTCATCCCAACCTGGTTTCCGCCTGGCCCTGGGCCTCACTCTTGGACATACTACTTCTCATCCACTTAACTACCTTCACTTAACTACCTAATGCCACATACTGGGAACTACTTCACTAGCTACTGCCACTTCACTAACTACTTCACTACCTAATTCCACATACTAGGAATACTGTGGTGCAAACATACCACACACATGCTAACATACCTGGACCTTGGTGCCTGCTGAGATTGAGACACAGGGGGCCCTGGGATGCTCAGAAAGGGCCACACACTTAGACCAGGGGTCAGGAGGACCTCCCAAGGAAATAACAGCAATAGAGGCTAAAGGGTGAGAGGGAGCCAATCAGTTTTCCAAAATACAGACGACCATGGCTCATTCTAAATCTTCCAGTGTTCCAAATTAAGTGCAGATTCTTTGCTTTAAAAAACAAGCCCTTTTGTCTGACCTCTAACTTCCTTTAGAGGCTCAGGCCTCTCCCCTAGTCCAATCTTTCATCTCCAGCTACAGGGTAGCCTCTCCTCCTCTAAGCCCTCTTTCCTCATACCTTAGCACTCCTTTCTCTCTCCTGAATGCCCCTATTAGCTCTTCTCTCTTCCACAAAAGCCCTCAGAACCCAGAGACAGTGATCTTCCTTGAAGAACCCAAATGATCTCCAAGTTAGAATGATCTAACTTATCGTGGCTAATATGCCTATTCCAGTGGTATTAAAACTGTGCACAATGAAATCCAGGACTAACATACTCACAAAATTTTGTGGATATGAACCACACACTACTGAAGAATATGAAATTATACATATTCTGAATGCTGAAGCAGAAAGAAGTATGATCACAGCCTGTATCGATACTGCTATGGGTCCTGTGCAGTCAAAAAAGCCACTTCCACCAGGCATCCATTGACATTGTTGTGTGGAGGTTAGATCTAATGTGTCAATCTATTTCATTGGGGCCAGAGTGACAGCAGAATGGGTAGGGCACTTGTCTTGCACCAACCACTACATATGGTCCCCCAACTCCTACCAGTGGCCAACAAGGGTTTGATCCCCAGCATCCCATATGGTTCCCTGAACACCAGCCAGAGTATGTCCTGAGTGCAGGGCCAGGAGTAACTCCTGAGCACTGTGGAGTGTGACCCCAAAACAAAACAAAACAAAAAAGAAACAAAATTCAGTTACAATTTTAGTTTCCCCTAAACTGCCCTGGGTCTCTGAATTACCAATTGTGTTCTACACCTTATTAAGTAAATTTCCCTTTCATTGTGAGTAACAGTCAATTGTTCTGTACCTTAACTGTCATTTGTTTTTCTGCCTTCTTTGGGGGCAGGAAGGTCACACCCAGCAATACTCAGGGGTTACTCCTGGCTCTGCACTCAGGAATTATCCCAGCGGTGCTTGGGGGACCATACAGGATGCTGGCGATTAAACTCGGGTCAGCCGCATGCAAGGCAAACGCCCTACCCGCTGGACTATCGCTCCAGCCCCTCTAGCTACTTTCTCGAAGCAATTAGAAATAAGCCTAAGTACTATCGCTCGGACCCCAGTTCTGTACTTATTGGAAGGTCACACGGACTAAAGACTGGGATGGTGGTGGAAGGTTACGGACTTTCAGTGGGGTGGTGGTAAAGTAGCACTGCAAGTATAGAACAATAGGATGGGAGGATGGGTGGGTGGAGAGATGGTGCAGCGGTGAGGGCACTTGCCTTTCACAAGGACGACCCGGGTTCAATCCCCCGCCACCACATATCACCAGGTGTGATCCCCAAGAACAAAGCCAGGGGTGAACTCAGAGCACAGCCAGTGTGGCCCCAAAATTAAAAAAAAAAAAGAAAAGAAAACACTATGAGAACTGTCGTAAAACACACTAACTCAAAACAAATAGGAAAGAATATTTCTGCTAGAATTTATATTCTGAAACTAAAAAAAATGTACTCAAAATTCCTTGTTAGCATAGACATATGTTGACTTGCAATGCTGATACCTGTGAAACTTGCACAATGGGGTACAGACTGATAGTACAAAGGTTTTTTTGGGTTTTTTTTTTGCCTTGCATGTAGGTGACCTGGGTTTGATCCCAGGCATCCCATTATGGTCCCCCAAATACCACCAAGAGTAATTTCTGAATGCAGAAATAAGACCTGAGCACCACCAGGTATGTGACACCCCTTCCCCGCAAAAAAAAAAAAAAAAAGCCTTGCACAATATTGTACCACTATAATGCTATTTCAATACAAATAAAAGCACTGTCCTCCTGTTGTTCATCGATTTGCTCGAGCAAGCCCAATAACGTCTCCATTGTGAGACTTGTTACTGTGCTTGGCATACCAAATACATCATGGGTAGTTTGCTAGGCTTTGCCCTGCAGGCAAGATACTATTGGTAGCTTGCTGGGCTCTCCGAGAGGGGCAGAGGAATCGAACTTGGGTCAGCCGTGTTGGCTGGCCACGTGCAAGGCAAATGCCCTACCCGCCGTGCTATCACTCCATTTACTTTATTTAATTTCATTGGTTTTGGGGTTACACTTGGCAGTGCTCAGGGAACCATAAGCAGTGGTAGTATAGAACCAAGAGAAGCCCTGTGCCCCTCAATAAAAAATACTGAAAAGTTATAAAACAAAAGTGTACTAAGAAACCCTTTCATCTATTAAACTAACCTGTTTCTTAAACAATAAGGACATTCTGTAAGTTTGTTAAAATGCATCTAATTCTTCATTTTTTTAAAAAAGCGACATGATGGGGGGAGCAATAGCACAGCGGGTAGGGCATTTGCCTTGTATG